TGCTGTCGGAATGAAAGCGCTCGATGTATCCCTGCCATTGCAGCTCACCGCTGGTGCATTGTTGCTTTTTTGCCTTTTGTTCCCTTGCTTTACTCTACCTTGCTGGTTAGGTATCCAAAAGAAACCTTTTTCTCGCCTAGGATTCAATTGACGCTTCGAAAGTATTCGACGTTTGGAAAGTGGCCCTGGCCAGCGCCGTGTGGCGGATGCTCATTCGCTCAGATCCTGATCCCGTGGTCGAGGCTGGTGAATCACAGCCGCTATTCCAAGATTTACAATCAATGAGTTGTATCGCGCGCGTGTGGGGGAGGAAACTTCTCTCTCAGATAGCCACAATATGTATTACCCGCCCATGGGGTACTATGAGGCTATCTCATGATGCCAAGTTCAATGGTATGCTACGTTGGCCTCGATCCTGGCCGCTCTATAACTAGGCCTCACCGGTTTCTGGGGTAGCTTTTGAGTTGTTCTGGCCTCGTCGCTGTATCTGCAGAGTAGTTATCACACAAGGATCGCGCTGGTTTCGTCCAATCAGTTCGCGGAATGAGATGCGGAATTACCGCCTGGGTAGAACGAGGCCTTATTGTGGCGAGGAGAAGTTTATTGAATGGGACGTTGAAGGAGCTAAGTCGACGTGTCTATATGCCTCAATTAATGTGTTGTAAATCATTTGAGGGTATGTGAAGGTGTTGCCATGCCGTGGTTGATGTACCCGTCCCTGGTATGGTTGAGAAGCTCGACCGGCTACGTTGCAAGACAAATATGCTTTTCGGTGTATTTCGGAAGAGAGGATTCAATATGGCTCAATGGATGTATCTGGATGTCCGTACTGGCTTCCTTCGTAGGCGGATTGACTTTTGGGTTTTGTCGGGATTCTCGCAGGTCGTAGCTCCATCGGAGGACGACCTGCAAAGCTCTCATGCCAATTGACCTCACCAGTTGTCAGCAATACAGATGCAAGTCCTTTGAATGCAATTGTTTGTGTACCGAGTGTCTGACCCAACCAAATTAAGATGATTGAAGTGGTCGAGTTTGGGCGTGACATGTTCAGGAAGTGAAAAGGTTTAGGGTAGCTAAGATTCACTGCTTGTGCTTTTGAGTGCGATGATGTGCGTTTCTCAATCATGCATGCTTTCGTATTATAGCTATTCCTTTACTCCATAGAGATAGTGATAACATTCACAACTGGTATGAAATCCTCGGAAATTGGTTGCGAATGTTGCTCGTGAAGTCTGTTGTGTACATGATGGTTTCATGACGATATCATCTTGATAAACTTCAATCTTAGCAATATTCAGCGTTCACGGCCAAAAGCAAAGTGAGCGTGATGTATCTGAATGAAGCTTCATCGGTATTTAACAAACTCTTGAGTGAAATACTCGCTTCAAGGCTCTGTTCGTGATAAGATGTATCGTCAGTTCTTGGAGCTACCGGGTAGTTGAGTAGATTGCTGAACCGATCGCCTCATTGGTGTCTTGCGGCACAGCTATGCAGGATTTTTGCAGTCGATAAGCTTCCGTTCGGACTGAGTCGCACGTATTGACTTCAGTTGGCATTCCCTTCGCCTGGCATATTGTGAGCTGGGAGAGATGCCACTCCTAGATCTCTAACGGGCGCCGCCAGATGACACTGAGCGTCTCTCGCTCCGGAGAATGGATATGGGCTCAGTCATGGCGATGAGAGACAAGGGAGACGGAGTGCTCTATTCAAGTGGTGTCGTTCAAAATGGCGTGGGCTCGGCAATGCGATGTATGAGGCAGTGACTATGTCTCGAGTCTGAATCAACTACTCACTCAACATTGTCATTCCAAAAAGGTCTCAACCGACATAAAAAGTGACGACGGGGCTTGATCCAGAGTAGTATCAGCTATTCAGCTGTCGTTTACCTCCAAACCCTAACAAATCATCATCTCTGGAGCTGACAACCTCCGGAAGATGTCCTCCGCGATATCGGTAATCGGCCCCACGCCGGAGGTTACACCCGGGATCGACAACATCCATGACCGAGCCTCATCATCCAAGCAAATCTGCACGTCAAAAGTCGAAAACAGGGTACGAGCGCTTTACCAACAAGGTTGTGATGTTCAGCATGTATCCAGATCAAGACGCTAACCAAGGTCCGTTTGTGTCATTTGCGGAACCGTGACGTGGAGGTTGCATCCAGCACAGCTGAATAGAGCTTACGACAGCTATCATGTCCACTGAATTTACGCTTTGGGTGATACACTGTGCTTGTTACTGGGGAATAGTTGCTGTGGTTGGAAATAATCTGTTGGTTGTTACTGTCGTTTGTCTAAGATCTTATGACGTCATGCAGGGAGGGCAGATGTCATGATACTGATTCCCTGGCATCTTGACGTAGGAGGCGGGGCATCAAATTCCAGCTCGGGAGATATGAAGGCATAACAACTTCACTCTTCCACTCAACTTGGTTGTTACAACGCTCAACCAAGGTCATCATCATGGCTACATCCTCAGAGGACCCCAACCGTAGCTTCACAGCAAACAACACAGGAAGCGAACCAGAAATAATAGAACAACACCAAGAAGAAGCCCCAACCGTCAGCCACGCCCTCGCCGAAGAATCGCAAAACTTTGAAGAAAAAGGCGCAGCGCAGCTTGAGCACGGCGACGTCGAGGTCAAGAATCTAGGATGGAACGAACCCCCGCGTGTTGTACCCCCGCTGGTAGGCGGGTTGAAGAATGAAGATGTTTGGGCTTTGATACGACGATTCGATAAGCAGGTTTTCTATGTCAGGAGTATTGAAGAGCCCCCCTTGGGAATGCTGGATATGAACATCGCGGATGAAGAGGAGTTTTCGCCTGAGAAGCTTAGGGCGCAGATTGAGCGACTCTACGTTTCTGTTTTTGCGCAGCTGTTTTCGTTTTGGAAGCATATTGTGCGTCTTCGGTCGTGGAGGGAGTACCAGCGAACATCTGCATTCCTGGCAGTATACACACTCGCATGGCTTCTCGATATTCTTGGTCCCACGATTATTGTCTTCCTCATGGTCCTTATCTGGTCCCACGAGGCCCGCGATATTTGTTTCCCTGGAGCACCACCCTCGATAATCGACTCCAAGACAGGAGGTGTTAAGAAACCAGCAGCCGGTGTTCTAGCTTCCGATGATTCTGTCACTGGTGCACCGGAGAAGCACAAGGGTGAAGCAGTTGAGCAGGAAGCTCATAGCTTTGTGACGAGTTTGTCTACGGTATGTTCAGGTGTAAGATTTGTTTTTTTGACCCTTGGAGACCCCAGACTGAATGATTTGTAGATTGTTGTTAGCACGGCTGCTGGGAAACATCCTCAAACGGATCCCGACGATGATAGCGCTGCGCCTGACCCGACGAAACTCACTGAAGAGGCCACCGAAGCTAGACAGAAGTCTGTGGGAGAGAATCCTCATGCTGAACATAACAGGGCCAAGAAGCCGGTTTCGAACGCCGTTTGGGATAAGGCGCGTCCAACGATGCACATGATTGCCGACTTTGTTGACACTTGGGAACGATTCGGCAATGCTCTTAGTCCAGCGGCGCCTTTCCATCGTCATCGTCCTAAGCTTATCCTCATTGGTGTTCTTGTACCCATGCTTGTTGGAACTTGGTTCACGACTCCTTACATGGCCATGAAGGGAATGGGTTTCGCCGCTGGCTTTGGATTCTTCGGCGATCCGATCATCACACCCGCCATGAACTTCATCAACAGGACGTATCCCCGCTGGGAGAAGTATGTCGAGTTGCGAAACACTATTCTTCGAGGTGTCCCTACAAATGCGCAGTTGGCTATCACTCTTCTTCGCATTGGTGAGAAGAACAAGGCTCCGTTGCCGCCACCTTCCTCTTCTGATGTGCCTCCCCCGACTGTTCCCCACGAAACTGCTGGAGAGGGTTTAGAACATCTAGGTGTGTATCATTCATTGATCAAAGTTCAACACTATACTAACACCACCAGAAGGAGTATCACAGGGCGAAATCACCGAGGCTGTCCAGCCTGATCCAAACATCATCCATGAAGATGAACACGAAGAGGAAGAAGAAAAGACAAAGCACAAGAAATCCCATCGCATCATGAACTTTATCCGCGGCACAGCAAAGGGCGGCGTGACAACAGCTCTGGCCGCCGACAAAGCGAAAGCCAAAGCAGGCGCCCACCACGCAAAGAACCGTCTCGGTGTAGTAAAAGGTCAAGAGCCGTATCCTCTTACCGGACCAATTCGCTTCCCAGCGCGATACAAGGGTAAGAAGGGCCATGCGTACATTACAGCTACAGCTACAACACCCGCTGTTAGTTGGACGACTGAGCTTGGGGATTTAAAGCCCGCTTGGACTGTGGCTATTGGCGATATTGATGAGTTGAAGAAGATGGGTGGTCTTGGATGGAAGAGCAAGATCATTGTTGGTTGGGCTATGGGGAGTGAGATTGTGGATGGGTTGATGATTAGGACGAAGGACGGGCAGGAACATCATCTCACGGCGGTCTCTATGCGGGATCAGTTGTTCAACAGGTTGGTCTCCATGGGAAATCAGATGTGGGAGGCGTGGTAGGCCTGTAGATTGGGAACAGTTATGATTCGGAATAGTCTTGGGAATAGGTGTCTGGAGTTTGGTGATGGAACCATGATACTCTTTGATACCAGGAATACGAATTACGATGTGGAATCAATGTTTGGAATCAATTGAATTGTCAAGTCTAGACCTCGCTAATTGTAGTAGGGAGTGAACAAAAGATCCTGCTTTGTAATCTCGTGAGTCCACTGAGGATCTCAATACTTTAAATCCTTTGTCAAACGTGGGGAAAGTGGGACAATTGACAGGGTGACGTCAATTAAACTGCAGAGGAGAGCTTACAGATCAATCATATCTGCAACAGCACCTGTGACAACTCGGCCGAGGTCGCTCAAAGGTGGGGGATAAAAGTGATACAAGAAAACAAGAATATCCTCCCCAATTCCCTATTTCTGTACAAGATCGTCTTATCGCAAGCTAAACCCAAATCCATCATGAGTTTCACCTCAGAACCATACGATCCCATCACTGCCGACTCTTGGCTCGTCTGCGACACATGCGGAACTCAGTTCCCAACGTCTGATCGCAGTGCCCTCAAAACATGTCACATCTGCGATGATCCACGACAATTCGTGCCTCCGTCTGGACAATCGTTCTCGACGCTGGGAGAATTAAAAAAGAAGCATAAAAACGAATGGACTCCTTGTGCCTCTGATAAGAATATCACGTTCATTTCGTCGGTGCCGAAATTGGCGATTGGACAGCGTGCTATTCTTATCAAAACGCCAGAGGGCAATATTCTTTGGGATTGTATCACGCTGCTTGATGATGAGACTGTTGAGAGGATTAAGAGTGAGGGTGGATTGAAGGCGATTGTTATAAGTCATCCGCACTTTTACAGTACCCATGTTCAATGGGCTCGAGCCTTCAGTTGTCCAGTCTATCTCTCCGCCGAAGACAAAATCTGGACAACCCTCTCCTCAACGCATCAAATTTTCCTCACCACCCTCGAAACACCCATCCTCTCCGCCAAAGCCATAAAGCTCGGCGGGCACTTCCCGGGCTCCATGGTCCTACACTACAACTCGCGGCTGTTCATAGCCGACACGCTTATGACGACGGCGTCAGGCGTTGGGAACTGGAGCGTAGACGCCACAGGATGCTCGCGGTCCCGACCGGCTGGGTTGAACTCTTTTTCGTTCCTGTGGAGCATTCCGAATTTCATTCCTCTGGGTGTTGGTGAGATGGCTAGGATGTGGAGGATTCTGAAGAGGTATGAGTTTGGGGCTACACATGGTGGGTTTATGGGGATGGATATTGAGAGTGAGGATGTTAAGGGGAGGGTTTTGGAGAGTATGAAGATACAGGCTGGGTTTATTGGGGATAAGGAGTTTGAGGAGAAGCTGTGATCTGTGATGCATTTCTATTGCTTTTTTTTTGGGTATCAAGTATGAGAGATGAGAGATGATAATGATGTTGTTCAATTAAAAATATGTAAATAAATCAGGGCCATTCTGATATCTGGGTATCGATCGAGTTTTAATGTGCATCCGACTCCGGCTCATGCGTTTCAGTCTTTCCATCCATCAACGCCATAAATCTCAATATAAGTATGCAAAGCTTAGTCCTTCTTCCAGAACTTCCACTTTTGCTTCGTCGGCGAGGATGGACATAAGTAGCGGTTCAGTAGCTCTCGACCCTCATCGGGGAGATCAATGACAGATTCATTGAGCGTATCGATAATAAAGCGATTAGCTATAAATAATTAGCATTAATTCACTACTCGACCTGAAATAAAGATGGAACTTACGCATCAAGTCAACGCCGCACTCTCCAGCATCAATAGCCATTTCGATCCTCGTAGAATTATAACATCCATATCGAAGCTGTAGCTCAAGCATACATCTCCAAAGCTCTCTTGTCTCATCAAGGCTCATGCCTTCGCAGCTGCGTTCAGAGCATGTGCTTGCTTGTCGAGATCGTTGGTTATCGTGGTGGGATTGTTTTGATAGAGGGATTGCTTCGTCGCTGGGGTGACTCCACATGGCGGGGAGGGAGAGATGACCTGGATGATTCTCGCGATACATTTTGGGTGATGATAACAATAGCCTTGAAGAAGTTGATGATGAATGTTGAGAAAGGGAGAGCTGTTGAGGTCTTATATAAACACCCTCGTTTATTTCTCCTTTCTTTTTCCTCTTTGCCCTTTTCTTGATTTCAGGCTGGTGAGTTGTCTCTGTTGTAGTGGGGTTTCACACTTTGGCCCAATATGACAGGCAGAACCCTGCTTATTTATATCAAAGCGTATAAACAACAAAAAACCAGGGTGAGCCCGATTAAGTTATACTAACGAACCTGTCCGACGGTGAGTACCGCGTACCTCGAAGCAAACAGGAGGGTGGGAAGCTTTTCGCAGTCAGCGGGAGAGCGCCACTTTGAGGGTCTCAGACAGCTGGAGCTCTTCTTATGAGCCAAGAAAGGCGTTAGTGAGTCACATGTGGGAATAAACCATGTTAATTCCGTGAAATCAGTGAGTTTACGACTGTCATATTGTTGTTAGGGTGGGTGTCATCATCGGAACATAGCCTGACGGAATACCATCAGAGTGATCGACTTTGCATATGAGAGAGACGGGAGAAAAATCCTTTCGGCAGTTTGAGTACGTATCTTTGACAAGGGCCAGTGACCTACCACTCGACGCCAAGTTAGTGCATGATCTGTGGACCAAAAAGCCAAGATGGATGGATTGAGGCTTGCAAGCCTGATCTGATGCCCAAGACCAAGAGATAGGGGTCACAAGGACAGGCTTGTGATATCGACGCCAAAGACAGGGCGGTTCGATAAGCTTTGCCTAAACCACAGTGGCATGGATGATTGAACCATGACGACGGATGGAAGATAGCAGAAGGTCTACGCCATAAGTAGCGGTGATTTGGGTACTGTTACTGTACCCGTGAAAGCCGCTATAGCCGGGTAGAGATATGCAGAGTAAACATCATTGACTCTGTCTTTTGAGTCACAGTCACATTCACAGTCGCATTTTAAGCCAAGACTGGTTTAAGGCTGAGGGAGGAAATATCCGGTTCCCCCGCCCCATAAAATAGGTACATATGTAGCACGGGAGGACCCTGGTTCCACTGGCGGAGGAACCCTTTTAGCAACTGAACTCTCTAATAATTGAATGTACCGGTATTCACGGAATGAAACTGAGTTAGACATTCAGTACTTTGCAAAGTAAATTCGTTGAAGCGGTCAAGACTGTGGCTTTGCAAAAACGGTTGAGGCAGTGTTCTCAACGGTTCACCCAAATGCAAGGGATATACACCGCCAAGACTACAATCATGAACAAACTGCGCCTCGAACAAACACGTGAACGCCCTTTCAATATAGCAAACAACATACCTTGCATGGACATCTGAGCAGCTGGTATTTCATTAATACTCTGTGGCGTTTGATCTTAACTGTGGCACGATTCCCCGGACGCCACCTTGGATCTATTGTTCGAGATCGTGAGTTAAGCTTGGACTTGTTGAAGAAGGTTCTTAGTGATTGTTACTTCGTGTATGAATTGTTGGTGGTCTGTGGTTGGAGTCAAGGTTTGGTAAGTGTGAATCTCCACATGGCATTGGCATGGCATGTTGCATCAGGCTCTTGAATACTGATCACATCACGAACAATTGAGATGTTAGTTTATCGCTGAAGAAAAGAGAGTCTAATTGGTGCATGTACTGTTTGTTTCCATAGGCTTTAGACCGTTTGCAAGTTAGCTGTTGCCTGCAAGAATGCTTCCGATTGATTGACAGATTGACAGCCATCCATATCCCAAATAGCGTCACCTGAGTAGGTACCCTACCTGAGAACCCTCAAACGCTTCACATAAAACAGATCGATCTTCAAACCTGAAGTAAAAATATCCCAACACTGATAACCGAGTCGATCACAATAATTTTCGTCTCATTCCCATCAATAGTCACAAACTAGCGCTTGCTAGTTCGGTGTTCAGCCTCAGCTGCAATCTCCCCTGTCAACATCTAGAACCCAATAGTTTGATCTCCTATTCTATAGTAAAAAGTCTTCAAAAAATAACGATGGGATAATCTCTCTTTTTCATCTGCTTTGGCAGTTGTCACTCGTTATTTTATTATAAGAATGCGTTTCGCGCTTTTGCATTCGCTGCTTGTGGCGAATATTGCGGTTGCGAGTGTCTGTAAACCTCGTCAGTCGGGTGGATCAAGTCAGTACTTCTGTGAGCTCTACTGGGATTGAGGATCTAATTGTCAACAGGCACTGCTGCGACCGCTGAGATTGAGACTTCGACTACAGCTTCTGTCGAGGTTTCCACCGGCTTCGCGACGTCGACAGTGGAAGATGTAACTACGACCAACGCCGCAACGACCGTTGAAACCAGCACCGAAACCGCTGCTTCAACACTCACAATCGCTGAAACAACAACAAGCGACATCGCTGGACCCCTCGTAACCTTTGTTCTCGCCGCCAAAGTCGAAGGCACCGTCAGCGAAGAGCTCTCAGGCGCAGACCGAGACGGCTCGGCAGTAGTATGGTCAACACCCCGATTCATCGCCAGCGGTCCATTAATCATCTCCATCGACTCCACGATGAGTTACCTCCAAACAAGCGGTGGATTCTACCTCTGTGTTGCATACGGAGATGGAACTTCACCCAACGGTGTTAAGCTTTGCAGCGCCGAGTCGCTTAACAATCCTGCGTTTGGGGCCCTTACGTGTGAGCAGACGGATGGGCGCGAGATTGCATGCGAAGCTCAAGCTGGACAGTGCATTGGCGATGATGAGAATAAGATATGTTCTCCTCTTCCGGGGACGTATGATCAGTTCTATTATTTTAGGGGAAACTTTAATGGGATTTATCTCGCTTTTGGGTCTGCTGTCAATACTGATGAGAACCAGCACGCTGTTGAGCTCAAGGCCAGACGAAGCGACACATGATCATGGAATTAGATATTCTAGCAGACCTTATCTAGAAGCCACAATGAATAACTGCCATAAACTGTGTATCATGAGCTGGAGACCCTATGTCGTCACACCTCGAAGCTTCCCAGCCACGGCGTCCCCCCTCCCCCTCGACGATCCAACGTTCCAGACCGTTATGCCACCTCAGCCCTAAACTTTCGTAGCTAGGATATAAGGTTGTGTAGTTAGCACTTTAAACAGTAACCCTTGGAAGCATCCGATTTTGACGTCAATTGAATGGGGTTCGTTTGTTGCTAAATGCTGACGGTGATGGCGTCGTGAGGGGATTGGTGACGGACGCTGAGATGTGTGGGTTCGTCAGCAAGCCTGTTGGCGTTGTGAATGCACGCTCGCCGATGAGTCACGGAATGATAAGGCTTGCATTGACTGGAGCGTCGACCACAGAATGCTTTAACTCCATGCCCAAGCCGAACTTGCTGGCACACGATGCAGGAGGTGTGATAAAGAATAACCGACATATTACGAGAACTTGGTGACAACTGGTCGAGAACTACGACACTGGACAGACAGACGACGCCAGTTTGCGTCTCAACGGCGATAAGAAGGAACTCCGAGACTCCAGTGATGAGAAAATATCTCCGGTCACGAGAGGCATGAGCTCAACAATGTCGGGCATGTGCCGAGACTGCATCCTCATCATTGACGCGAAAGACCAAGAGGGCACTGTGAATCTCTGGCTGAGATAGATATGAAGCAACACTCCCATCAGGGTTTGATCAGAAGAGGTAAAAGTTCGACAGGATTGTGGGCCGCACAAGAGTAAGCGACAGTGTGAAGACCATTCCCCTATCCCATCATATTCAATGGCATTGCCCTTGTTCAACTCATCTCGTCGGCTTCTATAGCAACTTTACTCTTCGGAAAACAGACACTTACTCTCCCAAACGTCAAGCGGCTTGAATCCGATCGTTCTCAGTTTCTTGTCTTTCTTCTGATCCGAATTAGTACGAAACTTCATCTGTAGCTTTCCTCCAGGCACCAACATTTCTCAAGCCCTACAATCCAGCGCTTGTAGCCATGCCAGAACTCGCACAGTCTTGGACAAATGTCAACCAGCAGGTTCATGATGTAGAAGCTCCTGCAGCCTGCGAAGGACATCGCCGTGTTGATGCGATTAGCCCAAGAGTCGCATCCCCAGCTCCACCCCGAAGATGAAGAAGATTGATCAGACGATGCAATTTGCTACCTGAAAGAAGAAGAAGCGTCGAAGGGAACCAGTCAAACCTGCTCTAGGAGCTTGTCACAAGGCCATAGTAGACAGCTTGCCTGTCCAAAAGTGCCGAGTTTCCAGATTTAAGGATCCCTGGGTTTTGGAACACCTCCATTAGGCTGCCTCGACACGGAAGTTTTCTTGACAGGTCCTTGCCAGTGATGTATCGCTGAGTGACGGGGCAGCCATTGGCGAAGAGGGGTAAAGGGTGTTTGCGGACAGGTTTACTTCGGAACGATCTATTGACGAAGAATTTCGCGACCAGATTCTCAAATTCGGGTTGCCAACTGAGATGCTAGTCAAGCTGATCGATCAACAGAGTCTCTATAGTTGCCCCTTCAGAGAAATCGACTGCTACATCTTCTGTTGTAGAGGGGCAACAGACGGTAACTTCAGCGAAACCACATCGTACAGATCTGAGTCTGACATGATACGGCGAAGATCTTCTGACGGCGGAGGAACGCGGTAGCAGTCACGGTTGGTCAACCTCATGTGGTCGAGCCTGCATTCTACGCCAACGAGGTTGAGAAATCTCACGAGACGGTCCTTATAGAGGTTTGGCGAGTTTACCAGACTCATGGCTTCTTTTGCGCAATGAAGTGTTGATGAGCAGGCGAAGATATGAGATGGCGCGGCTTTCCACACACCACACCTGTGCGATTTAATAGTCCCCCCAGGAGGATGGTTAGTAAGAGAGAACTGAAGGTTCCATCCCGTGGACCTGCTGTCGCGATAAGATTTACAACATCCCTCACCAGAGATAGGAACGTCAAGGCCTGGGTTTGTACCGCAGAGAATGCTTCTTACAACCATCACATAGCTCAGCACTTTATTACCAACCAGAAGCTTAAAGTTATACAGTTCTAGGATTCCGAGACATGGAATTCTCTTCTGAAAGACCATTCCTATGCAACCCTCCCGTAGCCTCACCGCTGTAGCGGTGGCTGCACATGTTGTAGAAACACGCAGGCCAGGTGCAACGCAGATCTTGGGTAAACCACATTTAATATATAGACATCGCTGCACCCAAAGCTATGACCCGTTTGTAGTTATTTCACCTAGAAAGGTGCCTTGCATTGGACATCTGTGGTCGAGCAGTTAGCCTCCCTCGAGCGTATAGTCAGCTCTGGGGAAGTATTATATGTTGAAACATACTGACTACCACTGCTATCAGCTTCCCCGTAAACCTAACTAGCTAGCGAATAAAGCATCTTTTAATTCTCGGGAATTACTGCTGAGCCCGTATCCTCAGCTTCCGATAACAGGTGCCATTCTCCACGCGAGTATCATGAGTACCTCCTATAGAGGACTAGCTAGGAGAGTGAGAGCCCTACAGATGAGGGCAGGATACATTATACTAGCATTTAAACGCCCATTACAAGTAGCTTTTCCCATAGTGAATACAAAACGTCTAAAGAACACCAAGCAGAAGTTATCCCATCTTTGCCGTCCTTATCCACCACGTTCAGCAGACTGACCTCACTTGTAAGAAGGAGCCCAGAGGCACAGCGCACTCGCTGTATGCTATCACTAATATTCAGTTATCTTCTTAAACTTGAGCGATGTCTGGTCTCATACCCACCACAACGGGCAGTTCGTGAGCCCTCGCTACGACGTATTCGTCGAACCGTTCCCACCTCAGCGCTCTGAGATTCATTACGGATAGAAATATGACCTTTACAGTCTAACCAGAACGATGAGAATAGGCGCCGAAATACTCTGGGTGATGTATTCGTCCATGACGAAAGTATTCATGAGAGAGGTGGAGGGTCGAGTGGTAGAGTCTTTGTCCCAAGGACATCTTGAGTGAACCTCGCAAAAGTTGGTTGAGAAGACAGAACATAGTAGTAAAATCAGGCCGAGGCTGAAAGGACAGAATCGACTGAAGTGTTTGAAGTGAGTAATCATGGCAGCCCCAAGTGCAAAGCTCATCTTGAGCACTTGGAGTAGAAGGGTCTACCATCAACTTCCAAATATCAATGATTTCCTCTAATCGATTGTCTCATGAAATGCTCCAATATCCTGATGACTTTGCAGTTATTGAGGTGCCAAATTAGCATTCCGAAGAAGTAAATATCAGGCGTGACTTCATTTCAAATTTGCGACGGTGGACATTGCAGCCCGGCCAAGTTGGAGGATGCCGTGGCTGCTCCACCAGGGGCAGAGAAGTGAACAGATCTTGAGAACTGACTAATTTACCCAGCAGAGGAGGAGATAGTCGCGTGAACGCGTTTCCAGACACCATAGTTGAAGAGTCACGGTACAGAGGAGACAAGTGAGCGAAGCTCGATTCACCTTGGTCTTCGTGTCACCTTCTATCCGCATTTGATTAAGATTTATAATAGTTCACAGCAGTTTCTTCTCATAAGGATTTCGTTACAGAAATTAACTAAGTGAGTTACGTGGTAGCCGAGAAGCAATGGGGGAGCATAAAGGTATAGTTACAAGCACGACGGTGGTTGCCAGCCCAACTCAGAAATGCCAAGATATCGAGGTAAATTATCCATTTCCAATCGGAAGCCCTTTAGCCTCAAGGTTATTTCACGATGGATGTCTTCTACGGTTGCGTTGAGCCCAGCTTCTGATACGAAAGTCATCCCGCTACACTATGCAAACCGGTGCCTGAGAAGCAGGGCAGCAAGGGAAAGTGAGGAATTATAGGAACTTGTTCTTCATGAATCAAATATTTATCTACTTTTACATCAATCAAGCTCGACGTTGAGATGTTGATAGCAACATCTATCGTGGGAATCCCAAGAGTCAACCACCCAGCCTGAATCACCGTGAGAAACTACAGTATTTAGTTTGAGAAATAGCCACTGACTATCTCTTTTGAGCACATAAAGCCTCAGATGCCTCCTATAGCTCTCACTTCAATGAGTCTTAAGCTCGAACACGACCGACCGTGTGACACTGACTCAAAGTCTACACAACGGCACCCTTGGAAGGCTTTCCAAAGACTCCAACGCCTACCGCCCGTATATAATCAATTTTACTCACATTTAAGTGAATCATAGCCGAAGAGGTAGAAAAATACAATAATTAGCCATAGCTGTGGTCTTCAAGCTTTCCAGCCTGCGCAACAATGCCCAGACTGCTGTCTGCCACATCGCGTAGAGTCAAGGTCGCAGACACTCGTCGCCGCCATTTCTTCGAAGGAACAAAGTCTTCTCTCAATCATCGCATCTCACCCCTTACCGGAAAGACTATCGTTATCGCGAAACAGGGCTAAGGGATCGACATGATGCAGCACTCTCCAGCGACCGCGGATCATCGTGCAGCCCGTTCCACCAAGCAGATTTAGGTCAGCTTTACCGAGTGCTCGGGTCTGACATGCCCAGTACATTCCTAATTTAGTGATATGGTAGGTCTAGATCATGTGCCGTGAGGGATCAGCATAGGTCGATGAGGTCTAGAACCGGAGGGCGCTGATGAAGAGAAGTCCATAGGCCATGTCAATCAACAACAGGAACACGACGGCCACAAGCGAACATTCGAGTACGAATACCCTCACCTCTTATGACGTGAAGGTAAAAACGTCTGTTCTGTACTACCATCGGTCTGTCAATGCTTTCACAACCCTTCAGTGACAATGACATACAAAAATCCAGCATCGTCACATCGCCACTATAATCCAGTATGATAAGCTACACGCCAACGTCTAAAGCTTTAGACTAGGTGCATTGAAGATAATCCCAAACGAATGTTATCGCCTGCTCAGAATTTCCAATTCAGCACCTCAGAATGGCATCATCGAAACTGCACCTCCAACAGTCGCGATCATGCAAAATGTACAGCCACGCTCGCCACAACAAAATCTCCAACTGCCAAGCGATCTCATCTTGGTCTCCGAACGACTCAAAAGCCACGGAGCCCATCCGTTAGAGACAAGAATAAACCGGGAGAGCACCATTATGATCTTTCCTCGTCATGCAACAGAGTGGCAAACCTATCAAAACCCCATCTTTCCCACATCGACTTTTTGACACTTCCCCTCTCTGATCTATTGTTGGAGATACTGTAGAACCACTCACAAGCTCGGTATGAAACATACTTTGTCGTCGGGACAAGATCGACTGCACAAGATCAATGACGACGTCATTTACAGAGCATGGGATTCTTGAAAAACCTGAATCGTAATGAAACGTCGAATTTTGTGTACTTTACCTTAGTGCACAAAAGTGAATCGGGTTTGATGGATTTGCACGTGGCATGACTGTGTGCGTGACCTCATGTGGAGATCATCTGCCATGATGCGAATGCCCTTTTAGCTGTGTTAACATGAGGCGCTGTAACGTTGTAAAACATGACGCGAGTCAAATGCCACACATTATCAACTACGCGATAAGTGCGCTGAGCGCGGTATTCGTTAGCTGACGATCACATCACTCCACATTCACTTTGGAGTCAAGAGACACAATGTAGGTATTGTTAAGTTATGGTATTTCTGCCATTCAGTGTGGGTGCTACCTCAGTATGGTCTCACCACCAGTCCCGTCAAATCAACTCTCCTTTATCCACAGGAGATTGCCCGTAAAAGCAGTCCACTCTAAACCACGAATCTTGGCTACCAGCCAAGTGATCCAACATGGGGGTATCCCAAATGCAGAGGTGAGTAAAAAAACAAAAACGCCCGAATCAAATGTCCATGGGAGTGGGTTGGTGCCCCTAAAAAGTCTAAATGCGCTTCCTGGTCGTGATGCTGAATGCTATGCCAAAGAATATGTCGGTGAGGAGAGCGAAAGAGGTGGTACAGGTTTGTGATATAAGTGTCTATAGTTCGTTTCATGTGGACATGTCGAGTGATTGAGTTCGTTGTGATGGCGAAATGTATGAGGAGTAATGGCGATGAGAGCAAGGTTTGTCGCGGCGGTGAGTAGTCGTAAGGTTCGGGTGTCGGTTTTCTAAAGGGGTATCATAGTGTCGGGAACCGCATTCGCTTCCTTGCTTCTAGAGGAGGGAAATGTATTTATTTCTTATGCGACTTGCCAGAGCGCGAGTAGTTTCTTCGCACGCGCTCACGACCGCGTCGCTCCTCCTCATCGCTGCCACTGCTGTGACGACGACGATCCTCCTCGTACCAGGTACTCAAAGCCTTCCCGCCAAAAGTGAGATCCTCGTCCTCGATGATTGTGGGTTGCACCCAGGCGTAAGCTGAAGGATCGACTTCGCGAGCTGTAGGGTCGAGGGCCTGAAGGTTGGGGACGTAGTAGTAGTAGGTTTCGGTTGTGTGAGCCATGATGACAGATATGTGACTTGATTTGGTTGCCAAAAGAATCTGTGAGGTTTGATTGAAGAGTTATATGTTATTGCTTTGTGTTGTTGGTGTGATGTTGTGTTTTGTTAAGGGTGGTTTCCTTTGTTTTTGTGTCTGGAATGAGATGGCGCCTTGGTAAATAAAGCAGGTGTCACTCGTACAAAGGGATGGGAGATTTGTGTGTGAGATAGTTTGATTGCGTCAAGCAAAATAGTTTGATGAGGTCCAGCTCGTGAACAAAAAAGCAAGAAACGCTAATAGCTGTGACGGATGAATCTCGTGATAGTGAATATGAAGTATCAAGAGAAAGAGAGAAGAAAGCCGGGGAAGGGGATTTCGGGGGGAAGGCTGATGGATATAGACACAGGCAGAGGCTGTACCCGACCTGTAAGTGGAGAGTGAATAGATGGAGCCTCAGGTGAAGCCAGGAAGCGAAAGGAGGTGGGGAGTGCGGCGGGCTCTGTTTTTTCAAGGGGGGGGGAGTGGCAAACGCCCCCTGCTACAGACTGAGCCGCACTGTGCCGTCACTGGAAGATAGTGAGCCTCAGCGGCACAGTATCAAAGGATCATAGGTAATCCACAGTGGCAATCAGGACGTGTCTCGCGGTACCGAGCAAGGCATCCCCCACACAGTGAACAGCAACTTTGGGGGTGGATCTAGCCAAGGCCCGGAATCTCGTCCTAGACTCTGGTCCTTTTTTTAAATTTTGAGGCCTGGGGCACCAGAAGGCTGGATCCATTCCTACAGCGTGTTTTGCGGGGATGAGCGAGGGCCTGGATAGAGATGCCCTAGCAGCCTGCATTCCACCAAATGCGTTTACCTTATCTTGAAGTGTACTGAGAAAATGACTAAATTGAAGCTCTCTCGGGAGCACCGATTCACTGTGACACGCGCGCCGAAAGTCGGCCTCGCGGGATCGTGAGGGAATTTTCAAGGTGTTGTTGAGATTTAACTCGCGCGCGATACAGTAGGTGCCTACCTTACACACAAGCTTTGAGGGGATATGTCGGGTTGGGGTGTTGAATCCGCCATGTTGGAGTCAAGATGGATGGACGGTCTTGAAGACTACTGGACAGGATAGAAATGAGTTTTTTTCTGTTATTTGTTATTTGTTTTTTTCTACCTCTAGTAGGAGAGGATCGGTGCCTATTCGAACGTCCAAGTCATTCTCGGCCGAACTAATTCGTATAATACCGTAATGACCCTACGGTGTCATGTTTATTCACGCTGATTTGATACGATGTCAAGTAAGAAAGGTTCAAAAAAAGGGCCGCAATGTTGGACGATCGGGCTTGCCTGATATTACCAAATCAGGGAACTGTCTTGACTCGATTTCAGGTATCAAGATTGCAATTTGATTCAAAAGGTGATTTTTACATTTCTCTGCTGATGACTTGTCTTTGCACTTTTGGTGGATCCCGCGGGTCCGCTTCGGTGAACTGATCGATATCATGATGGGAACCGGCCGAAAGAAGAAGAAAAGTGAGGCTGGGTTCCCCTTATCGTCGTGTCCAAAAAAAGCTCGGGCCCGGCCATGAGTCGATGGTACGATGTTCATTACGCTTACCGAGAGATTGTTCTGGCCCATGTAAAGAAGAAAGGATGATGTTATCGTATATGCTTATGGGGGATTGCAATTGCGACACACTGTGTATGCACAAAGATGATGGTGATGATCAATTTTGTGGTTGAAAATAGATGCTGCGTTGCCTAACACGTACGTTTCAGCCAGCCCAGCCCTGCGGTGAGAGTCCTGCCTTGCGTGAGACTATCGACGAATAAGCAAGCCAGAGTTAGTCTCGCAGGCCTCAGTGACAAGGCATTTCGCATGAAATAGAAATATCCTTGGCGAGGATATGATGTGCTTGTTGGATAAAAAGTGTAATAATCAATTCGTCCTTATCCTCGGTATACATACGCCGTCCACTTGGCCAAGGCCAACAAACAAAATAAACCACGTCGCGATTTGCGGGGGAGCAGGCATCTTTGGTGGAGATGTTGTTGTTGACAGGGGAGGGGACGAGAGGGGGAGTGTGGATAAGCAAGGGCATGCTTAATAGAGCTACCTATTTGAGCAACACAGCTGCCAGATGCAAACCATCCATCTGTATTTCCCCGCGCCCAAGATGCCACATGGGAGGTGAGATACGGAGGCACAGATTACGATTGTACGAAAAGAATAGGTATGAATAGAAAAAATACCTGCTGACTTTAGTTTGCTTACCACGGCAAGAACTACCTCGTACGGAACGGAACGAGCAAATGCGCAGCTGACAACGACGCGATACGCACTGGGCTGAGTACGCGCAACACAAATATCGATTGCGCCGCAGCTCTGGACCCTGATTTTCCACATGGTGTGAGGGACAAAGGCCTTTGTCCAGAACAAAAGGAATAGTATACTTCCAGTTTCTTTGATCAAGCATGAGATAACGATGTCGCTAGGACTGAGGCTCAAAGAATCACCTGCATCTAACAAAGATAACATCTGAGACAATAGAAGGCTAGCTTGACCAAACCCCATGATTTGATACCGGCGCATGTGCCGCATCTTGATACCTTGATTTTCTAGTTCTCTACTCCGTATCAAAAAGGGCGGGGGGTTTGCGCCGCCCGTCACATGTTTAAGTTAGGGGGAATACGATAGCTTCGCGCCACAAGGGCCGAGGGCTGTAACGGTGGAGGAAGCACTGTCATGATTCAATGCCAAGTCTGTAGATTTGCTTGGTGTCTTTGGAGAACGCTATCCTTTTCGCGACTCGGAGCACAGATTGCAAGCCGAGGATATCTTGTCTGCAAAGGGGAATCTGGGGTCAGGCATTACAGGGGGGGCTTTATCCTTGTCGCCGAACTCCCGGAGCCGCGAAATCCTTCTGCATCCGGGCGGACCATTCTTGCTACTTCTATTACCTAGTACTCCTCCGTATAGGTTCCGTGTAGAATTAGAGAGGGCAGCCAGTTGGAGTTTGTTTCCGAGTCTATTGGAAAGTTTATCAATAAAGTCCGAGACATGCACGAGGCTATTGAATTAAGCTGAAAGCTGAGAGTTACCGAAGCGACAGAGTTTTTCTTCTGCCTCTTCTGCTTGTCAGACTTGACTCATTTGTCGTGAGTTGTCCGCCACTGAGCAAACCTTTGAGTCAGTCATGGGTCACCGTCGTGTTCGAACATGTACAGTGTGTGATATCTTGAATTATTCCCAACACACCCTTTCTCTTTTTCGAGCGTTCGTTCTTATTTTCTAGTCTGAGCCTTGTCCGGCTCTCGTAAGCCACGAGGTGAACAGATTGCTGACTAGAAGGGTAACGACACCGCCTTTAGATGTAACACAAAATATTGATCAATCACAGTAATATCATCATCGAGATAAGATATCGGTGAGAGCGAATTGAAATGAAATGAATGACTGACTCTAAAAACCCCGCCAAAGCACCGGTCTTTCCCCCGCTCCGGCTTCGGCCCGGTCTCATAAAAACAGTGGGCTACCGTTCCTCCCCGGCCGGCTCTTGGGATGCACGGTTTGAAAAATTCTTTAAAGTCCTCGGCCCGTGAAAATTTGTTTCGTTTTGTATCCTCAATTAATCGCACGGTACCGGAAATTCTGGGGAAAGCAATGAAGCCAACAGAAACGGGTCCGTTCGGAAGCCTGCAGAACCGTTGAACAGCTAAAGGTAAAGGTTTACCAGCATGTTCCTGTTTTCTTCGGGCTGTCAAGAATGATCTACAATGTCAAATTCAGGCAAGGCGTCCAGTTACACACCAGATGCCCATCTGCCTTGCTCGGCAGCCGTGGGGTCCGAATTGAAGAGCGACGGCTTTGCCTCAAACGACGTCACTTATGCTCTGAGCATGCTTTCTGAGATATCCAACCCCTGTAAAGAAAAGAAGAGAAGAGACCGTCATCGTGGGGGAAAGAAACAGAAATTAAACGAGAGCCGCAAAAGATTCGTAACCTGTTTTGCAGCGGCCAGAAAACGCCGGGTTTAAGAGTCTGTTGTGAGAAAATGCCCCTCTATGATGTCACTATTCGTTGTTGCCCTGGCTGAAATCTCTTGATCTGTTCTGGGATCTTGGATAGCACAGCAATTACTGGCTACATCAAAGCTGTTCTTCTAGGGGCGTGTAATTCTTGATCGTTCTGGTCTTGTCTATGATCAATTGACAATGCTACAGTATGAATGTTCGAGACCACAAGTGAGGCGTATCCCCTTGGCATCTTACAACGACGTAATTCTGGTATCAAGACTTTGAAGCTCAGGGCCATGTTTGGTGATCTTTATGCAAAGCTTACTGCTTGCCACTACGGACCGGTCGGTAATGGATTGTTCGGAGGATATGACTACTTCTCAGCTCCGAAGGGATTGTGATCAGCCTGGACATAGTCCGCTTGGAGAGATAAGATGATCAATACTGACAGGCAGTGTTCTCAGCCTGGTTGATCTATCTTTATTTCCTTTCTTGGTTTAGTCACTGCTTGACTGCAGATTTCCATTGCCAATTGGGGAGTTTTTAATGCCGTAATTGACATGGTTGGTAGAAACAAGGGTTGTTTGGACCAGCGTATCAAGTTGTCGATCCATCAACTGAACCATTTCGCTTCAGTCCAATTGATCCAAAGACTGTGTTTCTACTACAATAGCTTTATATCTTATTCCAACGACTTCATCTTCAGACATACTCGGATACTCGGAAACACTCTCATACCGATGCTTCAGATCATCAACACGAAACGCGTAGTCACCTGACATGGCACCCCGCAGATTGCAATCCTCTCCCGTCCCGTAGTGAGAGGATAAGGCGCAGTATTAAACAAAGCCTAACGTGACGTGGATCAGCCGCGACATCTCATCCCCCGTCCCCCGGAAAACCCTTAAAAAAAACCCAAAAACGAACAATGCGCTGCATGACATTGGCTGCAGCACCATCTCTAAACGACGTCATCATTCGACGTTAGGCCATGCCCCAGGCAAGGCCATGCAGAAGCTCCCCAATCTCGCTCCAGCTCCCCCCAAGCCCGAACCCCCGGCAACACAACAGCCTCAGCAGCAGGAGCAGCAGAACATACGCCCGCGGGCATCCCGGGCCTCATCGTCCCGCAAGTCCGCGACGAACCACGCGTGTGTGCCCTGCCGCAAGACAAAGACCAAGTGCGATGGGAAACATCCCTGCGCGAGGTGTCGGTCCAGCAGCAATGTTTGCACGTACGATACGAAAGTGTTGTCGGGGGAGACGCTGAATAGATTGACCAATGCGGTGAATGAGCAGAAAGGGAGGCTGAATCAGCTTGAGACTATACTCGCGGCGATGAGGAATGGCACGGATTCTGAAGCTGCTGAGGTTATGTCTTGGATAAGAATAGGTGAATCGGTGGAATCTATTGTTTCGTACATTGAGTCAAGGTCTAGGGCTGTTGTTGTGCCTCAGAGGTATGTTTATGTTCTTATAAGTCTATTCGTGGGATGTTATATGTGAGATGTCATTCTTACGTCTCAGATGAGACAATCCCGGTTATGCATTTCAAGCGAAGTGCAGTCTTGCTCACATTATTCTCATCTAATTCTCAATTCCTTCATTTCATATGAGAGAAAATATGCTCCTATATAGGGGAAAATATCATTTCACCAGATTCAAATGAGTTCCTGGGTAGTGAGATGAGTTTGATATTAACTAACCACCTCCAGACTCGTCGGCGTAAACCCCCAAGCCAAGAGCAAATTCATCGAAACACTATTCGACAGAGCAGAATGGCTCGACGGCACAACCTTTGAAGCCGAATACATGAACATCGACCTAGGTTCCCGGACACAGAGCTACTTCTCCTACCACTTCGGCAACCTCCCTTTCTCAAGTGGTATAAAAGCAAACCACTATCCCGCCGTCGCCCAACAAAGCCAGCTAAAAAACTACTACGCCAAGCACAATTGGGCAATGATGACAGCCAACGACGGACACGGTGTCGATTCTGTAACAAAGGCTTGGGCGGACACGCTTGCGAAGGCGAGACAATTGGTTACGGAGGGTGCGAAGCCTGAGGATCTGACTGGGACATTTCCATGTGTGGCGGCGCTGTTTGATAAGGATGAGTATGAAACTGCGCCGATGATAAGTAAATGGGCTGTTCAGTTCATTTATAGTGCGAGGAGGCAGGATTACTCGTTTACGTCCATGGCGGCTGTGTGGGTTGTTTGGGTTGTGATGAGATGGCAGATCAATCCGACTCCACAGACATATGCTGTAAGTACACGCATGCTCGCCTCGATTCTGGCAAAACAGAATTATGGTGTATTGCACCTATTGAGGCCAAGCGAACTCGGGTAGTGCGGTTTCACTAATACTCTCTAGGACCTCCCTGACTGGATTCGACCGACTGAACTCCAAGTCTTTGTTCCTCATATCGACATGCTGGATTGTATATCATGGCCCTACTTCCGAGACTACGTCATTCAACATCCTGAAATGCAACACGGCGAATTGCAATGGCTTGCGGCGTGTACTTCAGGAGTACAAGTGAATTGGCGCGGTACAATAGAGGACGCACTCTGTGTTGACGGTCCCACTGGACGGAAACGGTTCACAGCGGAAGCCGAGGTGAGACCATTGGGGCTCTTTTCTTATGTCAAATAACTGATATATTGCAGGCAACCATTAGAGATCTGCAGGAGTGGTCACTTGCTGCATCGTATCGTGCTTTCATGATTGGTATCGATGGGAATATTCCTATCAGAACAGCAGAGGACGCTGGAGTTAAACAAGCGTAGAAAGATGAATGTGTTATCATGTAGCGATCGTAATTGATGTAACCTGAGCGATTTATATTCTTCATTCATGTCAGCGGAGTTGGTTGGTGTTGGGCATTATTCTGTCCCCATAGAGTTCTTTATAGATCTTGAGAGGTGTAAGCAATTGGCCATGCATGAATTGTAATTAGGCTTGGTTGCATTTTGGAGAGTTTGTTTCTGGTTCATCGGGACGATGCTGTGCCTGGATGTTAATCCCCCTTGTAGCTGTCCAAAGGTTTGCGACGAGTACTCCTCGACATAGCTCTCTAGCCAGGCCGTTCAGACATGGAAGCCATCTCGGAGAGGATGCCAAAGAAAGTGAGAGAGGAGTTAAGCACTATGATAGGGGCTTTTCTAAGGATATTTTGGACGGCTAATGTTCTGAACTGTATCCATGGAAATGGTGGTGCGTATGAAGTGACTGCTTTGGTGACAAGGTAACCACAACATTTACTATGAGCTTTTCATTGTATATTCAGATCCTCGTAGTTCTAGACTGTATATATCCAGGCTTTGGGCCATTCACTGGTCATCTCTTCCATCCCCCCCTCTCTTCATTGATGCCTTGAGACCTGCGGGTGTAGAGCATGCAAGGGTTGCTAGACATGATCTGATCCGGAGCGCTCCAGGGTATCATCGTGAGCAGGCCGCCAACACCATCAACAGGCCTCCAACACCACGACACTTCATCTTGATCTATTTACCCTCCCCCCGTGATCCAACGGAATGCGACAACTTCTCTCTGCGCCAAATCGCACAGCGACAAACGCTGCCTAAAAACTCATGCGCCCCAGAAACCACCACTCCAACCGGGCGCACGCCCAAAAAAACACAATTGGTCACTTCTCACAAATGAGGCTCAGCGCTGTGCTACCAACACCAACGCATTTTTCGCAAGCTTCAATAGAATCATGCAGGCATGCACACTCCGCCTCTTTGCCGCCCGACCCCGGTTCAGCCGCAGTATGAAAATGGAACCTCAGCTCTCACGGCGGTTAATCTTTCACCTCTTCAATTGTAACACCAAGTAAAATGCCGGCTAGAATCCACGAGAATTGCGTTGACTTTCGGGTTTTGATATGGGATAAACGTAAGTAATTGAGCTTGAGTGTGAGGGTGATGCTGATGAGATTAGGGAATGATAACTGGCTTCGTGAGAATGTCCGACCGGGGGATTTTTATGAGGGCGAAATACCTGCGCTGTGGACTGAGTCGCATGTTATAGTCGTGTATGTGAGTGCCCTTTGAGAATGAGAATTATACTGATGAGTGGCAGTTTCGCGGATGCAGATAAAGTACGCGGTTGCTCATCGTGTAAGAAGCGCTTCACAGATGTCTTCTGCATGCCTGAGCTCTGGTGGTCTAGCTACAGCCGTAGATCAAACGGGTATTTTGGCAGCGAGACATTTCGCGATAACAACGGGATGATCATAGCATTAAGTCAGTCTCCCTCCCTCCAGCTTCATGAATGAAACTTACTAACGGTACTAGATACATGGTCACGATTCCTCGTCAAGCAATTAAATGAAGACAACAACCATAAATGGCATAAATCCAACATCCTAACACGCTGGATAAAAGATCCCCAACAAACAATCCTTCTTGTCTTCGAAGCGCCTAAACAACTTCGTCTACGAGATCGATTCCCTGATCCGTTGCTCATAAACTCTCATAACGACACGCTCAGCGATCCATTCTGGTTCTATCCCCGTTTATTCGAAGATCTCTCTTTTCTTCAAGACAACTCTGTCTGGGCAGTCCGCGACCACGTTCGAAGGATTGAGAAAACAGATCTGACGCAGAAACCTGAACCGAAATATCGAGCTATGCATGATACAGCTAGACATGCTATTCACGTCTCGGAAACGCTTGAAGTAGCGGAGAAGACCATTACGGCGATCATACAGCAGCATAGCGCTTTTGAAGCTGAGGCAGCTGGGGGGAGTAGACCTGCAAAAGCCAAGTTTCGACATGTTGGTGAACGGCTGCTTTGGTACATTCACATCTTGCAAAGTCTACGGTGCAGAGCCTCCGCGAACAAAGAACGTCTTCTCAACGAGATCCAACTAGCATTCAATTCAGTTGCGCAGTACGATTCTCGCATCTCCGTTAAGATTGGTCAGGCAACTCAATCCGACAGCGCGGCCATGAAGACCGTAGCTTTCGTAACACTTACATTCTTACCCGCTACGTTCATATCAGCGCTGTTCAGCATGTCTTTCTTCAAAGTTGATGACAATACGGGGGTATGGAGCGTTAATAAGAAGTTTTGGGTGTATTGGGTGTTTGCGGTTCCAGCTACGCTGTTTACCTGGGGCTTGTGGCTGTCGTGGCAGTGGTTTTATAGACCGGTTAAGATTGGGGAGGAGGAGAAGCCTGTGAAGAAGTTTGGTGATTTGATTGGGTTTGTGAAACGAGGTGGGACGGACGATGATTGTGAGATGGCTCGAAAGTGAGGAGATATCTTGAATAGAAACGGGATGAATGATGTTATGGTTGGATAGTGGGACTGCGACCTGGATAGCTTGACATTTTGAGATGCGAATGAGCGACCTTCTGACGTGTATTACTATAAATTGGGTTTCAAATTGAATTGCGCGCTAATATCCGTTGTACTCGTGTCTCATTCCTCATTCCGTTGTGCGTATTGCGATAATCCAAGTGCTAAAACCGTTCAAACCACCGTCCCATGTTGCCTTAAAATCTCACTAACCAAAGACGCTTACCATCAATCAAATGAGTGCGTTACACCTGGCTCCAACATCATAGTCCACAGGCTGAACAGGATCAACCGTCACAATAGTAGCTGGCTTTGCCGAGGCATCATATTCTTGCACAAGCACTGGTGCCGGCGATGCAGTCGTCTCGAAGCCAGGTGTCGGCGTCGATTGAACTGTCACCTCGACTACAATACTATCTTGCGGCCCCGGAGTTGTGCTTTGCGGCATTGGGTTGTTCTCAGCTGCTAGGCTAGTACCGGCCAAGATGTCATTACTGCTGGATCCGCTGTTGAGAATGAGTGTAGTGTTGTCTGGCGTACCCAGGACTTCGACTAGAGGAACGTCGCTCGTGATGATCTCGGGCTGGTTGTTCGGGATGAATACCGGATAGACGGGTTGCTGCTCCTGAATCTGAGTTGCGAACAGTGGCGCTGGTGCTGGATCGGCCACATAATTGGGTACTTGGTACGAGATGGTGACTTGCTGCTGAGGCATTTGAGTCGGATCGTAGACGAACGGCTGAGTAGGATAGGTCTGTTGCGAAGTAACCTGGTACACAGGTTGCGGTGTCGGCCGAGGCACATAAGGCTCTTGTGGCATTGGCGGTGGCATAGCTTCGTTCTGCTCAGTTGTAACAACAGTCTCGAGAGACGTTGTTTGCTGAGCCAGAATCGGCTCTTGGGTTGAAGTAGCTTCGAACGTAGTCTGCTGCTGGACTTCAAAACCGGGCTGCTGCTCGTATGCTTGAGTGTACTGAACTTCCTGCTCGAAAACAGGCTGACCCTCATTCATCGTGTAAGAAACCTCAGTCGTGACGCTGAACTGCTCAGGCTGCTGCCCAAATGCTGGCTGTTGGTCAAACGCAGGCTGTTCAAAAGCTGGCTGCTCGGTCTGCACAGAGTACTCAAATGTCGACTGTTGCTCGTAGGCTGGTTGCTGAAACATCGACTGCTGGTTATCCTCAAATGAGAATGATTGCTGAGGCTGCGAGAAAGAGGATTGCTGATAGTCGAAGCTTTGCTGGAACTGTCCTTGTTGCTGGTCCTGGAAACCGCCCGAGTCATCTCCTCCAAAGCCGAAATCTCCATCATCGTTGTAATTGTCATATTCGCCATCGCTTCCAGAACTGTTACCGCCGAAGTTGTTGACTTGGTTCAGCATTCGGCCCATCTTTCTCCAGTTCTTCTTCTTGCCGAGTTTTCCGACCTGTCGACTTGCCATTTCAACGCCTTGACCAGTAAGCCTTGCCGCGTTAATCGTCGCTGAGAGGATGTTATCGCCAACATTTTGCGGCTGATTTGGCTGTCCAGGTCGTCCTTTTCTCACGATGACCTTATTTCCTTGCTTCGTCTGTCGTGGCTGTTGTCCTGGGCGATCCCACGTCGACAATCCAAGCTGTTCGTTGATGTAGAACGGCGTCATGTCTGGCGTTCTCAATTCTCTCCAGCCGTCCGGCAGGGAGTTTGCAGGCTTCACCCACGAGCTGGTCCCCATTCTCTTATTGAAGTAGAACGTTCGACCATCGGGTGTCTTTCGCTCATCCCAGCCAGGTGGTAATCCCGAGAATCCAAACAAAGCCGCCGCCGTGGGCTTCAGGTGTGTCTTCAAGCCGGTTTCATTGTGGGTGTACCAGAGTCGGCCAGAGACGTTCTTACGAATAGTCCACATATTGGTTGTCGCATCTTGGACGGAAGATTGAACTCGAGGGTCGGATTCGGTGGCATAGTAGGATTTGTCGTGGTTGTGAGAAGTGTTGACTGCATTGGAGGTGAAGCACCACACACAGAAATTCGTCGTGATATGCGCTGTGCTGCAGATGAGACAGGTGTATACTGACACGTTGAGAGGTATCCCTGGGAACGTTAGCGGCAATAACGGTTCATTCAAACGGTCCGCTTACCTTTTCGACAATGATTACACAACTGAGGTTGCCCAGTAGATGTGCGCCTCACGTCTGCTGCAGGACCAGCTTGAACAGCTGGAGTTGGCTGGACCGCTGGAGCATGCTGGGTTGAGTGATTCTGCTGAATCGCTGGGATTTGTTGAGCTGCCGGGGCATATTGAGTCGGGTGAGGTTGCTGAGTGCCTGGAGGATGCTGAATCGCTGGACTCTGCTGGGCCACTGGAACTTGCTGAACTGCCGGGGCCTGCTGGCTCACAGGTGATTGCTGAGCTCCGGCAGAAACAACATTTGGCTCCCATCGTGGTGTGCCAGCGACGCTTGGTGTAGCGACTGTGGTAGCGGGCGTCGCGATACCGGCGCTGCTACCGCTAATGCTTCCAGGTCTGCCGTGATCGGACACAAATGAACCAATGTTGCTGTTGGCAGTATCAACCCGGTGGATTTGCGGAGTTGGGCTTGCAGGAGATTGTTGTGGTTGTGCTTGGTGAGTGTTTGGTAGAGTTGTTTGAGGAGCGGGGTTTGGGGATGGGTTTGTCGGGCTGAATGGTTGTTGCTGAGGGTGTTGCGCTTGAACATGCTGCTGCGGAAGCTGCTGCGGTTGCTGATATGATTGTTGCGGCACTTGTTGGTGGATTTGTTGATATTGAATTGGTTGTTGGTAAGGCTGAGGATGTTGAGGATGGCTTTGCTGTTGTTGCGGAAGGTACTGGGCCTGTTGTCCGGGTGCTTGCTGGTGCTGAATTGGCTGGCCTGGGTGTGCTATCGGCTGAGCTTGGTGAATTTGCTGTGGAGTTTGTTGATGATAGACAGGTTGAACCTGTGGCCCAGGATGATGTGATTGAGGTCTCTGTTGTTGAACATGTTGCTGTTGCTGCTGTTGATTGTGAGGAGGATACCCAACTTGCGGATGCTGTTGCTGAGGAGCAGGTCTATGCGGCAGCGAGATACTCTGCGCTGGTGTTACAGATGGTTTCCCAACAGGTTTTCTAGCCACAGACCTCTGATGCATCAAAGGCTGAGGCGTCGTTTGTCCAACATTACTCTGATGCTGTGGAGACGCCATCTCGACTTACACCAGAAAACACAAGGACAAGGACAAGAAATGACAAGACGGGAGATGAACGGGAACTCCGCTTGGCAATGATGCATTCTATTTATTACTCTGATTCCCCTGTCCATCACAGGACTTTAACTATCGAGACCTGAAAGATTATTTTGTATCTGGTGATGGTTTGTCTTTTCTTTCTACCCCTCTATCTGGTATGTGCAAGGGTCCTGGTTGTAACCTCAGCCGCAAATCTGCAACCATTCACAACGCTTCGTCGTCGACTTCGTGGCGCGCTATGAGATGCATCTTGCTTTTTAGGGAAAAGCTCGAGGCAGATTTGGGTCGAGGGCGTTTTTAGTTGCCGTTTTCTTCTCCGATGTTTGGTGTTTCGAAGCGGCGCTGTTCCGGTGTATTTTATCTGCAGTTGGCAGTAAGGCTCTGATGTGAATTGTGAACAGGTAGGTTGCTGAGGAAGCAGGCGTGAGAGATCAGCCCGAAGAGACGCTTTGATTTCGTCATCGAATAGCACTTACCTTATACGCAGTAAATATTCTCAAGTGGAAATGACACTCTCGAATCGTATTTCCTTAGTCGTTCAAACTGAGAACTTATCTCTTACACTCTCCTAAAACTCATCTATCACCAGTACATGCACCCATCACTGCATTAACGATGTCTTTCCATCAAATTTGATGTCTGTGTACATCGCTGATCTACCAATGGAATCCAACACACCATGTCGCCGTCTCTAGAGAGGTAGCCCATTCTTTTGGACTGGAAAACTGCACTTACTACGCCTGCTTGATGCAGGTCTGGTATCAGTGGGGTCCGTCAGGAGAAGTAAAAGCTCATCTCCGACACTACTCCTGATGACGACAAGTTATGCCGCTCTGAGTTCCTGGACCATGCGCTCGAACTCCTATTCGTTGCTGTTCCCGTTGACACAGGTCTTCCTGATCTTCCTGGAACACTTATTGATACAAACAACCCAAAGACCAGTTGTGTTGAAAACATTGTCTTCTTTATATATATATATATATATATATTGACCATCGAGCCGGCTATCATGTTGCCCATGACAAGTAACGTCAAGGGCGACGACTTTGACCATAAAACATATCAACAGCTGAACGCTACATTGGCACTTCGAGCAACATGCCGCCACGGACTGGGACTTAGGAGGACCAACATTTCATCCGTTATATCATACGAGAGATGAAGATAGCTAGAGCACTACTGGCCCCTGGTTTCGCAAGGGTGAGCTAAAGAACAGAGAAAAGTGGCACGAGTGTGAGAAGGCTACCATAGAGAGTCATTCTACAAACACAAGACTCGCGGTGCAAGCTGCCAAACAAGCTAGATAGCCATCAATGGCCGATAAGCTATCGAAATACTGCTTTGCCCAAGTCGCTATCGCAGTCTCGAACAGCTTGTCCAGGTCCTGGACGATTCTGAAGTTGGAGAGTAATGGGTTTCTGATCAGCCAGATGCAAATGACGAGTACGTCGACATCTATAGCACCAAGCTGATCAACAAGGAATTATGAAAGCTCCCATTTAACTTTCCTCCGCTATATGTCGCAACACGCAAGAACAAGGACGCCCTCGCCGCATTCCACGAACACCTTAAACGTGGAGACCTCGCCCAGGCCGGAGAGCGGTTCTTTGAGGTCCTCGCAGATGGCTCAGTGGCCATTTTCAAGTTCCAGGAAGCGCTACGACTAGAGTAATGGAGAAGGTTATGTCAGCGTCTCGAACTTGGAGTAGGCGTGGACTACTACCCTCCCATCTCAACGCCACAGACATTCGCCACTTGACTCTATTGAAAGCCCAAGATCTTCCTCATCACGATAAATACCTTGCCTATATTACGCCGTGCAGTTAATGTAGACTTCTCACGAGAATACCTTACACCCTTCTTCTTATCTTTACATCTTAAGATTCCACACTTGAACTTCCCCCAGCGACCCATCTTACCGATGATTTGACCTTTCGGTCTTTTCACCGATACCCACAACCCAACCCATACATTCGGTCGCGGGCAGAGACTTTTTCTTGCACCTTATCAAGAAAGTTGAAGCAGATCCAGATGCTGCTCTCGCCTCGATACCTAATTGCCAATAACAGATCGTCATCGAGGCTCAACAGGACGCTTTCGGTAACGCAGCACCTTATATACCTGGCTTAGGTCACTGCTTTCTGGCGAGCAGCGAAGGAGGAGCTGACCGGGAAAATCGAGGAGAACGATTCACTTACTGAGAAGGTTAAGGCTGGTAAGTCTATTAGCACCAAGGATAAAGATGGCCCTTCCTAAAGTCAGAAGAATGCCGAGTTCATGGGTAAGTAGTAGGCACCTTGGCTTGCATACATATACATGATGACACTCTTTAACATTCATATGTACTAGTTCTCGCCATAGCCCCAACTCCAGCCCAGACTGGGCTATGACCTCTGTTTGTCAACCGCCTTATAGTGCTTTTGCCAAGCAATGCGTGAGCATCGAATCGCCCGGTAATGGCAACAAGTTTCCCCTTAGGATTACCTGCTAAGTCCATAAGATTAACTTGTATCACGATGGGCACACGAGGAACAAGCCTCTTCATTCTTTCTTTTTCCTCTAATGTTCTCGATTCTAGTCTGATCGATGGCAGCTACTGCCTGCTCCTGACAGTAGACCTGTCTATGAAGAAGATGATGAGCAACAAGCACTAGTAACCGACCACGCAATTTTCTAGCCCGGTATCAGACCATTTGAGTCAGCTCAATGCGACAAAAGGGTCCAGCACGGAGCTTTGTAAGTGTGCGCTCGGATGAAACTATGTTAATCGCACACAATTGGTCAGGCATTGCGGTATAATGTCAAAGTTGTGAGCTAGATGTGTTATTTACAGTTGAGACCTGTGGCTGAGAGCTTATATTCACCACGCAGAACTTAGTTAACCACACACACATGGTGCACTGATTCGTTCCTTAAAATCAGGGTGCACATCAAGATGACGGCCTGCGACCACTCTACCATCTACTTTGATAGCAGCCCTGCGTGCATCTTGAGCGCCTCGTGTTGGTATGGACGACTGTCGAGCGACTTTGACATAACTTCACCAACTGCATATCTAATCTCCGGTTGCCCTTGGAAAGTCGCATGTTTGGTGTACGAGAACCACAGATGTACCTATGTAAACCACGATAACTTCTCGCAACAGCAGAGTCTCGCAGAGGATGAAGCGACAAGTCTTTCGAGGAAAAGGCTGCGCCATTCGGCTGGGGCGAAAGACGCCAGCTTCTGTGTCATCCCTCAGTTATCCGAAAACTGATCGACACATCAGTGATGTGCTCTGGTATCTGACCAGGAACCCATTTATACGAGGGCTACTACGATGGTCTCGAAGTGTCGCCCAGTGAACTGAACAAAGAGATATACAACTCAACGGCAGATATGGCATTTATTGGTCCAGGTTGCGAACGAGCACCCAGTACGCTTCTCACTATATAACATCCTGATACACCCCAATGGGCGAGGAAATGGCACAGGCCTGTCCTGTCCTCACCTGAGTCGACCCCGGCGCTGGAAAACTGGACCTCAGAGTCCATGAAATTCGAGGAAGTGACCGAATACCTAGGAGCCTTCTACAAGGCGGTACGAGAGGCTATTCGATCTGCATCACCCTCGATAAAGGTGCCCTCTGGAGTACAGCAGAGAAAAAGGCCGACTACGAACATTATATGTATTAGTCGCTGACGTTGAGGTTGCCTATGAAACTACGCACCTCTTACAATGGAAATGGGCCCGAACATGACCGCAACCCTCGAAACCTTCCACAAGGATCCAAACTTCAACGGCAAGGGGACATTTGAATGCCCACAGTACGAAGCACATCGCAGACCACCTCAAGCCAGATCGAATCGCTCAGTACGGGGCAATGTTCATCATAGCAACAAGCGAGCCCCCTGACTCTTGGGACAACATCAAGTCTCTGGTCCTGGTAAACAAATTCCTGAACGGCTTCATCGAATGGCAACACAGAGAGGCCAACATGACCCTTACCAACCAGGCTACGTCTCCCATCCAAGAAACTACAGCCCTCTGTCTTGTCGATAGTGTGCATCTGAGATTGGTCATCACCAATAAGTCCTGTGGCATGAGCAAGCCTTTGTAGAAAAACAAAGCACCACGTCACTTTCCTGAGTCTCATACCAAGCTTCATGATCTCCTTGAAATGGATGATGTTGAAAAGTTGAAGAAGTAACTGATTCTCATTGAACCTATGGCTGAGTTTACGATTCAGACGACGCAGGCTGGAGACATCAATCGAGGTGGCCAGAAGAGTGATGTATTGTTCATCATCAAAGCAAAGGCAGCAATAACAGACGACACTACACAGACAACCAACCCTTTGGCTGAATATCAACAATCCCAAAACCATCTCCCAACATCACACAAACCCAACCTACCAACACTCACCCAGAAAACATGCCCAATTTGTACCATCACCGTCGCCGCTGCTGACCAGATCGGCTTTTGGCAGGTATCTATGAGAGGACCTTCGTAGTCAAAAACGCTGAGAAGAACGCCAAGGCCTAGAGCAGCGTTGAAAAGCTCAAGGCTGCTGACCCCTGCCGCTGAGTACATTGAGTAACAAAGGACCAATGTGAGCAGATTACTCGGGCCTCGAAGAGCTATATGGCCAGATTCAGGAAGTAGATACTGTCCTGCTTAGATTTGTAGATCACCCCCAAGTGGTTGATATGATTCCCATCGTCAGGAATGAATCTTAAGTGTGGGAGAACGGAAGCGGTCGAAGACACGAACGGCGCGCAAGATGTTCGAGTCCATTCAAACAACAAGCATGCGTACTATGCTACGCTCCTGATTTCACCGTGTAAAGACACATTGGTGGTTTTTGGGATTGGCCTCAGATGTAGGCAAAGGCATATCTGATCGCAACCAAAGAATTCCTTTATGAAGAGTGGCTCCAGTATCGCGTGGTTCACTTCCCATATCTCAACCCCAGCACGGGCGAAAAAGAGGCAGGGAATTCCAACCTCAACACCCAAGAGTATTTGGATTAAGTCTATGAAGGGAGTTCAGAAGCTCAATATATATATACTAGTCACAGAAGAGTCATTTCCTTTCGACTGATGTGGAGCGATTCCGGACCTAACCCAGGATGTTTTGGCCTCCCGCAGATTTTACCTGGAATTTGCAGTTTGTAACGTCTTCCACATCGCCGTTCATATCACGGTTCCTCACCCGGAGCCTGTGATCGACTATTACCAATACAACGTCGACCAAGAGCGCCGAGCCAGACTCACACAACGAGCAGGTCCTCCTGGGATTGAAGGTCTAGATATTCATCCCCGAGGACCAACGCAAAGAATAAAGCCCCTCTAAGTTCTGTGTGGTGATTTTTAGCTCTCCGCCCTAGGCGACCGAAACCTATATATCTTTAGGGCAGTGAACGAGCATTGGGTTCACGGATAACGGCTTCACCAATACATGTAGCTACATGAGGCGCCAGGACGATCGAGAACCTGTCCGCGATGAGAACAGAACAAGACTCGAGTTATACAGTGAAGTCGAGGAGCATGGAGATATTGAGAAGTTATTTGGGAACACCCGCAGGCTAAGCGAATAAAGTCGAAGTGGTCGTGGTGAGCGTGAAGGGGTTGACCCTCATCACCATTCCCAAGAAGTCTCCAACAGAGCCAACAGAGCTTAAAGTGGAACATGGCTTTTCTAATCTTTCTTGTGAGCAGTCAGCCATATGGAGTCGACGTGTGGTATATGAACATACCAAGGATATGCCCTAGAACTAAACTCCCAACAAGTCGCGATACGATGGGTTTCGGTCGGTACAAGCGACTTGTTAACAATACATACACTCATCAGGGCCATGCTAGCAGGCGTAGCGTGGGAGGGGGTGCATGAACGGGACTGAGCCTTCAGAGTCTAACCAGACCTCCATGATCACTACTGTGAGCGAGCACTTCCTCATCCTCCTTGACCTGAGTCCGGGTCTCAAGACTATGCAGGCACCAGTCTAGCATTCTCATTGGTACCGACCACTCATTTCAAACAACAGAGAATTCCCGGTCGTCAATTACCTACACCAAAACGGATTACACACCTAATTTTTCAACAAGACCTATATAAGCATGGCAATGACTACTCAACAGCAAGTTGACCACTATGACAGGGAGGTGGGATCTCTAATGCCCAATATTCATGTATGCATTGACATCGTTGGACATGTCGAGAAGGTGGATACAGTAGATGGAGAAGACGACGACGCATTAAGAAGAAATATTACTAATAATAACATATGATGAATATTTTGCATAGTTATAGATTCCCGATATGTAGCTTAAGAAAAACGAAGATTTAAACCCGTGCGCCTAACATGCTTGCCTTGCCAATGTAAACATATTAATCATCACGCCAAGATAGAAACCTCCGTTGCACTATAGCCCAAGCATACACAGCTATTCATTGCTCCCCATCTATTGCTCTCGGCAATGCACATTTAACCAAGTCAATCTCAAGAGGAGCCATCATGTTTGATGATCCCTAGTATACTCAATCCACTCCCTCGTAGCCCTTATCTCCGAAACAGCATGTTCTAATCCATACTACTTCTCACTCAACTGATTTACCTCTGCAGTCTTGTGCACCGCTTCCTGTGCCTCCCCTATCTGGTCCAACTCATTGGTAAAATGTCGCAAAACCCCCGGTTCCATTTGTTGAATATGCCAGCCCAGTGGCAAGCCCGTTTTGCATGTGCCAGGAATCTCTCTTCATCAACTCAGGGTGCTTCCCCCGTTCTGAGACCAGTTTTATGGGGATATAATCCTGCGACAATCTCGGCTGCTGCGCCGACAAAGTGCTCTTCTCCCTTCCTAGGATCCTCCTTGCCTCTACCATTATTCTTAAACTGTCTTTTAATGCAAGCTCCCAAACGACGAGAGTCTTTATTCCCTTTGTTCTCGTGTCCCTCCAATATGCTTGCATTGCGTTGATTGTAACGTATAGCATCTTTGACGAGCTTGTGTATCTCATAAGTGCGTTCATTATCGCCAGAGTGGTGCTCTATTAGGAAGGAGAAGTTCTTGAGTCGACGTATCGCTTCTCTCTTCTTGCTCTCAAACATGTCTTCCGTCTGCTTTCTTTCTCCATATACGGCAGCAGCATCCAATAACCTCTCGGGAATAGTCTGTTTATCCACGTAAGTCAGGATGTGTAGAATTATGTATGCCAACTCGTTCACTTGGTGAATGCGATGAATCGAAGGATCCCAAGTCTCAAGAATGCTGTTTGAACTGTTGTGTAACCTGTATCTGTCGAACTCGGGTTCTTTCAAGATGCTCCATCGTGTTTGTTCTTCCTTCAAGTCAGTAAAATATTGGCTGATGGATGTCTCTGTTCTTCGTATGTATGCCCCAGCTTGCGAAATAGCGAGAGGCAGAAACTGCAGCTCTTTGAGCAACAAAATAGCATCATCTAGCTCGCCATCGCCTATTGATTGAGGCATATTCGACTCAAGCAATGCCTTGCTTTCCTCAGGAGTCATCTTCGAGACAGTTATACCTCTCCGTATGCCTACAAGGCTCCCAACAATTGCTTCATCACGGCTGATCCACAAAACTGTACCGTTTGGGCCTCTGGGGATGCAATTCATGATCTTGCTGGTGTTTCTTTGTGTTGAGCCGACACCAAAAAGGGATAAATCTTCGGCATTATCGATGACCAGGAGCCATCTGGGCAACGACTCAATCTTATGTCGAACATTCTGCAAGAGCTCAGACCCATGGCCTTGAGTATTTATGCCCATAACCATTGCAATTGAGCCATAATCTTGTGCAAAATTCGCCTCGCTATTTGCATGAACCCAAAAGACGGAGCATTGTCTTTTGCTGTATCGGCTGTACGCAAAATCTAAAGCGATTTGCGTCTTGCTGTCAATTTGATCTGAGCGAAGTTCTTGCGGTAGTCTTTAGTGCGCTTACCCAGATCCTCCAAGACCCCAAAGAGCTGCGCTTCGAAAGTCATCCGAATTTCTTGGTAGAAGTTCCTCAAGTTTGGATGATATTTGAGGCCGCGTAACAAAATCTTCATTTCTCTCATAAGGAAACAAAAACAACGGTCTCGACTCAAAACGTTGATTGAAGTTGAAGGTTTGGTGAGCGTTGCCTGTGGCACTGATCCCTGTCACAACATTGCTCCCATACACGGGGTCGTCGAATCTTGGGCCAGCCATTGTGATAAGTATATATGATGCCTGAATTGATCAAGATGTTTTTACTACAAGATATCGTGAGACAAATTTGCGTGTCGAGTTCCATATTCCTTAAGCAAGATCAGATCAGATTGTGGCCAATAGTCGTGATCACCTTGCCGCCCGAGGCCCTGGTCAGGATCCGTAAATTGAGCCTGGATGAAACACCATCATGCTTCATTCTCTTGTCCATTGCGTACGCGCTTAGAGCATCTCTTCCCCTCAACCTAAGGCAAATCTTGTTCTTTTTTCAGCATGCAAATCCGTGGTTGTGAGATCCAATGATCGCTCCACCAAAAAGCCGCAATGACTTCCTAATTGGCATAATCTGTGCTCTTCCTCTTGAGTATGAGGCAATTGGCCATGTTGTCGACGAGTTTTGGGACATCAGGCTTGGGAGAGCGGTCGGTGACACAAACTCATACTCAGTCGGCCGCATCGGAGATGACAATGTTGTTCTTGTCATGTCGGGCATGGGTAAGGCCAATGCTGCGAGTACAGCTGCAAGCCTTCACATCAGCTATCCCAACCTCGAACTTGTTCTGGTAACTGGGATTTGCGGTGGTGTCCCGACGTCTGATTCGGGTGAGGAGCTTTTGCTTGGCGACGTTGTAATCAGCAAGGCTGTCGTTGAATACGACCTTTTCCCCGGCAAACTCAGGACCGAAGGCACCGTCGATGATCGATTAGCAAGGCCCACGAGACACATACGTAGTTTCGTTGCTCGCTTCGAGACAGACAGGCTCCGCGACGCGCTTGAAGTTAAATCAGCTGTCATCTTGGAAGAGCTACAATCACGAGCCGGAGTAGAGGGCCAGGCTTCAATCTACCAATATCCTGGGGCAGATAAGGACTGTCTATTTATTCCCCCATATCGACACAAGCATCAATCGGACTGTGATATTTGTATGTCCGACTCTGAAGAAGTGTGCGACGCAAGTCGCAAGGTTTCATGTTCCGAGCTTGGATGTGATGAGGAACAGCTCCTTGACCGAAAGCGCCTCGACCAGAATTGGAAACTCCAAAAGGCAGGTCGCGAGAAGGAGGCTCAAGCCCCATTCGTGTTTGTTGGCCATTTCGGCTCGGGTGATACTGTCCTCAAATCAGGCGAAGAACGCGATAGGCTTGCACGAGCGCATGATATTGTCGCATTCGAGATGGAGGGTGCTGGTGTCTGGGACGAGATTCCGTGTATCATCGTTAAGGGTGTATGTGACTACGCCGATAGCCATAAGCATAAAGGATGGCAGAACTTTGCAGCTGCAACTGCGGCAGCTGTAATGAAGGCGCTCATTGAAGAGTATCCCAAGACAGATAAGCCCAGAAAGCAAATTGATGAGAGCAGCCGAGTTGAGAATGACGGGAGTAGTGAAGTGGGCAGGGATGCGCCAGTATTTTATGCTGGTGTGTCAAATTGCAACATTTTCACCGGATTTCATTCAAGTGGTGGAACGCAAGTTATCAACTTTGGATGAAGTTAGGCCGAAGGAACAAAGGACAGAGGCGGAATGGGACGAACGGTTGGTTCACCACGTGATGTCATTACAAGGCAAGAGGGACTCGATATGTAAGAATGAGTAATATTATACTCAAAAAGCTTCATAGGATTCATAACTATATAAGTGCCAATTCTGACACAGCTAAACCATTTCATATTTTGTATCAGATTCATTTAAGCATCCTGCTTTCGCTGGTGCTCGAGCTCAACACCAGTGGCGTGGCTCTCCTCAGCATATCGCTGCTTCTCATCGCGAGCCTGGTCAAGCTCCTCGGCGTTCTTGTTGCCGTGAAGACCGATCTTGTACCAAGGAAGCGAGAAAAGCTCATCCATGTTCTCAAGGCTTCGTCCACTGGTCTCAGGAACGGAGAACCAAACCCAGACACCACCGACGAAAGTAACAGCGGCGAAGCACCAGAAGGTTCCCTTGGGGGAGATACCGCCCTCGGCAACAGAGAGAAGCATGTTGGGGACAGCGCGAGAGTTTCCGTACTGGTTGGCGAAGTGGAGAGTCATGGCCCAAGATGTAGCGAGGGCACGAATGCGCAGAGGGAAGAGTTCGGCAGTCAGGAGGTACTGCATAGAGTTCCAGCCGAGAGCCCAACCGAAACCAGAGACGTAGATCATGGCGATGGCACCGCGAGAAGCACCCTTGTCGCTCTCGGGAAGGACAAAGTCCTCGACGACACCGAGCTGGGGGATCTTGGTAAGGAAAGCAGCGACGTAGATCATGGCAATGGTCTGAAGAGTGATACCGATGAGAAGAGCGCGCTTTCGGCCGATGACATCGACGAGGAAGAGAGCGCAGATGACGGCGGCGATGAGCTTAACGATACCGAAGACAGCTGTGACGAGAAGACCCTCCTGCTTTCCAACAATGCCCATGATCTTGAACAGATCGGGGGCATACAGGGTGATGGAACCAGCACCAGACCACTGCGAGAGGAACTGCACCATAGAGGACATGTAAAGACGGTACAAGTTGCTAGGAACAAAGATCAACTCCTTGATCTTGCCAAGGAAGCCAACGCCCTTGGTAGCCTCGAGCTCATGGTCAAGAGCAGCCTGGATCTCGGTGATCTGGTGGACGATGTACTCTCCATCGGCGGGCTGCTGTCGGAGACGGCCCAGGACACGGGCGGCTTCGTCGGGACGGCCTTCCTTGACGAGATAGCGCGGGGACTCGGACTGGAAGAAGCTGAGGATGAAGATGATGCCGGACATCATGATGTGAAGACTGGTGGGGACGAGCCATTGGTTGTGAGAGTCGTCGGGGAGGTTGAGATGGCAGCCGTAGTTGGTGAAGTAAGCGAGAACGATACCGATGTAAACAGCGCCCTAATCTGTTAGATGCTGCAGAGATGAAAGGTGAGAGGAGTAAACTTACAGTGAACATGCAAGAGCAGAGACCTCGAACAGCAGCGGGTGCAATCTCAGCGATGTAAACAGGTCCAACAACAGGAGTCTGGCCAACACCAAGACCACAGATGAAGCGACCAGCATAGATAGCACCAAGGTTTCCGTTGACGCCACCAATCATGAAGATAACAATACCAACGGCCCAAAGGGTGCAAAGAACACGAGTAGCCCAGATACGACCAATACGATCACAAATCATGAAAGCACTACACCAGTCAGTCACCCAACCCTCTTCCAATGACAACAGCCAGGGAGAACTTGGAACTTACATCAGAGCACCACCAACAGAACCGATTTGAACCATAGCAGAGACATTGGCCTTGATATTAGCCTGCTCAACGGAAGAATAAGAATCATAATGAATAGTCTCCTGAAAGTCCTTTGAGTTGAACGATCCAGAAATGAGACCCTCGTCGATACCTCGCGCCGCACCGAGCAGAGCAAAGGACACAACGGCAAACCACAGACGCCAGTTGAAAGCGCCCTCTGGTTCGCCCAGGTCCTTCAGCTTGAAGATGTTGACGGGTTTCTTGACGCCTCCAGCCATGATGAAATGTTCCTTGTTCCTTAGGTAAGAGATAAAAGGGTAAGGAGAAGAGTGCCTGGTTTAAAAAAGTGAGAGACAAGAGGAATCTGGGGATCCTTTTATACAAAGACAAGATACTGGCTTCCCCACGAGATTCGATCTCCTTCACCCCGCTCTTCTCTCCGGACTTCGTTACACCGACCACAACACTAAACCTTCCCCATCCTCCATCCCTCAAATAAAGAACATGATGATCGCTCCTCGATAAATGTCATCCAATAGCGGAGTCCCCATCGTTTTGGCACTAGCGTTACTGCGGCCGTGGAGAAACACTCACAGAAAATGGGGGTAGCATGACGCTAGCACTCATCTTTTGTTCGCCGAGTTCCCCCCTCCCTCCATCTCGTTCAGAAAAGGGAAAGTCTGACATCAGTAAACACGGCAATGGCTTCAACATTATAGGGTGTGGGATGCCCAGCCGCTACCGGCAAGTTTACCACGTTTTTCGCCAAGGCCAAGGCTTTGCCAATGCAAATCGTCCCGTCTGGGCAGTGTCTTCAATTGGAGGCGGGAATAGCAGAGAGCTCTTGTTCCCAATACCAAGAGATATTCTTCAACTTCACAGAAAATAATTTGTTCAAAATAACTGCCGTTGCATTGAAAATTTTAGTGGCATTGCTTAAAGAATGGGCCAGGTCCAGAATCTCTCCGCAATCATGCCATGGCCACGGAAATCAAGAGACGATCACTCCGCATTCCCCCGCAGGTTTTCGTCTCACAGTGAGATCTTCAGAATAAGCATACTTACATACAAAGTGTAAAGTTTAGCTTAAAGCAAATAAAGCTAGAGCCAGGCCCCCTGGGCCCCAGGGATCATCCAGTCCGTTTGGGTTGTCTTTAGTAAAAGATTCGGACCGGTTCTTTTTCTACAACCGATGTCTCCACTGGCAAGGAGCATGTTTCTCTATTCAGACTCGTTCGTGTGGGTTGACCGTTGTTGGTCGAGTAAGGATGACATTTACTGCATTCTAGATGGTCGAGGTGATATCCACTACCTCCAGGCTGCCAGATAAACTGCCTAGGTACCCCAGGAACCCCGTTTGTTACGGTGAATCGACTCGCTTGAAATGTCAACTCGTCTCGTTTTTCGCTTCGCCTTCCCCAATATGGTTATGCGGAGGCGATTTGAACCTCAACTGCCCCATGAGGATTTGGAGCTGCTGATGATAAAGAATTTACATGATGCGGAGATGACATGATGCCAAGGTGAATAATTGGGGAATTCTTTTCTCTTCATGGTTTATTCTCACGTCCAGTATCGGCCCCAGATTCTATACTCATCTTGAGAACCACGGAACTGAAACTGCACCTCCGTGATGTCTTGGAAGCCCTCCTTCATCTGTGGCGGTTTAAACCTGCTCGCGAAACCTGTAAATGCCATCTTGGGTAAGATCTGTCTTGACTCAGGATTCAATGTCGTGTTTAGCGCCCGCACAGCATTGTTATGTTCGCAGACTTGGAGAGGAGTTTTGAACCACACACAACGGATAGAGATGCCGAATTTCTTGGCAAGGTCTACCCAAATAGTCCTGGTGTCTGGATCGGCATTGGTATTATCTGTAAAGGGACCTGGTTAGCGCGCCGTGAGGGGTGGGTGGTGTAGGGGAATGGGGTAGCCCTGGGGTAAGGAAAATTTGGAGAAAAACGCACCTATGGCAATGGGCTTACCCGCTTGGAGATGCTCCCTCGCTGCCTGCACACACTTGTCGCGTGTCTTGAGCTGGTCCTGGTTGATGCGCTCGTACCCCAGAGGCTTGAGGGATTTCCAGTAAAACGTGGATTTCCCAGCCCCGGGTGGCCCACAGAATAAGATGATGTCCATGTCGTTAGTTCTGTCAAAGGTCACCACGGAGTTCCCCGATTCAGCATCGTCGACGAAGGGATGCTCGGACAAGTCGAATTCACGAGCGAAACTCCGAGGCTTCTGGCCGAGAAAGAACTCCTCCGGCGTTTGATACTGGATTCCGACGTTGTGGGCAAAGTTTCTGTCCGAACAGCTGAAGTCCTTAGCTGCGGCCGCAACTCCGTCTGGACCTTTCCCCAACGTCGCTGTGCGACCCCCTGCATCGCCGACGAAAACGCTGTTCCCCAGATCTATCTCGGATTCCGAGATGTCGTAGTCGTCGCAGAGTTCCTTCCACATGCCTGTTCTCGGTTTTCGATATATATCATGCTCGGTCGCCGCGTAGACGCATGTCGGAAGGTTCAAACTATTGAGGACGGCGCTGCATTTCTGTTTAAATTCGGTAACTCGTTTCTGCGCATTGCCTTTTGGTGCTTTGGACTTGGGGTCGAAGTGTAGCGTTAACCCTGCTTGGTTTGATAAGATGACGACTCGGTATCCGTCTTGATACAGTTCTCGAAGTTTGGCGGGGACCGAGTTATCCCACCATTTCCAGTCTGTCCCGCTGCTTGCATGTTTCTTGCCCGAGGCGGTTGAAATGAGTGTCGAGTCAAGATCAAAAGCCGCTATCTTCCTCCTCTTTATTGTTCTATCTTCTTTGACTCCATCGAATCGGCCGACCAGGAGAGTCGCAGGGGTATCGTCGTTAGGACTTCGCTCAGACCAGACCGTAGGATCCTTGGGTTTCTGAGATGCTGGGGTAAAGAAGTTTGCTACAGCAGTCTCTAGGTAGGTCATGTTAGCTAGTGGTCCAATGATAGCATGCTGCGACGTGGAAATCACGCTGCTTCTGGGGTTGCGCACTCACTGGTCGTGCCGCTCTGAAGTTTCCGCTTGAGGGGCGGCGGAGAAAGAGGAGCATCAGATGCTTTGCGCTTGGGTAGGTCGCTTGAAGGCATTTTTGTGCTGGCCAAAGCGGTTGCATCTGGTCGAGTTGTGATACGTCGTTGTTGTTGTTGACGGACGTTGAAATGCCGAGGCGTTAGTCGAGTTCAGCAGCCAACCACGCAAGCCACGCCAAGCCAGCTAAATGCAAGCACTTAACCTACAGTCTTGCGTTCGACACGGAAAATGAGAAGAAATACTCGTAATTTCGAGTAACTAAAAGTAAAAATACGTACAACGAATTTATTTCACTAAAATAGCTACTATTTTGTAGCTTCAACTCTCATTATTCTCTAGATGATGCAGCATATCTTGTTCGTTGCAGTTCTTGGACCCTGAATTTAGAACGCGCAATTAGCTTGGACCTGGTGCTAACACGCGAACAGTCGCGAAGTCACGTGCTAATTAGCAAATTCAAGCTTGAGCTTCAAGCTCTGGTGGGGTACTTGAATGCAACATTCATCAACAGTCAAAGTCCCATTATAAGTGTTTGAACGTATCACAAGGCATCATATCTCAATAACACACTAGCCTTAGCATCAGAGCTCACAGCAGACCATACAGCTACCGTTTTATACTTTATGAACCAACTGGCGTCAATCGACGAGTAGTCAAGGGACAATCTCCCTCGCCTCGTGGGCCAACTTCTCTCTCAAGCATCAGCCTCTAACTGCGATCATCACCGCAATACCAACATAAACTAAGAGGACAACACAAAACTCATATCCAATACAACTGGCGACAAAAGTTAAACTTCGACCTCGCCACAATGCACGAAATCTTCCTTACAGCCCTCATCGAGGACAAAGACTTTACCTCAGCATGCGCAGTCCTAGGCGGTCTCACAAACATGGACCCATGGGAATCAATCCAGCGCGTCCTTTACTTCCAAGGTCCCCAGCGCCCCATGGGTATCTCTAACCAGAGCTCTATAGAAAAGCCTATCCGTAGTAATACTGGGTTCCTTTGGAAAGAGCTTCATCAGAACTTGACCCGACAATCGTTCATATTGCAAACGCGATATGATGTACTCAAAGATCGCGACATGGGAGTCAATGCGCAGCCGATGGATCTTGATGCGACGCAGGGTGTCTTAAGATGGACGGATTTTCCTGATCCGCCGCGTGGACAGCCTTTACTTACGCAGCGGAAGAAGGTTGAGCTTTGGGATCAGAAGAAGTTACCTTCCATCATGCGCGACAACAACCACATGTAAGAAGACCCCCATCCACAGCGCAATTGTCTCTAACAAGAAGCAGATTCAAGACGGAAACAATTGAGGAAGTCTACCGCTTCTACAGAGATGACATCGAGTTCTGTCTTACACGCCACTACTTCCTCCAACCTCTAGAACACTATACCCCCATGGAAACAAAACAGCAACCAACCATCCCAATGGGTAGTCTACCGCCTTGGGAATCTCTCACACCAGTGGATCAGCAGAAGCGATGGTTTCTCCAGGTCAAGGCACATGTCGTCCAGGATAACAAACCGGACGAGATTCGCAAGGCCCAGGATCAACTACTAGCTGTTCGAAGAGAACTCGATGGAGTGTTTGAATTCCGGGGGATTGATCGCAAAGTTCATGATACCAGGGTTATGCAACAGATGCAGGGGGTTCAGCAGTTGCCGCAAAAGGTTACGGTTGGGAAGTAGCATGTCCACACGCAGAAGAAGCCGCGCGTGCGGTATTGAAGAGAGGCTGCCCGCTTCCCGCATGTTGACGGGGCACTGATCGCATTTGGGGTAGGGGACATGAGGCACGTAGCATCCGATGATGTTTAACTCTATTAATAGATGATACCCGGTATTATAGGCGGTTCGATGCCTAGCTATCGCTACGTTCCGATCGAAACAAATTGTCCATCCTGCCATAACTGCGTCCTCAAACGCGTTACTTCGTGATCGCCTCCATGCTCTCATTCAGCTCCAATTTGTACCCCCCCATGCACGCTTCATTTATTCTTCCACGCCTGATCCGCATCTACAAAAGTTAGCTCAAGCCCTCAATGACTCCATTCATACTCACCCTCATGAACAGCCGGACTTGGGATATTCTTCCTCGCCTCCTTCTTAACCCTCCAATCCGTCCCAAACCTCCTATCCCTCTCCCCCACATTCTTCTCAAAGTCAAACTGTCCATCCGCCGTAAAACTCGTCATAAGCTTCGGCTCCCCCAACGGCAACGTATCACCGCGATCCGTCTGCCACAAATGATACACCTTGCCATAAAGTTGCACAACTTGATCCATTTCGTAGTTTTCAGCTACTTGCCATGCGCTTTCGGGGACCGCGCGGTTCGGCATTATGAGCATTCCAGATTTCACTTCGTAGACGTGTGAGTGCCAGAGTTTGCGCTCTTCTTTGTCGAGGGTTTCGTAGAGTTTGGGTGTTATCATGTACTCGATTCCGATGAGGCGCGCGTTGGGCTCGTCGGAGTCGTAGAGGAGACATTGGCGGACGTCCTCGTCTGATGAGGTTAGTGATTGAGTCGAGGGGATGGTAAGGGACGTACTTAGATGAGCGCAGTAGTGGTTTGCTTCGACGAAGCGAGAGGGATCATCGGCATATGCATGAAATGCATTGAGATGAGCGCAAATATGCTTTACAGGTCGAAACTCCTACCATCGAATGAGCTGAAGCTCTTGAGGCACTCATGGCAACTTACCTGCGTCACAGCAGCACCAGCAGTAAGGACCTGATTCTTCGCCGAAAGAGGCTGCCCCATGCCCTCATTCGTAACAGGAATATCTTTCTTGTCTTCAGCCATCTCGAATGTCGTCAAGTTAAGATTTCGCGATCGTCAGATCTAAGATTGTGACGTTTAACAGTTCATAAATAAAGCCAATGAAGATTACGTCATAGACATATGAGTTCACTTGACACAAATGATGTTTCATGGGGAGCTCTTGCGCTACGTAAATATGAGATTCTTGGATTCATTGTGATTTATTGAAGCGTCAGTATGACGAGGTGATGACTTTCCGATGTCGTCTCGGCGCCGGTGATCTACTTTCTCGGTCAGCCGGCCATTGCGGGGACTGGTCCGGCGACCGGAGGTTACCCTGAAGCCGCGCCTATGATCGTGATGTCTCTTTCTTTCTCATTCGAATAGGCATGAAAGAACACGCCTCTGTTATGGTGGTAGTTATTTTATATCTCAGATTATTGGAGGTATCTATTGTCTATCCTACTATCGCAAGATGTCTGCTCTGCGCCACAAAAGTCTCGATAGCAACAATCCTCTACCAATAGTCCTCAAATCTTTCCCACTTGGTCCAAAGTATACCAGCATACTCTGTGTCCAATCTAAATCACAAACTCCTAACTCCAAAATCCAGCATCTAGTTGCTCACAAGCTCACTCACTTGCGGCCGAAGCGTTGCTTGCGCTCCTCAAGCTCCTGCTCCTCCTTCTCGCGACGAGTATCCTCATCAGTCCAAGGACGAGCCTGCGCATAGTAGAAGTCGTTGATCGCATCCTCACGATCACGCTCATCCTCAATGGTCAGAATCTGGCTGTAAGTTCCCTGAACAGTCTCGGCCATGGAAGCTTGAAAGTTAGCGTTCAGTGCACCGAATCCCTCAACATCACATTCCTTGTGGGTGATCATGCCAGGGCCGGTAGGACTGGGAGTGAACTCACTCGCCTCAGGGTTGAACGTGATGGAGCGACGCTGAGGGGGAGTAGGAGTGGCAGCCTCGTGGGGAGACGAGCTGAGCATCTGATCCAGGGAGCCGATGGGCTGAGGGTGGTAGATACCAGCTGGCTGTGGTTGGTAGGAGATGATCGGCTCAACAAAGTCAGGGTCCATAGCCTGAGGATAGTGAGGGCCCATGGGTTGGAAAAGGTGAGGACCAAGAGCCTGGGGATGAGGGTCAATAGGCTCAGCATGGTTGTAGCCGATGGGCTGTGATGGATGGGGACCAAAAGGCTCAAGAGAATGAGGGCCGATAGGCTCAGGAAGACCAGGGCCAATAGGCTTGGGGTGGTAAGGGATGATGGGCTGAACAAAGTCAGGGCTGGGAGGGTTCATGGCATGGTGTGGGCTCATAGGACCGATGGGATGAAGATGATCAGGGCCCATGGGCTGAGGGGAATAAGAGGTGATATCCTGAGGAGGATACGGGTTGATACCCTGGTACAGAGTGCCAGCGCCCTGGAAGGGTGAAGATGTCGGACTAGCTGGAGCTGAAGGAGTGCTAATACCACGAAGGTAGAGCATGGGGCGCTGAGGAGCCTTGAGGGAAGTGTCCTCCTCAGGCTGGTCATCAACCTGAGTGTTCTCACCGGGAAACTCACCAGCGTCCTTGGGCTTGAGAATCTCAGCTGGGCAATGATAAACACTACCCTCGGTAAGATCCTCCTCCTTAGATCCAGGGCAGTCAAAAGGACAGATGTATCCGCCAAGAAGACGGACATGGCCAGGCGGAGCCTCTTCACGACGGGGAGCGACACGAGGCTCAGGGTTGGCGCGAATCTTGGAGTAAAGAGAACCCTTGCCAGTATCTTCAGACTGGGAAGAGCCGGTGGAGGGTGGTGTGACTAGCTGACGCATTAGAGGGTTGATCTCAGGATGATCAGGAGTTCCGAGGCGAATGTTAGCGGGATCAAGGTCGTCACCCTTGAGGATGGAATAACGGCGAGACATGGTGAAAGTAGTCACAAGTCTCAAGGGGTTGGTTGTTTAGTTTCTGAGGTTGATGGGGTTGTTGATGGGATTGGTGATAGTGTTGGTTAATCGTTGTCAGGATGGAAGATGATGAGATAAGATGTGAGTTGCTCGAAAGCTGGTGAGGAAGAGAAGAAGATGATTGAGATTAGAGACTGAAGTTGAGATTATAAAGGATAGAATCTCTTATTCACTGGCATCACTTGAAATGTTCGACTTCCACTGCGAGTGGGACTGCGCAGCTGTAACGAGGGAACTGCATCACGTTCGGTCTGTTACGGGAGTGTACTGGCTGATGTCCAGGCAGAGACCTCAAGTTGTATCACATATTCATGCTAGTGGCACTTATTTCGATCTCCATTCTTTGGATCTCTCAAGCAGGACGAGACTGTAGTTCGCTGAAAGTCATGGAACAATGTCGTTATATCGCCTTCAGTGGCAGTTCATCGAGGTTGGCCAAATGAATGGTCCAAGTCGCAGGTGAACATGGAAGGTCAGCGAGAGGAAGCTCATTAGGATGATATATGTTGATAGAAATGCCATTGGTTATTTGAGATAGATAGGAAATTGATGGCGTGGAAGTTGACATTGTCAAATTGATCCAGGCCCTGGGACGATTGACCACGTCTCCCCCGTAAACACCAATGATCCATCTTGTCTCAATTTCTCTGGATCAAGATAAATCTTCATTTCGACATTAGTCTTATCGACATTCGATACTCGCGCAATCAAGTAAATCGTAGGCGACGTCGCGGGTGAAAGAGTCGTATTAGAAGTTTCCTGCATCTGCGCAACCCATCAGTACACAATCCAAAAAAGAAAACTGTCAAGACTTACCTTTTGGTACTGTCGCTTACTCATATAAAACGGTGTTCGGCTATGTCCCGTCGTAGACTTGACTTCGATCAAGAACAGAGGCTTTTTGTTCTGCCAAGCTGTTTTGTCGAGATACCCTTTGTCTACCAAGTGATTCGTCAATACCCGCTTTCGGTCAAAGTACACAATGTCGGCGGTTTCTTGGGCGGTCCAGGGGAGCATGTCTGAGTAGTCGGGATGGATGGTGATGAATTTCCTCATTTGGCTTTGCCAATTGTCGCGACTGAAACGCGGTAGTGGTGGATTCATGTTGCGAAGAAGTTCATATACCTGTGATCGTGTAAGCTTTATCTGTATCAACAATGAAACGGGAGAATCAACTCACAAATAGTTCACCAAGAGCTCCAATTCGCATGTCTCGTTCATGAAGGCCATGCGACCTGAATTGTCGTGATAACTCGAACTCTTCTTCATCCACTTCTGGCAATGCACCAAAGAGCCCCGACATGTCATCAGCACCCTTACTAGGGAGTACCGTCGCATTTGCGACCGAAATGACATTATCGACTAGTCTCAGATAATCTTCTTCATCCTCAATGGTAGGATGCTGGGATGCTTCGCCAAAGCTCTGAAATAGGAACGCTGAACTGGGCTGTGCTGTAGGTGAAGAGCCGAAGACGAATGCTGGCTGACTTGCTGATCTTGGCATCGATTGTAAAGACTCATGTCTGCCCGTGTTCCGATGAACATTTGACGATGTTCGCCTGTTCTGGCGGAAGTATTCGGTCGTGGACGAAGTTGGGGTGAACAGTCGTCGTCCAGTGACGGATGAGTTTGAAGTTGCTGGACTTCGTTGTCGGATAGGGAGGTCTGAAAGTCTTGGAGGAGATCTCATATTGTCGAATGTGTTGAGCATAGAGTCTTCGTCGCTCGATATGTCGTCTTCGTGAATCTCTGGTTGTGCTAGGAATCGAGCGATGGGATCCTCCTCCGCTTCGTGGAAGGTAGTCTCATCGTTTGTCTCCTGAGCTTCATGATATACAGTGGCATCATGTAAGCCCTCCTCTTCGACATCAACATGTTCTCCTTCAGATGCATCGATTTCATTGTCAGCTTCCTGCTCACCTATCCCTTGAGGTATGTCCACCTCGACAATACCCTCCGCCTCCAGAATCTGCGCCATGTTGATGAGAGGTGCATTTAAAACGGCACTCACGATCTGGACAGCTTTGGAGCCAGCATGCTTGACTTGTAAGGTGGCCGGATCTGTCATCATCCATTCTAGAAACCGTCTTGGAAGAGTAGAGAAGTAACAGAATCCTTGGGTCTTGGGATCACGAGGAACGTAAACTTCGAGGTGGCTGTCATTTTCGCGTATGTGAAGTTCACTCCTCTCTTGCACGTGTATCAGACCATGGCCATCCTGTGACAAATGGAGTTCGGAGGAGATGCCGTCCGTTTCGTAGACTTTTGCGCCCATGAGGGTCCAGTAAAGCTCTGAGTTATCCTCCGAAGTTCGAGGACTGTTAAAGTGAACCGCGATTCTATAGAAACATATTTAGTACTTATCCGTAGACCTCAGTTCAACAATAACTTACCTGTACAGCCCGTCTGCCTTTTGCCTGATTTCCCTGTCCGGATACTGCAGCTTGTCCATACGTCCGCCCGCCACAGTTGAGATCTCACGCACAGAAATAGACAAACACCGCGACTCCAAGTCGAGCCATGAAAGAAATGGCCGTAGCCGACGAACTTCATCCAAAGTGAAGTCGAGCATCTTGGCCTGAGGAGCGAAGACATCACCCAGAGCCTTTCGGTCCGCAATAGCGAATTGCGTGCGCCCTGACTGTAGCTTCACCGACTTATTTGGATACCTCACAGGAAATACCGTCCCCCGAAATATCGGCTCTTCATCAGGCGGATCAACAGTCGAACTGAGGAGCGAATTGAGGGCCCAGATGGTTTCTTTAACAGCGGCGATCGATGGTGGCGGCACTCTGCTGCCCATCTCCTTGAGTTCGTCGTAGGCCATATCGAGCGTGAGCTCTTGTACCCCGAGGAAGCTGACGAAGAAATCTTCCAGGTCGGGGTAAAGATCATTGAGAGCTGCTCTGCCTCGGATCTGTGTAGCGCCTGACCAAAGGCATTCGCCGACTGTGTACCAACGGCTTACGTTTCCGATGTTGAAGTAGATCAATGCCTCCTCGGCAAACGTTTTCCTGGGCATTTGTAAGATTACAGCCTGAACGGCGTTGAATAGAATCGCACCTTAGCTTTGTAGCATCAATCTCCATGAGGCCGAACCTCTCGGAGTCCAAGGAACAGTACAGGTCATTAACCCAGTCAAAGTCCTCACTCTTCAAGTCCTTCAATCTCCGTATCTCATTCAGGTAATCCTCCCACGAACAATCTTTGACTCCGAGTACTGTCTTGAAAAATTGTCGCAAGACATTGAGATCTTCTTCTGAGCGATGAAAAACGATTCGGTAGAGGTGGACCAGGGGGTATGCCGTCTGCATGTCTTCTCGGGCGTTCCATAGGCACTTGTCGGATGATGTCCATGTCGCTGGGCTCGAGCCGTGAGCAGGGATGTATATGAGGTTTCCATCGTTGATAGCTTGTCTGTGGTCCTTAGTTAGTTGTAGCTTGAGATATGCACACGAGAAAACGTACCTTGCTTCTGCCTGCGAGTCGAGGAAGCTATCAGCTTCCCGACACCGGGCATGAATGACTTCATAAAGATCCAAGACTCTGGTATTCCGACGCACTCCAGCAGCAGCATTACTGTACCGTATTGTCCTCAGAATAGTAAGGTAGAATTGGAGGTCATCAGTACACCCAACCCCAAGATCGTCAACCAAGAAACCCCATTTGGTACGATACGTGCTCGAAGTAATCGGTTCACTCAAGTCCAGAAACACAAAACCTTCATCCTCAGCATAACGCGAATGCTTCCCCTCAAGCTCAGGCAGAGGTAAGTAAGTCGTCGACAGAGGCTCAGACAAAGCAAACTCATCTCGTCCTTTACACACGACCTCGACTTGGCGCAACTCCCTCATGATATTGGCGGATGCCGTGACTTCTTTCCTCTCAAGCTCCCAGACTCTCTGAAGGGAGCCCAAAAGACTTTCCGGTCGGTGCTGCTCGATGTAGCGAAAGGCGGAAGACAGCTCTAGTTCTCGGTCCGGACCCTTTTTGGCAAGTCGGAGTTGAAGCCGAAGTCGGAGGCGTAGCTGAAGCCATCCCTCCCATCCCCAGGAGTAACCCGGTGGTGTAGCTGGCTTTTCCTTGATGTAGTCATGATGGAGAAAAGGCGCTGGAAAGCCGGGCGCGTCTCCCTGGGGTTTGAACAATTCGCTGGGTCCATACTCGTCGTCTGTTGTGAGATAGACATCATGCTTAGTTGGTGACCGTGCTCTCATATTCTGGTCATACACATGGTAGCCACGCAACTTCGCTTGATTCTCGTCATCCTCAAGAAGCACTTCGGAAAGGTACAAGAACTTAAGATGGGTGATGGACGCCGCCAGAGTACCTGCATCAGCCACCGGCCTGATTGGCTTCTTCAGGATTAGGGCTCGCACATCCTTCACAAGTGCCTCAATGACTCCGAACTTGTCAAACAGAGCACGCCGATCAGGATTACTCGCTGCTTCCGAGTCGACCAGACTCAAATCAAGGTCGTCAGGGATTGCAAGGCTTCCCGAGGAATGCGAATAGTACAGTGGCCCGCTGCTTGAAGAAACCCAGGTGCCATTCTCGAGGGGGACGAATCGAAGTTGTTTGAGGCGGTCTTGAGCGGGACCTACTATCGCAGTGTTCTTCAACAAGACGAGCGCTCGTGCTGCAAGGGAGTGCCATTCGTTATCTGTGGTGGGATTCTTCATCCTAGATTGATGGGGGTCCTTCTCGAGATCCTTCTCAACACGAGTGATCGCATCTGAAGGCGACATACTTTCCAGTCCATACGGCTCCAACAGTTTCAAATCCTCGCGCGTATACTCCTTCGCAAGATAAATCTCCTCGTCAAGATCCGTGAAAAGCGGATCACCATCTTTATCGCGTAACCATGGCTGAAGACGGCAAAGCTTGTGAATGTAATCCAACCTTCCAGTACCGAGCGTGCGAAGCATTTTGACTTCTTGTATGCGCGCTTCGATCCTGTCGAGGAGACCTATCCAGAAGCCGTCCCAAGGATAAGAGTTTCGTTGGGGGAGCCAGCGCATCCACTGGTATTGGAGCGTCGGGTGCTGACAGAACTCTTCAATGGCTTTGATGAAGCAATCTGCGATGACGTTCAAGAGGCCGCGGTTTCGGAGGGATGTAGTGACGATACCCTGTCGACTGGCTTCGGTGACGAAATCGGTGTGGATAAGGAACTGTGTCAGCACGATTAGTCTCTGGCAAGCGAGGTTGTCTTGTTTACATATTGTTATGGAAGTCCATCGTAAACATGAAGAAGGCCACCATAGTGCCATGAATTCTAGCGAGCCTTCATAGCGATCGTAGTCTGTGGTGACGCGTGCCAGTTTACAACATACCTCGAAGCCCATGGGGCGCATTGGTAGAAATGCAAAGACATCTTGATTCTCAACAATTGGTGTACCTGACTCCGCCAAAGGAAATGCCAGCACAACCTCCGTAGACGAGTCGGCGCGATCTTGCTCATCGGAGTACGTCCTGTTCTCGCTCTTCGGGATATTCTCAGCAATGTGTTTCGTGACATGATACTGCCTCTCCTCCACCCCCTCAAGTGTCTCCTTCTTCACAGTAACCGGGTTACTCCCATGAAGAGAATATGTCGTGCTCGATGTTTGAGTGTCGTCCTCATCAAAGAATGAGACTTGCACCTTTCGGAGTTTGCGAAGGAAGAGTAGGATCGTATGTTGTAGGTCTTGAAACTGAAGTCGAATCGTCTCGCGTTGCCTCGCGTCTTCCTCCGGGTCATCACTCATATGTAAAAACAACGTGATGCGAGTCGAAGAGCTACCCATTGACTCATCTGCAGGCTCCCATACAGGTGTAACCATGCCGAGACCGGAGTCGCCTTTGCGATGCGTGAACGAGAACGAAAAGTCGTTTGACTGAATATGAACCTTCCAAGCCGCCATAAACACTGACTTGAAGCCAATACCCTTCTCTCCAATGTACCCAGCTGCCCCGACTTTTGAACTCTTGCCGATTGCGCAGATGGCCTTTAGATTCTCATGCGTGAAGCCGTTCTCATTGCACTCAATCGACACCTTATCTGGCCGAACTTGGAAAGATACATATGGGTCTTGCCCGCTGGAGAGAGCCGTGCTGTAGGTATTATCATCGGCATTTTGGAGCAGCTCAAAGACAAATCTGGCATTACTTGTGTAGAGATTTCGTGCCAGCCTGCAATATTGTCAATGAAATACTCGGAAGCCTGTGTTTGAGATGAGATACGTACGTTAAGACAGCTGAGCCTATCATCTCATCCTTCCGAAGGAGAGCTTCTTCCACCTCGCGTCTAAGCTCAGGGTTAATCTCTCCAATCCGCGCAAGTTGCTCTTCGCCAAGATAGCCGCGCTCTTTCGCAATCTCCTTCACCAAATCTTGAGCCGTGCGCTGGCCCGGCCCGGGCTGGGGAGTATCGGTGGACATCCTTATGCGCGGCCCAACGGACCCTGGGCTTTCGAGTCCCGTTATTATCACCAGACAGGGTGACGCAACATGCAGCGAAGAGAAGCAAAGACAAGCGCGGGAAACGACTGCCGGACCTGTATGTTTATCAGCCTCCCGTCAAAGAAATGTATGAGTTCTTCCTACCGCTCTCCTCGTACGAGGCCGGAAAGGCGCGTCAAAAGGCGATGCAGGGGCTTTCAGCTTGAGACGCAGATGAGGGAATGATTGGCCCAAAACATCGCCAAGGTGTCAGACTCCCGCGTTAATCCTAGTCCAAGTGGCATTTCGTTGTTGTTTTGCTTTTGTTATGAAACGCATTGAGTAGTGAAAACTCTGACGTTGCTGTAATTGATCGGTTCAGAACCCAATTATGAGAAGTAGATGAGGCGCTCTGTTGGTGATGTCTCTGCTGAATTAAAGATGTCAATAAAGACTGGCTTGTGAGACGATGAAACGTTCTAGGGGAGACCCCTGCTCGCCCGCTGGAGATTCACATTTAGTGCCCGTAAACCCTGGATATTTCCGGCGAGTGATAACATACGATACTGGACCAGAGGCTAGTAAACCGACTTCACTTGGGGATATCAAACAAATGAAGGACTGCTTTAGGTCATGTCTTCCGCATCTGCCTTACTGAGCCATGGTATAGGTTACATTAAAAATGAAGAATTATCTGATCACATCACTGTTTGCATCGATCTGTAGGATACTTGAGTACTGTGTTCTGTCTTGTCTGCTGAGAGTCAAAATACACCTCACTACTTTTCATTAAATGACACTCCAATCATCCCCCTGCAAAAGACCAAGACTACCCATAATACTCATCATCCTTCCCACAACCATTTGTTGTCACTCGGACTGGCACTCAAGCCTTAGCCATAAGGAAGGCCTTGACGTTGGCAAACTTCTCAGCGGTCTCGAGAAGCTTCTCAGCATTGTTGGGATCATAGGAGAAATTGACAGCACGTCGGGGACCAGCGACAACAGGAGCCTGTTCCTGCTCTTGTCCCTGCTCCTGTCCCTGTTCCTTGTCCTTGACCTCGTCAGCTGGCTCAGCGGGCTCGGAGGAGTTGGAGTTGGCATTGCCAGGGGCCCAGCGGCTGGTGGAAATGCCCACCTCGTCGGGGTCCAGGGGTTCCTTGACTCCTGGCGACGATTGTCAGTCACTGTTAAAGTTGGGGAGGAAGATCTCTTACCAGACTCGAAACCGTGATTGTTGGCGTTGTCACCTTGCTCACCAGCGGGGGCAGTGTTGGTAGTCCACTCATCAGCGGGAGAAGCAGGCTCGGCAACAAGCGAATCAGTGAAAATAGGCCCACTGGGAGGTGAGACAGTAGCGTTCAGAGTAGGACGCTCAGAGCCGGAGAATTCACTAAAGTGCTCTTCAACGGCAGCCTCGAAGCCGGGCTTGAGCTCAGCGGACTCGGGAGTGGGCTCGAAAGCGGGTTCACGGACAGGCTCACAGGCGGGCTCAGTAGATCCAGCTGGCTCAGCGGCAAGCTTGACAGCAGACTGGCCGGCGTCGGCGTCGAAATGAACATGCTGGCTAGTAGTGACAACCTCGGTGATGGGAGCAGCGGGCTTAGCAGAGACATCGACGTGGTAGGGACAGGCAGTTTTGTTGAGCCACAGTTCGGAAATGACTTTAAAACGCTGTTCCCAGCCATGCTCGGCGTCGGCAGGGCGAAGAAGAACAGACTCCAGGATCTCCTGAGCCTTGAATCCGTTGCCGACTCGGCTCTCGCGAGGAGTGCATTCAGCGCAGCGGACCTTGGTAACGCCGGCGAGGTCGATACCCTTGGTAGGGATCTCGCGATCAATAATGCCGCAGGAACCGAAGAAGCAGATGCATTTGCCTCGGGCGGCGTCACAAACGACACGTTCCTTAGCGACGAGGTGAAGCTTGGCACAGTAGAATGCGAGGACTGGGGCCACCTCCGGGGCGCACTGAGCGATGGTGATGACCTCACGGCACATCTTGACGAAGAGAAAACGTGCGAAGGAAAGTGAAGGACGCGTGAGGGTAAGCTGCAGAGACAAGAGATGAGAAAGGGAAGATGAAGAAGAGACCAACGAGATACTTACTGTCGGGATCAAAAAGGTAAGGCTCAAGATCTCTTGTACCTGGAGTGCGGTAGAGGAGAGAAGGAAGGAGGGAAGAGAGAGGAGGGGGAAGGAAGGCAAGTACCAAATGTGTGAGCCCTAAAGATCAGGCAGCCGTGAGTATGAATTCAAAACAAAAGAACGTAGAGGAAGGAAGGAGAAAGCGCTAGTTGGAGTGCAGGCACTGACGAGACAACAGCTGTAATTCATAGCAGCTACAGTGGATGATAGGGGGTCGTCCAGTAAGTCGAAGCCTGGAAGTGCTGAAGAAGAGATGAAGAAGGGACGAAAAGGCTTGGCGAGGAAGATATGATCGAGCTTTGAGTGTTTATACGCCCTAGATGGGCAAGTGAGGAGGCAGCCCAGAAAGACGTGACCGTGATACAGCTCCTGAGAAACTCCTCATTGGCTCTTGAGATTTTGGTACAAGGAGATTCATGTGGAGCTCCAATGCTCGAGCTGAATCCAAATAGATTCAAAGACTTAGGTATATATCATATATCTTGAAGGTGATGTTTGGTTGATAATGCACCGGTGCAATAGGGAGTGATGACAATCCGATATGTGCACTTCGGCCCAGGTACCCTCCCGGCTCCATGCATGCCTAACTACACAGATAAAATCACAAACAGATATCACATATGCACGCTATGAAGGTTAATGATTCGTATTCTCGCATGATCACATTTGTTGTGCTTATTGCCGAGTGCAACTGGTGATGCCTCTGAAATTCTAGAAGGATAATGGATGTTTTCCACTGTTGATTGCCCTACATACATCACCACAACTGCCAGCAAACAGGGATCACAGCCCCGCTTCCACGGCAGTGGGATAGGTACCAAACTGGAAGTGAAAGAAATTTCTTTGTGTGCTGGCAGAGCGCTGCACGATGACACTCGACAAACTTTCATCACTTGGTTTTATCACTACAAAAAATCTCTGCCTGGCTATTCAGAGAACTCGCCTACTTACTCAATCCAGGAAGAATTAACAAAAGTCATCGATGGCGGTGTTCGGCCTCTTGGCGTTGATTTTGGCTGACCTCTCCGAGCCTGAATGCGCAAGAAGTTAATACATATCACTAAGTAAACACGCTTAATCCAGAGCTAATAAAATAGATAACCGAGAAGCATGATCCCGACGATCGTCGATCCCATCCTTCGCCATGGCCGGCAACCCTTATCCAACGAGACACATGCGATGCAACGTTTCAGCAATACAACTCCATTTGTACGAGGCGCTCAAAGAGTTACAGCGTCGGGTTGGGGCCAGGAGCGCCATGGCTGTCCAATGCCCGCTGCCAGAAGATGAGCGATAAATTACTACTACTTCTACGAAGCCAAGCACATGCACTTGGAAGACTTTAACATTCATCTGATCAAAGGCTCAGACCTTGGCGCGATGACAAGCCCGGCCAAGTCAACAGGCAACAGAATTAAAAATTGGGTTTTCTCCATACCAAGGAGTTCTTGTGGAACATGTGCCTTGCACTTCGGGGTAAATTGGGTCTGGTCCACATATCCCAGCTACCGCGCAGCCAGTATTCGATGATCGATTGAGTATATTTTGACAATCACAGGTGATCCAAATGGACCAGCCAGGTCATTAAGTGTGAGAAGTGGAGGACTTAAGTTGCCAATGCTTGGTTTGATACAAGTATAGTATGTACTCATTCTCAACGCCCCAATCACGCTCACCAAGAACCCCGAGGAGGTTAAGATAAGCTCGTCCTTAGCAAACCACCAACTCTGGCCAAATCTGGGTCAATTCCACGTGCTCAATATCCGGGGTCAGCGAAAAAACACACAAAACCGCACACCTATCATCAAAAACTTGCTCTTGGGACGACTGAAGAATTGACGTCAAGTGCAATCTTTGGTCGACAGACTGTGACGCACGCCCAGACTAGCGCCAAGTCATCCTTGTCGTGGGAGGGTCGCCCATTTAAGCTTAATTGAGACGGCTTACCAGGGTCTTCACGCCGATGATCGTTCTTGGGGAAGACATAGCGGGCTTGGCAGATGATTTGGCGTCGGCGGCTTGGAGTAGGTTTGTGTGAGGCTCTTTTGGCTTCATTTTGAGTTTGGAGAGATTAACCGTTGATTGACTTTGGACAGAACTCAATCGACAATTCTCCGACTCTGGGCCACGGGTAACGACACGGACGAAAGCACCCCCCTGTTTGTTAAAGAACAAAACTCAGCTATCGAAACAGTCTCATCAGAGAAATCATCAAGTGAAAATCTATATGCCGTCGCACTTCAATTTCAACTTTCGTTACATCCAACGCGTCATCATCACACAGTCTCCCTTTGAAGGATTCGAAAGGCAGCAGCAAAGAGGACATCTGCACTTCGTCTCACCTCTTGGACAACGTCATAAAATGGGTTGCCGAGACAGGGATACACCGAGCTTTGAGCCGCACCCAGCCAAAGAAGCCGACGATCATCTTGGCAGCCTCCACTCCTCCATCCTCGAAGTCCTTTGAACGATTGCTCATCGTGTGGAGTAAGCCGTGTCGAATCCTTTCCAAAAAGCCATATAATAATTGGGCCATCCCCAGCTTCTGCGACTCTGTTGCATTCAAAGTATTCCCTTGACAGCATCCGGGGCCCCAACTTCTCCCCAGACTCAGTTGCCAGTGAAATTGCAGCCCTCTTAAGTGGCCTTCCTCTCATCTGTTGTCTTATCTCATCCAGATAAATACACGATGCCTCTGCCAAGAGCCGACAGCGAGGCTCCGCCCGCTTACGACACGGATCATATTGGGCCCAACCACAACAGCCACCGCAACTCCAGCAGCAATGGTACCTTCGTCAACGATAATGAGGGCGTCGGCTTTGGCCAGCGAAGAGTCTCCAAGGCAACTCTTCTACGCAACCCTTTGGCTGGCATGACTCGGGAAGAGGTCCTTGCTGACGTTGACGCTTTTGTCGAGTCCAAGGGCCTCACCGAGCACCGCGAGGACTTCCGAAAGGGAGCTCTCGTTGCTCAAGTCAACAACACACCTAGTGGCTTTGAGAAAATCGACATGCTTTCCGAAGATGAGAAGGCGATCTTGAGAAAGGAAGAGACTTCTCGATGGCATCAGCCTTTTGCCTTGTACTTTCTCTGTACTCTCTGTGCCGGATCGGCTATTGTGCAGGGTATGGATCAGACTACTGTCAACGGTGCGCAGGTATGTAAAGCTGCTTTGGATATCACTGGCGAGTGTATCTGACGATTATAGGAATTCTACTTTGATGAATTCGACATCACAAACGAATGGATGAAAGGTTTCACCAACGGCGCTCCTTACCTTTGCTCTGCCCTTATTGGTTGCTGGACAAGCCCAATTCTCAACAAGTACACTGGGCGTCGTGGAACCATCTTCATCTCTTGCGCTATCTCTACAATCACTGGTTTCTGGATGGCTTGCACAACCTCGTAAGTCTTTTGTGTCTGTCCGGAGGCTAGAGATCCCACTGACATTAACCAGCCTCGGTAACTTCTTGGCTGCTCGTTTCATGCTTGGTTTCGCCGTTGGTGCCAAGTCTAGCACAACTCCCGTCTACTCTGCTGAGTCCACACCAAAGAACATCCGTGGTGCCCTCACCATGATGTGGCAGGTAAGATACCCTCAGTAATATTACAAAGTCACACACTAATTAACTTTCTAGATGTGGACTGCCTTCGGTATCGCCCTCGGCTTCGTCGTTTGTGTTGCTTTCCAAAATGTCACTATCATCGGCGGTCCAACCTCCCCATGGCGATGGATGATGGCTTCAACATCTGTCCCCCCCTGATTGTCATGATTCAAGTCTACTTCTGCCCGGAATCTCCTCGTTGGTACATGGAGCGCGGCCGATTTGACAAGGCTTTCCGATCCGTCAAGAAGCTTCGTTTCTCCCCTGTCCAGGCTACTCGCGACATGTACTACGCTTACAAGCTGCTCGAGATTGAGCGTGGTGAGCGAGAAGGCCGAAACCTCCTCAAGGAATTCTTCACTGTGCGCCGTAACAGACGTGCAGCTCAAAGTGCCTGGTTCTGCATGGTAAGACTATGACCCCGTCAAATCCTCAACCCTGACCCCTAAATCTAACATTTTTTTCAGTTTATGCAACAATTCTGCGGAGTCAACGTCATTGCTTATTACTCCACCTCCATCTTCACTGATGCCAACTACAGCCTTTCCGAGGCCCTCCTCGTCTCCATGGGTGGTGGCATCATCAACTTTCTTTTCGCCATTCCTGCAATCTACACCATTGATACTTTTGGACGCAGAAACCTCCTCTTGGTTACCTTCCCTCTCATGGCAGCATGCCTCTTCTTCACTGGTGGAGTATTCCAACTTAGCGACGAGCCTCGTGACCCCAAGATCGCCTGCATTACTTTGGGTCTTTATCTCTTCATGGCGGTTTATTCTCCTGGTCTTGGTCCCGTACCTTTCACCTACAGTGCGGAAGCATTTCCCCTCCATATCAGAGACATCGGTATGGCATCCAGTACTGCTATCACATGGGGATTCAACTTCATCATTAGTTTCACCTGGCCAGCTTTGCGTAGAGCTTTCTCGAACACTGGTGCCTTCAGCTGGTATGGTGCTTGGAACATCTTTGGTTGGATCTTTTGCTACTTCCTCCTCCCTGAGACCAAGAACTTGACCCTGGAAGAACTCGATAATGTGTTTGGTGTCTCTAACAGAGAGCATGCTGCATACTACTGGAGGAAGTTGCCCTGGTACCTCAAGAAATACATCCTGCGCAAGGATGTTGCTCCTTTCCCTCCCCTGTATGAGTTTGCTGCCAATGACGGACATTATCCCCATGAAAAGCCTGATACGAGCCACATTGAGGGCAATAATGCTGTCGGAGGCGCCCAGGATAAAGAACTCTTCCCTGGACCTCGATAGGTGACTTGATCGTGAGACGTCTGGATGAGGAGAAATGGGTTTCAAACGAAGATGCTGTATTGGCTATGAAGTCAAAATTCAGCGTTTAGTCAAGACTGGGTAAATTGGAGTTTTTCAATATACTAGGAGTTACATGTAGTTATGTGGAAGTATAATTATGATGTAATGAACATAATCAACTGAGACGAAGACCATGCTGCAGTACTCTTGTGATTTGTTCTAACGATGCGTCGAAATAAAACCTCATAACTACAATCGATGTTTCACTTTTCAATACTAAGCCACCACATACATCATAGGTTTAAATGTGCAGCTGAAGCGGTACTCAGCACCCAATGACGGGTTTTATATCACAGCCTGATCGGTGTTAAAAGTGCGTGATTGGTTTGAAGAACTGCATAAATCCACCTTGACACCCCCTTCAACACCGCTGCGGCAAGCTGGGCTTGCATTCTGGCAAATTAGGCAATGATTTAGGGCATTTAAACTGCAGGGAGTTAAAAATAGCGTGGGCAAAAAGAGTGGTAATGGCCCTTTTGTATTAAATCAGGCTCTCGCACTTCTGGCTGTAGTTTTCAATTCCCCAGCTGTCCTCTGCCTGCGGACTTGGACCACAAAACTTGCGTTGTCTACCCCAACGAAACCGTTGTTATTCAATTACGATACAGAGCGTGATACAGAGTAAGAATTACGAAGCCAATCTTTACCGCAGGAAGCCTCAAGCTGGCGAGGAATGTTCGGATACAAGCCATCAAGAGAATCGTCAGTGATCAAGGCGTTCAAAGACTCTTTCCATGATCTGGCCTCCCTTGGAAAAACCCGCAAAGATATTCGACCATTTGAATGGAGTCTTATCCGACAGGTCTTCTGGGTCGGTTACTGGAACCTATCTGTCCTAGGCTTGCTAATCTATCTGTGTCTGTTGCCGCTGGGCTTCAGCGACGACGAAAGCCCCTGCCAGCCAGATGGAGAGTTTCGGTTCGTTGGGATAGATCGGCGTGGTAGGTTTGATTAGTGGGCGCCTAAGGGATTCTTTCAGATTACGCTTGGTTGGGGTCGATTCAGTTTTGGAACTGCAAAGCTCATTGATGTTGTTTGGGACTTGGTAAGTGCCCACGGCGAAAATGGTTATCAAATTAACTAAAGTGATAGGTTGTTGGTCGAGGAGGGCAAACGGTCATGGCTCTCGTGTCATGGCGAGTATTTGTCGAATATCTCCAACTCTCTCTTATTACAAAGCCGGCGACTTATAGCACAGTGTGGCTCATCAGGTTCCAGAAAGACAACTCCGCGCTCGCAACATGGAAACTAGCCTCTGGATTCTTCAAGGTTGGCCTCGCATCCAAAGAGGTTATGTGCTTCATGATTTGGACAGCATTGTTATTCTTGCTTTCCCAACCTTCGCCAGTTCGATGACCGGATATACCCCGTATAACAAGGCTTATGTTAACGGTACCACTGGAAAGCTCGTGCAGTTTTCAGAAATCGCCCCCATCGCTTATGTGATACGAGATAGGGATAGAGTAGATGGCCTTAATGAGGACTATCCCGTGTTATGGAAAGGCAGTAAGATGATTTACCAGGTACATATCCAAGGACGCAAGCTTACAGATTTCCTAGACTCAACAGTACTTTCCAGATCTTCTTCTACGGAGCTCTATGACACGTGTGATGAGTGGGAAGACGTGAACAACACACAGGCTGACTGCCAGCTGCAGAGAGACGTTTCACAATGTATGCACTCCCAAGTCTGTTTGGTCATTTAGGGAAAGGTATTGAATATTGACTGCTTGTTAGATGTTCAGTTCTATGGATTTGAGGGAAAGGGCGGCCGTGAAACCAAGCACGGCCAGAAAACCTATTTCCGTAACAAGACACTGGACTGGCCACCCCTCAACATCAAAGCGTTCTATCTTCCAACCCCATTTTATTGTAACTGGAAGGCCAACTTTACCGATACGCCTTCTTCAAACCCTCTCAATCATTATAAGGACAGTTCAGCCTTGACGTTTCTTGTTGAGCATGAGGCATACAATGTGAAGGAGGTCCGAGCTGAAGGGATATGTCAACCAATAAAGAGTGGAGTATGTCTATGATAACACTCATCAGACCAAAAGCTAAAAGCCATAGGAATCTATTGAATATCAGTGGGGTTTTTCATTTCTTCAGCTGTTCGTCATGACTATCCTCCTTCATTCATGGAATATCGGTCTTGTTGTGTTATGGACAACCACAGATTTGACACTGAAACGAAATAATGTTGCAGCATCGCCTGAAGGCTGGAAGGGTCTCCTCAAGATGACGGACAATATCAAAGAACAGATGGCGTCTGTTGGCATAATTTGGGAAAATCTGACTGAGGAAGAGCTGCATAACGAGATTCAGCTTCTTCTCACGGGGGGGGGCCGGTCTCTACATCTTCGGAGGAATCTGATCCAGAGAAACCCCTACCTCAAGGACATTTCAGCATATGGAAATGGATGTGGAAGTATAAAGTGCATCTTCTAGAAGGCATCTTCTTTATTGTTTGCATTTGCCTAGAGAATACCCTTCGTTCTGATGGACTGTACTATCACTTTGACAAGGGGCTTTTCTGGATGGCAGTCGTTCTTTACACAATCGCGAGCCTGATTATGGCCTGTGCCCTGGGCTCAACGTATCGGCAGAGGCTGTTGACCTTATTAACAGCCATTGGTTTGTCCTTCCCCTTCTTGTTGTACGATGCCAAGGATCGCGATCTTGTCCTGCCTGGGGCATGTTTGGGAGCATGCCTTGCTTTTTTTCATGGTTCTTCAAGGGGAAGTCGTGCTGTTTTGTTTGTTATTCCTGTTCTTTGTACTTATTTCGCCGTTCTTGGCTTCTTCATTTCTGTAGTGAAAAGTCGGCGGCATTACTATTATGGTTATCGAGAACAATAGAATCAGCAGCTTGAGGGTAATAAGACTTTTCTTTCCAAGCGTAGGAAGCTAGTATCGAGGGTTTTGAATATCATTTACCGCCTCAGGATATCCTTACTAGTCTTTGATCCTTTTGAAGCTTAAACCCAACTCACCACGTTAAAAATGCGGCAAAAAATACTTCAAACACGCTGTTTCTCAAAGCGTTGAGCTTCTATTGGCTTACTCAACGGTTTATCAAAAGTCAAGTACGTCATTATCTGCACCTAAATCCAACGCTCAAAAACTATCATGGTTGTTCATTGGCTTACTCGTTGCTGACTCATCCATCCTCACCTTGCATCGAATTCTGGGCCTAACATCGTGGTATCGTGCTGTCTAGGGAGGCTAGCTAGCGGGACAAGGGTCTATAATCTGATAAACGTAAAAGGTTTGTTAAGAACTGCATTGAGGCGCAGCATGGAATTTTTATCCCTTTCTTCCCCCTCTTGTTGTATCTTCTCAAATGTTTTGAGCCTTAAGTTGAGCTGCTGTCACGATGCTTGGCCTTTTACCAGCGTGTCTTGCGGTCATCGTGTACGTTGGCTTTGGGCAGTGTAGTTCTGATTTCATCACACCCGAGCTATCAAGCGCACCATGGTCCGACAATCAAGTGCACGGAGTTGATGACGAGTTCGAAATAAAATGGAAGACAGATTATGAAGGCTGTAATCTCTTCCTATGGCAGGACTATCCAAAATTGGCTGTTGAATTGTTCAGCAAATTGCTAGGTAAATATGATTGAAGTCTTCTGTCTGGTTCTCAATCGGCTAATCAAAGGTCTAGAAAACACGACTGATACTTCATACTTTTGGAACGCAAGTTCGAGTGGTTTCTCTCAAGAGTCAGAAGACACTGTCTTTCATTTTGCGCTTTACTCTTCAGACAAGGATATCCCCCTCGCAAATTCTGGTGCATTTAATATCTCGGGAACAAATTCAGAAAAGCTCAAAGCAACTTCTGCATCGAATTCAACACCATCTTCGACAGTGCCTCAAGTATCAGAAACCTCGACGAGTTCCTCGGAGACAACACACCACTCAGTAACAAAATCAGAAAATGGCCCAGGATTATCGACGGCCGCATTGGTCGGAATTTCAGTCAGTGTCACAGTAGCGGGGCTTTTGATATCTGGGGGCATAGGTTTATGTCTATGGAGACGCTTCGCGCGTAGACGAGCGACAGAGCGAGTGGATAGCATCGAAAAGTCCGATTTTTCAAAGGCCGAACTGGGTAATACGCAAATATTGCAGATAGGAAGTTCAGAGCTTGATAGCACGAGAGATGCAGCTGAACTTTGGGATACGCAAAAGCCAGGAGAACTTGGTGATGAGAATAAGATACGGACGATATACGGACTTCATGAGGCGCCGTAGATGTAATAACTTACAACAACACTGAACGAATTTAATGATAGAGAACTTTCTATGGTTTTGCGATCTATGAACCAAAGCATCGTCTTTCCAGTGAGAAATAACTTCCTGATAATATTTCTGAAGAGTTTCTTCTACAAGATGTGAGCTATTAAGCAATTGACATGAAGTTAACTAACATTAACTGATTCAAAAGAAGGTAAAATAATTAAAATAATAATAATAATAATAATAATAATAATAATAATAATAATAATAATAATAATAATAATAATAATAATAATAATAATAATAATAGATAGTCTTCCTAACTGCCACCCCAGAGGAAGTAAACTTAACCTATACAGTCCTCTTGTCCGGGCAGTTCGAAATGGTATTCTGCTTCCTTGGCTACCAAATAACAAAGATGGAAGAACAAAGGCCTTCAAAAATAATTATCCCCCGAAAGAAGTTTCTTCTTTGTTACAGATCAATCTTCGCACTTGGAAAGTTCGACATAGATCAACCCTATTCTAGTTGCCCCCAAAAAAGCCAGCAAAGATTTAACAATCATAATATGTCATCATTCATCTTACTTAAGTTACGTGTTTCGATTGAATTTGCTTACAACTTGTGAAATAAAATACCTAAAATGTGAGATGAAAGGCGATGAAAAAAAAGATTCATTTGACTTCAACTTATACAACCCTGAGCTTGATGCAAAGATCGGAGGTGCTCTCATTTGACCCTCCTATTCTGGCTTAGCGCCCTTCCCCAACTCTGACTAGCGTTTGCAGAGCCAAAGCTCCAACAGATTCCCCGCAACCTCGGCCATAGATTCCCGGGTCCTCTTTGACATGATGCTTGTAAAATTCTAAAGGCAGAGGAATTTTCCCTTTAATCTTACCCAGCCACGCAGGTACCAGCTGTTATCTCCCCTGGGTTACCGAGTTTCGTGCGCCGAGCGTCGATCAGCTTAGCTCATTTCGGCTCTATCCGACGCCTGCGATGCCGCCAAAGAAGCGTGCATATGTACCAAAGACGAAGGGTTAGTACCAACCTCACTTCTTATTGGCAGGGGTTTAACGTGCGACTAGGCTGCCATGAGTGCTCGAAACGACGTATTCATTGTGATAGGAATGAACCGAGCTGTAATAAGTGTACTTCCAGAGGTCTGAGTTGCAGTGGCCTTGGTATTCGACATCGGTTCAACAAGGGTGTTGCTGCGAGAGGGAAGTGGGCTGGTAAGACTATTGACAGGGTCTATGAAGAGTATGCACGAACCTATATCTATGTTTGAAGCATGATAATAATAAGATACACAGGAATGAATGGAAAGTCTGTTCAGCTGACAAGGACGCATCGACATCATCAGCAACAAGTTCAGCCGCAGATACAAGCCCGGAAACCGCGGAAACTCACCATGACGACAATGATCATATACAAGACGACGATATCGAGTTCATCTCCTCAGAACCTGATATCTATGACATCGTCCTCGCAAATTCCCAGGCAACTGAGGATCGGGAAGTCTTCATGACTCTCTTCTTACAAGGAGTTCCAGAGAACACGCCAGCGTGGAAGAGAAATCTGTTCATGACTTGTAAGTGCCCCCATGCCGTCGCTTCGCTTCCAATACTAACCCGAGTTAGTCTCGCGGTGTATATCAACGGAGATGGTAGCCATAGACGGTTTACACAATGACTGGCGCCACCTTCTACTTCCTCTCGCTCAACAAGACGAGCTGGTCATGGATGCTGTCCTCACCGTCTCAGCCTTCCACTTCCACATCAACAAGCTAGAGAATAATTTCAAGAAGAACCAGAAGCAGTACTCTGCTTTCGGAACAAACACATATGATACTTACGTCCCCGACCCGTATCAACTCCTGGGTCGAACTCTTCAAGGCCTACGACAACGTCAAGAACTCATATGCAACAACCAAAATACCCAGCACTCTGTGCTAATTAGCCTTCTGCTCCTAATGACATCTGTACTCGTCACTGGAGGGTCAGACTTTCCTGTTCTTCTTCGAATGCTTGAGTCAGCGCTGGACGCTATCGGAGGAAAGGAGGGGCTCGGTACTGGTATTTTGGCTGGCTTCATCATGCGTGAGCTTCATAAGTAAGTAAACACGATTTGTCCCCAAGCAGAATGACAGACATCCTAACAGAGAAATAGGATCCGAGTATACGCAGCTCCGCATCTCGGCGAAGAAACAGGTCTGCAGATGATCTCATCCCAAGCCCGAACCGACCAACTCTTCGGCTGTCTCAACCACTGCCTCCAGCTCTACCCAGAACATACACCACTCTTCTCCCAAGTCGCAAATCTCGTCTATCAAGCTCGAGATATTTATCTTCAACAAGTCCTCTCCGACCATACTTCCAACTTCTTCGACCTAGATCCCATCCCTGCAAATCCAAGCTCTGTGGCTCGCGTGCAGCGCTTCATCGAAGCACTCGAACAATTTCCAGAGACTTCCCCCGTTGCTCATATGTTGGTCTGGACGACATTTGTCGCGGCATCTGACGCGCAGCTTGAAGAACACAAGGTGTATTTTGAGAATGTTTTGCGAAGACATCATGCGAGAAGTGGATTTGGGAATTTATTGAAGGGTATTGAGGCATTGAAGAGGATGTGGAGTAGGAAGCCTGGAGAGAGGTGGACGACTCTCCTTCCGCAGACAAAGGTTCTTGTTGCATGATATTGAAATGAACAGGTCGAGATCACGTAAAATGGCGATAGTTAGAGTTAGTTTTTGATAATACCCTAATTTTGGTTTCCTCAATCTGGAATAATTCCTCGATCCTTAGCACTATGGCTAGGACGACGAGATTGAACGCTTGGAATGAAAAACATGTTTCATTTGTTCCGTGAATCACTTGGGACGACTGAATCTTATTTGTCGTCGACCCCATGCTCATAGCAGATTCGATTCATCACTAGTCCATCCCCACCAAACCATGAATATCTTGATCAAAAGTCCTCCACTCGATAAACCTGATAAGGACACTCTTCATACGGATGCGCCCTTTAAAAAATCAGTCATAATCTTCCTCAGCAATATTTAAAACTTACTCTTTCAACGCCGCAACAGCCTTCCTCACCGTCTCCTCCCCAACAATTAGCGTCTCAACCCTAACCTCCGGCGTCTCCTCCAACTCCCCAACCTTTCCAATAGCCGGATTCGCCGCATCTCCCGGTCTAAACTGTCCAATCCCCGACGTCTGCCACGCGCACTCAGTATACCCGCCAGGACCGGGATAGCGGCCCGCGCCGGCTTTGAAGATAGCGGCTTTGCATGCGGAGGCGTTGGCGGGTGGGACGTAGAAGACGAGGCTGAAACGGCGTAGTGATGCCATGGTGTTGCGAGAAGATCCGGGACCGGGAAAGGAAAATTTTGCTTCTGGTGATGGTTCGAGAATGTTTGGCTGGGTGGGGTTTGTGTTAAGGGTGATGTGCATCATGTGACGTTGTGAAACGGAAAATAATCTCTCAGCCTGATCTGATATTTGCATCTCGGACAACGCCGATGCGATATATTATATTAATTATTGACGTCACAGCCGGAATTATTGCCGGTCAATATTCAACATACTCATTATCACAGTCGAACATAGAACGAAAAATATGATATTATCTTCTATGAAAAGACTTTCGACATGCCCTCATCCATTATGGCTGACCACGCATTTTCCACCTCGTTTGGAATGCCAATTGGTGACTTCGCTTTCATAACTCCGCTTTGCTCGCCCATTATCCTGTCTAGAAAGCGATCTATAGACCAAAGCTCTCTTTGAATCTTCTTATCAGCTTCAGCTTCCTTTTCCCCACTTGAAGTCCTAGATTTAAGTTGAGGCCAACAAGAGATATTTGCCTCGGTTTCGTCGTAAGCATTTTCAAATGATGTAACTGTCCGGCTGCTCATGGCTGGGTCCTGCACCACGACAATGGACCTGGGAGAGTGAAGGTTGTCTTCTTTCAATACTTTTCGAGTTTCTAAAGCATCGGCTCCGCAGTTGTTTGAGCGATCAGAAACCAGAATTCGAAAGCCCTTGTCTTGACCTCCAGTATTGTTGATCTTGAGCTTGTAGAAGCGTTCCGCCATGACTTTCAACACCTCGCCTTCAGGCTTGCCATTTATCGTGTCAAATATCGTGCAGTATTTCTTGCTCGCGCTGATAGCGTCGTAAACGAAAGGCGTACATGGCCCAATCCCTCCACATAGTACGAGTACTGTGTTTTCCTGCTGTCCTTCTGGTTGACCCTGCTGTTGCACCGCCCACTCAAAGACAGCTTCGGGAATAGCCAGTATTGCTGATGCGCAAAGAACGACTACGTCAACTTGTTGAAGATCAGAATTGGGTTGGTTCTCCTCCTCATTGTGCAGTGATCGGAGATATTGATCCAGTTCTTTGGCACTATAGATCTGCTGGAGGGCCAAGAATCGTGAGACGATATCTGCTGAGTCGGACCACTCATTCGGATTTTCGGTTATTCTAGAAGGCATATTGATAAATGGATAAGGTTGGTAATATTATGGTCGTAGACCGAGCACACCTGACAAGGACATGTTGAAGTTGATATATCTCGGTGAGCGACGGCTCTGGCTCAGTCTTCATCTACGCCCAGAAACTCAACGTTAGATTTCCCCGCCTCAATACCCATCAAAATATAATGAATGACCTATTTCCAATAGTATTGGCCAGTGGAGAATTTCTTTTACACATAATTCAATCATTAATCCTGTCGCACCCTGAGTTACTAACACGAATCGTACGTAACGTAGATGCCTCTATTCCTATTTAGGAATACCACAAACTTGGGCACCTCAACGTTACGTCAAATGATTCATTTTTCGGCACTTTGTAGTAATCAGACTATCAGTCATCGGTGAATCCCATCAAAAATAATGGCTTTTCACTTTGCCATGTTTCGGCAGCTTGTGATAGCAAGCAGGCCAACTTCCAAGACAAATATCTACAAACCTAACGAGAGATTGAGTAAGGGCCAAGAAAAGAAATTTCAAATATGTTTGTGAGTGTATTCAATTTCGATGTATAAAAGACGCTACATGATGGTGAAAATAATGTTCATTCATCTATTTCCTAGGTAGTAAATCAGGATCTGGGTGAATGCATGTCAGTGAACATCCCCCTAATGGGCATTTCTTTCAGGATATTGAACAGCACGATCCCATTCAGCCAATGACTCGAACCCGCTTCTTAACCAGGCCCTAAGCTCATGCAAAAAAAGTCTGGCATTGTCCCGCCCAAGAAACTCCAGAATCATATTCTCAGCTTCGTCAGAATTGTCTTGGGTATCAATCGATTTGAGAATCGTAATGATTTCTTCGTGCAACTATTCGGCGGTAGTAGACCAAAGCCGATGACTATTAGACGGGCTACTAGTATACAGAAACTCAAAAACTCGCAACTCACGTGATAACCAGATTTTCGCTCGAGATTCAAGAACAGCATCGTTTGAGAAATCCTTTGGTAGAAGCTGTTTGTATCGTGATCTGGTGACTTTTCGTCCGTAGAAACCGACGTGAAGAGAGTAGAGATTGTTCTGATAGATTGAGCGTCGTCTCCGAGTGATCTCGTCAGCGACAAATGACAATGGCTGTTGTCTGGGGTTAGAGTCAGTACTATCTTGGCTACTAGAAAGCTCCGGTATTTTGTAGACCTTTTCGTGTTCCCCATTCGCACTTGGTCCGTATTGGACTTGCCTGATGTGGCTTTTGCACAACGGAAAGGTTGGTTGCTTTTCTAGCCATGTGACTAGGCAGAGGAAATCGAAGTTGGTATGCTGGCAGGGTTGCAATATGCATGGCTCAGTCAAATCGCCCAAATAGATGACACAGCGTTCAGTAGCCAAGCCGCTGTCTTGATGAGATGGCGTTTGTTCCGGAGTAATTTGTAAAAACTGCTGATGTAGGTCGTCGTTGCGTGGTGGCAGATTCATTGAGGCAAAAGGTCTCCTCTTCATAATTCATCTGTTCGTTGTCTGGATTCTGTGCTGTGGTGGTTTGAAAAACTAGGGGTATGAATACCACTTGATGTTTTGAAGAGAGTGCAAAGGGCTCTTTGGGAATATGAGATTTAATATTTCTTATCAAGACAAGTTGGTGTAAACCTTATCCAATGTCTAAAGATTCAGGCACCGAACAAAAGTTCATACTTTCCTTTGATACTTTAGTCTCTAAGGTAGCACAGCCGCTGCCTGATATTTATTAAATCTCTTAAATACTTACGCCAGTATCACACATCTTTTTACATGGCAACAAACCTTAATTTCTGATAGGTATTTTATCGGGTTCTTATTATCTGTGTTAACAGCCTAAAGTTTAACTTTATGACCAGCAAGTAGTTGTATAGCTGATAGATGTTTAAATTCCCCTTGTGCCCTTCAGTCATGACTGAAAAGACCAAAAACCCATCACTGACGGTCGTTCTGGATCGAGGTTTCAGACCTTGTGGAAAGGGTCAGTTCAGAGTTACAGACACTTGACAATAGCAACCGTCAAGCCCTTGCCAAATCCATCATTAATCAGCGGCTAAATTTATGTGGCTTAGATATCATCGAAGAAATAGCGAAGCTCAGGAGGGAGGTTCCCCCTCCCAGCCCTATCGAAAGCAGCTACCGCCTGCTCCAGACGCTAGACCTGTCCATGAAGAAGACGAACCTCGCGAGCGTACAAAGAGGCGCCATCGTCGCGTGAGTTAGAGGAAAACCACGACATTCGATAAAAGCAAGAGGATCCACCTTTTCTCGCTAATGAAGCAGTGCCTTGAGGAACAATCCCCCATCCGACTCATCGGGGACCCGGAAGGATCTCTCAACCGGGCTGCGGTGTCTGATAGCCCTTTGATGAAAGAAAGAAGAATTGCGAGCTCAAAACCCGCCTCAGCGAAATGACACTTATATGGAGATTCACCCACCCTACAGAGGCTTCCAGAGACATCCTCCCAAAATACCCATAGAATTTTAAAATTGTTAAACTTTAATTTCTTCTCGTCTATTATCGACCATAGTCTGGAATGGATAGGTGATAGAGGTCTATGAGATCTGAGCTAGGATCTCTGGCGGCTAACGATGCCGGATCTCTGACGGTCTGACCTGTCAGACTCCACCCGGAATCTCCGGATGCATGCTTGCATAAGATCACCAGCAAGATCGGTATCTTCTATAATGTTGCTGATTGGACCGGTTCTACAGAGATTTCACCTATGTTTGGGCTCGGAGTGTAGTAAGATGAAAATTCCGAATGCTATCCAAATGCTATGCGTTTATACCAAGTAATTCCAGCCGCTCGCTCGCTATCCTTTTCCGCCGCCAAACAGATATCCACAGCGCCAAAAATACATATCAAATAAAATTCTAAGGGCTAGAGCACTCAGAGTCAGCCCTCTCGTCAACCTGCTCAATCCGACCCGTCTTGACATCATAAACATATCCAGTAATAGGAACGTCCAAAATCAACGGACTCTTGCGCAAGAAGGCAACGTCATCAATAACACTCTGCCGCAAATCAGAAAACGGGAGAAACGCCATGTGGTCAACGTCTTCCTTTAGTTCTCGTCTGATCTTGGACCGGAAATCTGTGTCGGAGAAGCTCTGCATACCGCAGCCGGTCTAGAAGCGTGGGGTGTCAGCCGGGCCGGTCACTATCTCCATGGGGGCAGCTGAAAAACATGGCCTTATGATATTGCCGTGGGAATGAATGAAATCGAAAGAAGTGAAATTGGATGGTCTTACATGGTGCATGACAATAATCTCACGCGTGCCCAGCATCTGCTGAGAAATCAAAATTGACCGAAGTGCTTCTACAGCACGACCGCCAGCTGTAACTGTCAGCTTTGCAGGTGAGACAAGAAAATTGGAGCACGTACCATTTCGAATGACATGGGCATCGCCAAGGTCTAGACCCAGTACTTTCTCAACGTCCAATCTGCTGTCCATGCACGCTACCACCGCTACCTTTCTGGGTAAATGTTAGGACCTTGATCCTAGTGGCGGGTATTAGATCACCTACCGACGGGGCGGAGATGGTAAGTGGGACTGAGTAAACTTCGCTGCATACTTGAGGTTTGCAGCTTCAAAGTCAGACGTGACTGATGGGTAGAGAACGGGCGAGGACACGGGTGAAGTGTCAAGTGCAGGCATTTTAGTCTTGAAGAAGGCCATTGAATGAAGCTGTGAAGTGGATGTAGAAAAGCTTGTTCATCAAAGAGGGTCTTGTGAATTAAGTAAAGAATAAAGCCAAGAGCCAAGAGAATGCCAATTCTTGCGTTCCATGCACGACTTCTTATCCTCCAGCCCGCACCAATATAACAAAACCCTCCGTTTCATGAGACCAATCCAGCTGGCCCATCCGGAACGTCATCCCCAAACAGCGGCGTCCTCCGACCCCGAGATAAATCCCCGCACACACACTTTTCTGGGGGAACATTGTCTGAGATTCTGCACATGGTGTTGACAGATCATGCCATAAAAAGAAATGTTACCTGCTGTCAGGTACACCCAGCAGGGGGTGACCGGATGTAAAGGTGGCAGCCATTAAGAAGCAGGCTATTGCATGCCATGGCGCCATATGGCTCGGCGATAGCTCACTTGACCTCGATCTACGACTGAAAAAAGAAAGCCTTTCGGAGTTCCAAGGAAAGCCACAACTGGTTTATTTGCCAAGGTTGTGTGTTTGCTGGCTACGATGCTTGGCTTTACCAGGCGTGGATTGCTAGTGGTTGGGAAAATCTGGGGTAAATTGACTATGTCACATCGTAGATCCCGGCATAAGACCGTATCACTATATCTGTGATAGCTAAGACGCTTTTTTTTCTCTGGTGGTGTTGAGATGATACTCTATTTCCTCTAGCTGTGTTTATCCCCTCTTTCGCATCCTCTAGATAAACCAGCACAAGATTGTCATTTCCAGGAAAGACGAGGCCATTTGAGGCTTGCTCTTGATCAGCACACTATCACCGCGGGACTGAAAGGCTATCATCGGCCCGGTTGAAGTCCTATGCAGAAATCCCGGCGGTCTAGACGCTCATGTTGTACACGGCTGTCGAGAAGTCGCGCTGCATGATGCTGAAGATTCGAGAATCCCTTGCCGCCAAGGGGATATGAGCTGCACCCCGCGTATTGGCGTCACCGTTGTTAGCTGGTGCGGCCAAGGAATCTTACGGGATGATTATGCAAGCCATAGACAAGTGTAGCTTGGTCCATCTCACCACTCTCCCCCAAGATCCATGTTGTAAAAATGCCTTTAGGGAATGAGAGGCTTGAAAGTTCCTAGACTATTGGTTTAGTGGCTAGTATGCCTAATGTAATTCAACCAGAAAAGGCATGTCGACAACGAACACTGCGCTAGATAACAGCTCACTCACGGAGCGTAAAGTTGTGTACCACGGAAAAGACGTAGCAAGCTGAGTCCGACGGGTTCCGAACATGTGCAGTGGTCAGATATCAAATCTCAGCCGCTCGGACCAAGATACTCGACGTGTCGGACTGTTGATTAAGCATCCGGCTTTTACTAGGGTCATCTCGGATCACCCGATAGACCATCTTATTCCCCTCCATTTAGGCAGGTCAACAAAGATTCGAGAATGACAGCTCTATAATGTGGGTTGTTAAATACCGCTTATCGAACCACCCCTGCTTTCCACGAAACAAGCTTTCCATGTCATTTAGAGAGGGTAGACTCGAGTTATTCCATAGAGCGGTAAAGTTGATATCACACTTAGTTTAGATATTTCAACGTGCATGATATGAAAATGGTTCTGAATACGTTCGTTTATGAGCTAACCCCCGTCTAGATACCATAGTGAATAAACGGGACCCAGGCCGGTGAAGGTTCGATCTTATGTCTGAGAAGGATAGCTAAAGAAGCCTCCCTAGACCATCTCTGACCTCTTGTCGTAATCCCGGACATGAGGCCCGAACTTACCCGTATACTTCTAGAAGCCTTGGTGGCAACTCTCCTCCACCTTGTCCCCAAAGAGATCGACATGCCTTTGCTCTGTACCCTCCTCCGAATTCGTCTTGTCTCCCACCTAATTCCATGGACCGCAGGCTCTCTAATGATCAAGCTGTTGAGAATATTATCACTGTCCCCTCTTCTGTGCCCTTCTTGGTCCATCTTCTCCAGCCACTTGTCCCTCAACTGGCGACTAGCTTCATGCAACCCCCAGGCCACTGATAGATCTGTCATCTGTCCATCCCTAATGCCCTCATACGCTACCTTGGCTATATCAACGCAAACCTTGTCATTGACTTCCCACAAAGTTCCAATAACGTGCTGGAAGCCTGCAAGCTGGAATGCGCTGATGAGATGAACACTCTCATCCATAAATTGCTCCTGTTGAATACGACCCGTCCCACATGCTGACAAGTAAGCTAGGAAAGGTGGTTGATCTTTCAGATTCAAGTCCAGTAGACCTCCGACCCTCAACGGATTCGTCACCACATCTTCAAGACACAAGTAGCTCCTCAGAGGGTCTTGGGGGTCAGTGCATCCATGGCCTGCGAAATGAAAGAACTTGCACTGGCGAAGTTGGTCGATGAGCGCCGCCTTTCGTCGCTCAGGCTCAACACCCTCCAGCCCAATCGATGAGCAAACATCTTTGACTACTTCTAGTTCCTGGTTCGCAAATGCCAAACGGGAAAGTGTTGGTGTAGTCTCCATAGCCACAAGCACCGCCTTGTTTGTTTCTCTCGTCGACATTCGTCGTTTTCGAGCTTGGATCATAGCCTTTACAGAAGAAGCATACGATGAAACAACCCTATCAAGCGTTGATTCGTTTGTCTTCTTTCGATGACATCCAGCCGCATGTAATGGGAACTGTTTTAGAATACCAGTAGGAATCCACCATACCTGCGGCCAGTTATCACCTGTCGGAGTCTCTGAAAATCCAATCCTATCCAATACAGGGCAGACGATAGTATCCCAGAGCCATTCGAGAACATCAGGGCTCCCTCTTTCTCCAGTCAAGACTTTTTGTTCGATACTGGCTCGGCTCAAGTCGACTAATGGTACGGTATGAATTCTGTCAGGCATGATGATTATTGCATCACAGCATATGATGCTGACGTTGACGATGATAATCGGTCCGCGATCTGTTATGGACTGCATTTCAGCAAGTCCTGGTGCCTGTAAAAAGGTGTCGAAGTTCGGCAATTTGCGGATCTTCTCGACTAACTTATCAAACTCTTTTCCAGCATCATAGAGTCGCAATGCCTGTCCTTCTCTGAGTGCAGTATTCTGGGTAGCAGAGATATCTGAGTCAACTGGTCGATTAATCTCCTTGCGAAGACGCTCGAATTCGGCTGCATATTCCGGATGCGCTTTTTCCAACCCCACGATATCCGTCTGCATTTGTTCCGTGGACGCTCCAAGTAAACCTTGACCCTGTTCAAGGAGCTCTACGGCATCTACCACCTGTTCAGCCTGTATAGCAACAGCAGCCGCGTCTGATGCAAAACCTGCAAGTTCAGCGAGCGAACTCTGCCGATCGGAGTTATCTTGCTGTCGTGGTATGATCCTCGGAATAAGACCCATAACGAGTTTTGCAGCGTTGAGACTCTGTTGTCTATCATGGCATATTGGCAAGAGACACATGGAGGCCTGGATGCGGCAAAGTGCTGGAGCGTTTGTCTGCTTTATTGCTGCTTCGAAACAAGGTATTGATTCTTCAATGCCAGTTGGATTTTTGCCAGTTGCATGGGCTGCTAGGAGACCAATACCCAAACCGTAAAGTAATTCTCCACGATCTGGATGAGATTCTGGCGTAGCCTCTAAAGCTTCCCTCGCCACAGATATCCACTCTTCAACACCATTGCCGTCAAATGTTTCGATTCCTTTTTGTATCAGTCCATTTGCGAGGCTGTGTAGAAAGATAGCTCGATTGGGATGGGACTTCAACGTGCTGTCGACTGCTTCTCTCAGTGACTGAATCCCCTTGTCAAGATCTTTCATGTCATTGGTGATGGTAAACTTTCGAGCAAGCTTGATCCCGATATCATGCTGATGTCGTGATCGATCGGGATGGTTTTCGGGCATGGCATCCAAAGCCTTCTGTGAGAGCTGGGTTGACTCTTTGAGGTCAGACAGCTCATGGGATCTTTGATATCTCAGCTGTAGCAAAACAGCGAGATTGCCCGAGCTCATAGCTAGCATCGTCGAGTTATAACTTGGAATCTTCAGCTTTCTTCTGGCTAGAGCGATAGCTTCGTCGATATCTATCAAGGCACTCGTTATAGAGTATCTTTGCCCCAAGAGTGTCGCTAGTGAGTTCAGCGACTCTGCTAAGGCTGATTCGTCGTCCGAAGCCTCCTCGACCGCCTGCCGAGCCAACCGAACGCCTTCGTCCATATCGTCCAATAAGCCTGTTCTAAGTGACTTGTGACCCAACAAACTGGCGATGTGCGCTAGGAGGTGCAATCGAATGGTCTTGTTGGATATCCACGATTCTCCGCCTTGATGGCCGGACATAGCTCTTTTCAGATATACAGACGCTTCTCAGATCTTCGAACCCGTCTGCTTCTTCTCACACAAGACGAGATAGTTGAGCTTGAAGAACAGCTCAATCATATAGACCAGGCGGAGAAGAGCGCTCTGTTCTTGGCATCTCGGCGTGAAGATAGAAATTCGGATCGCTCTACTATCACCACCAAGTTACGTGCCGCCCTTTCAGCCTATGGTATGAGTATCACTGAACCTCCTTTTGAATCAGTTGGCTAAATCAATGCAGACGAGCTTTTAGATGGGAGTCAGCGGTCCCTGAAGTATGAATCACCTCATGAGAAATACGTCTCCAGCCTTCAGCGGTGGCTTTCCGGGAACAGCTGCATTGCCAGGAGTGAAACAAAGTTCCTGAAGAACAGTGATGATTTACTATCTCTATGTCCCAGGGAAGACGGGATCGTAGCATGGCTAGAAAGGAGTGTATGCGATAAGATTGTCCGTCAATTTAGTAAGGTAAGCGGATTCCCGACTACTCGCATTGACTTTTCCAGGCTAATAAGATCTTAGGGCTCTGGGAATATATCCAACGATCCTCATGTTCAAATATTTTCTCGTTCCTCAACGATGAAAGTAGCTCGAGCGATATTGAGCCCACTCATCGTGTTTTTACTACTAGCGCCGGTTGTGATTTGCAATGTGATTACTAGCCAACCGGCTAGATTGGCTATCATGGTTATTGCGACGGCTGGATTTGTGTGCTGCATGTCTCTATTGACAAATGCCAAAACTGTTGAGTTGGCCGTAGCTGGGGCAACGTTAGTCTCTTTTCCAATTGCTTGAGAAACTACTAACTGACAGGTAGTTACACAACTGTTATGATAGTTTTTGTCAGCAATACTGACTGAATTTGAGAGTAGGATGTGGGCCTTGCCTTCAATCATGATCACACACAAATTTCAACTTCCGCAGAAAGCATATTCAAGAGAACCCATCCACTAAATCTGGTAGCTAAATGGCCAACTATACAATAACTCCTTCAACTTACAGAGTATAGTAGCAGCCCGAGTCTCAGAATAAAAACTATCAATAGTTCGGACCTAATACAGTGATAGAAAAGCATTTAGACAAAATCTATCTAAATAAGGAAAAGCGCATCACCCAAAACCTGTACCTCATCCCTCGCTCTTCTCTCATATGCTTGCGCTGCATTGCCCACCAGCCCCGATGCCATCCCGGTGGTCCAGCATGAGGCCAAAACGACTTCGGCAGCAGCAGCGCAAGGGGGGAATGCAGCTGCTGCGATCCCAGAAGCTACAGCGCCAAAACAACAGCTCATAAAAACGACAGCAGAGCGTGCACTCAAACGGTTTTCGACTAAAGGCAATACTCCAATGAATTCGAGTTGTGGGATCGGAAATGTTGAGCGCCCATCGAGGTTGAACCAGACGAGATCCGTTCCTCGATGTCGACTACCAGTAATGATCAGCGGAAGTAGCTCTTCAGCAAAGGCGATAAGCGTGCCTATCACAAGTGGGTAGTAAGTCGGAATGATAAGATGGAACACGGGATTGTTGCTGTAATCAGTCGTTGCAATTAGTGTTCGTCTGTCCGCTCTCATTCTGAGACAAATCGTGGCTAGGTCGTGATGATAGCCACCGAAGTTTGGTCCTTGCGGATCCTGTCTCTGTCTTCTTTCAAAATCCGGATACCAATCACTATCAGGGTTCCAGACATAGAAGAAGTGATTCCCTCTCCTTGTACGCCCCTCAGTCGGTGCCATTTCGTTCTGAACAAAGCGGTGCACATATGTCCCGAAGCCATCATCAGCCCAGCCTTGAACCCTTGCTATATTTGAAATGGCGAGCTCGGATTTGATTTCACCAAGACTTGCGCCGATTCTTCTGATAGATTGTGCAAGATCCAGGAGAATCAGAGGCACAGCACCAATGGCCGAGGCTTGGAAGTATGCAATGAATTCCGGGTTGGAGTTGAATGCGTTGGGGACGAGCCGAATCTCTTTCTGTTCAATGCTTTCAAGAAGCTTGGGTATAGCCTCCTGCATTTGCCTGTACGTCATCTCCTTTTGCGCGGCGGCCTTTCCTTCTTTTCGCTGATTTAACATAGTATACAAGCCTATTATAGCTTGCGGGCCCCATGTTAAAACTAGTCGAGTGAATGATTTTTTACTGAGTGATTTGGCGATTTGAATTACTGCGATATCGTTCATCTTGGTGGTGTGGTTCAGGAGCGGGATAGTCTATTGCGGTTATAATGTCGAGGACCGTAATTGTCGTCTTTTAGCTAGCTTTATCTTGGATGAGTTCAGGTCACCCGCCAGGCTTAAGGAGTAAATAAACGCAATAAATGCCTTGTCGGTTTTCTTCCTGTCTTATAGCGCCTAGAGGACGTAACAAAAGGGGCTGTAAGCGCCAGCCTTGCGCAACTTGGTCTTCAGGCCGCAGTTGAAGCAGCCTGTTCAAAGGTTTTCATCAATTTGGAGATTTCTAGCTGAGCAACTTCTTGACTATGTTTATTATTGGTTGTTTTTGAGCAAAATAACAGCTTTTGGCCGTTCTATGGGCCAACAGGTTGTTCCTACACGCTGTGTCTGGCCATAACTCGGACTCCAGAAACCGACGTTGGGCTTACAAGGCAGATTCTCTCCCGCAACAAATGAACACTGTTAAGACCCATATAGAAACTACACTTTCAAGCGACGGCGATTGAACAGTCACCTAAAAGTAAGCCGGTGAGGCTGAATGAAAAAGCCCGACTGACCAACAACCTATTGCAGTGATGCATCCATCAACGAATCCTGAAACTATAGTACTACGTATTGGAGGCCTATACAGGTTTGATTTGCACGTGTACCTACATCATTAAAGGACAGCGAGACTTGATTCAGCTTTTCAATCGCAGGCAGGTGATCTGTGAGAGAACAGTGCGCAAAACAAGCACGCCATTCATTCAACTCAACCTCGCAAGTCCCAAGAGCTTAACGTTACTTTTCTGTTACTAGTTTTCTTCGTGCACATGTCTTATTGATTATCGAGGTTATCCATATCTAGGTAGACCCTGTTGCACGCCAGTTTGTTGTCCTTGATTCCAGCCTTGTTTCTGCCGTAGCGTTTCACTGTGCCAGTAATCATGAACAGCTTGATTCTTATCCCCCATCCTAGGCCATATAGACTCTGGTAACCGTGCTCCCGATGGTTGTTGGTGTCCTTCTAGTGGTTCACTCTTATCTGTCATTCTGTTCTGGGCTCTCTCGGCTGCTCGCTTTCGCTTAGATTTTCTTCGTCGATCACATAGGATGATGCTCATGATAAGAAGTAATACACCAGCTATAACAGTCAGACATAATCTTTTGAATGAGAGTGGTGTTCATACCTAGCACACCAAGAGCAATGATAATCTCAAGTGCTCCAAAGATCTTGGTTCCAGGCTGACCAGACGAGCCATTATCTGAGTTGCTTTCCTGTGTAATTGTAACAACAGGTGAATCTGCAGTTGTCGTACCGTCTGATTGGGCAGTCGGCTTCGGTATAATGGTTGTGAATATCGTGGTCTGTTCGACGGCGGAAATGATTCGCGAGAGCTGTAGATCCAAGGCTGCATCATCCATATTCATTGAAGCCATTCGATGTATCGGATATGAGAAGTGAAACCGAAGAGATGTTTGCGAGACTTTTTATCGAAGTGAATGCTACCAGAGCTGAACTGTCTGAATTAAAATTAAAGAATTAATAAAAAAGACCGTAAGAATGAAATTATCGAAATGAAAGTCGTGTCGCTTCGTGATACCAGATCAACGTGCGCGGGAAAGAAAAAGTCAGAAAGAGCGAAGGTCTCATAGATATGGAGTTATATTTCTCTCGTATATTTCTGTTAATAAACACAGCCATACTAGCAGGTTGAGGCGAAACCGGCTGGTGCTTGAGGTGGCATTGTGAGACGGGAGATCAAACACCCCCAACCCCTGGTCACAGGCGGTTTCAGTGGATTTTGGTAGAACACCAAGCCGGCTGTCCTCAGTTCCGGCGGCTACGTCTTTACACCTTACGCCCTGGTTTCAGAAATGTCAGCTTGGCTGGACTGTTTTTACGAAAGCCAAACATGAGGTCCCTGATATTGTTCACCGCATATGATGTTGCTTAGATCTGAGGTGTCAATTGAAACCCCGCCATCGCTTGTGCTTGACAGCGGTTATCGGTTGTTCGGATCGCACTGTTTCCATGGCCATTTGATGGGTGGTGCAGGTGTCAACTGCGTCAGCTGTTTCATTTCCATCTTTATTTTCTGGTGTCATTGGAAGAGATTTGAAGGCTCAGAACGGGTAGATTAGCACGCGACTGTTGTCTAAGGGACTGTAAACAGAGCCAAGACGGTCGTGTTTCTGCTTGAAGCGGGGCATCTACTCGGCAGAGATCCAGCCCTGTGAGCCTCGGATGAGGAGTCCTCGACAGCCGTTGCTATAGTATGATGCTGAAGGATATTGCTCAAACTTTGATGACTATGTACCCTAAATTTCAAGCCGATGAGGACAGCTGTGGATTTCATGGGCAGTTGGGTTCCACAAACTCACAGATTTCGCTCCATTTCTCTAAGCACTCTGATCACAAAGGTAGTACGGCACACATTTTCCAAGAGCTATTTTTTATTACTCTCCCACCCATCTCAACGTTAAAAAATGTCGTACAGTGATATCAAAGTATCGTTTATATATATAGATGCTGTGATATCTTGCGTTGCATTCTAGAACGCGTCCAATTTATGGTCTTTCATTCACATTTTATCGTCATAGGGTAACACAAATCATCACGAACTCCACATTGACCACCAAACGCTCTTTGCACTCTAGCCCAAAAGAAAACAACAGGGTATGATGCGGCACTTTCGGAGGCCGATGACGAATGCCATCATCTTGACTAAGTTTAAATTGAAGAATTATTATTGGATCCCGGGTAAGCTTTTGACAATATCCCCATCTTCACTCAACTACCGATCCAGACAAGCCGGACAAGATGCGGGGGCGAGCGGAGGTTCTAGCTAGCCTAGAATACGGAAGTTTGGAGATGGCTGACTTCATTCTTCCGTCCTCATGGTGATTCAATTGCTTAAATACTGCCCTTCAGCCCGACTTGACCGAATGAGTGTTGCGCTGTCTGTAAACACGCGCACTTCTTGAGCGACCAAAGGTTAGCGCACTCGCTGTGAAGGTCTGGATATAGCTAACTACCAACAGCATCTCAATTCGTCATGGCTGTTGTTGACATCCTCTTCACCTGGTGGTCAATCCCCATTGCCGCAGGTGTCCTCATCGCGACGTATCTCTACTCATACTTTGTGACCTACGGCCACCTGAGAGATATCCCGGCACCTTTCCCGGCGCAGTTCACGAATCTGTGGCTTCTCTACGTCTGCAGACGTGGTGAGCGATATCGCGTCGTAGATGAGTGTCACAAGAGACTGGGACCTGTTGTTCGAATTCAGCCCAACCATACATCAATCGCGGATCCTGATGCAATTGCGACCATTTACGGCCACGGAAATGGCTTCTTGAAGTCGTGAGTATTCCGCCGCTTCACTTCTTCTCATCACTAATGAGCGGCAGTGAGTTTTATGACGCCTTTGTCTCGATTCGACGAGGTCTCTTCAACACACGCGATCGCGCTGAGCACACACGAAAGCGCAAGCTCATCTCTCACGTCTTCTCCGCCAAGTCAATCAGCCAATTTGAGCCTTACATCCACGCAAACCTCGTTCTCTTCGTCAAGCAGCTGGACAAACTTGTCGCATCAGGTCAGACTACTGATAAGAATGGGAAGCGACAAGCGCTTATTGATTGTCTCCCGTGGTTCAACTACCTCGCATTTGATGTCATCGGCGATCTCGCTTTCGGCGTACCTTTTGGCATGCTCGCAAATGGCGCCGATGTAGCCGAAGTTCGAGCGACGCCTGACAGTGCACCGATTTATGCTTCGGCGATTGAGATTTTGAACAGAAGAGGTGAAGTCAGTGCGACGCTGGGTTGCTGGCCGCAATTGAAGCCGTATGCTCAATGGTTGCCCGACCCGTTTTTCAGCAACGGCCTCAACGCAGTCAAGAACCTTGCAGGAATTGCGATCGCGCGCGTCAAGGCCAGATTGGATAATCCGCCATCCGTTGAACGAAAAGATCTTCTCGCGCGACTCATGGAGGGAAGGGATGAGAAGGGTGAGCCGTTGGGTCGCGAGGAATTGACAGCCGAAGCTTTGACGCAGCTCATCGCCGGCAGTGACACCACGTCCAATTCATCATGCGCTTTACTGTATCACGTCACACGAACCCCGGGAGTTCTGGAGAAACTACAAGCCGAGCTTGACGAGGCGATCCCCACTGACGTGTCGGTTCCTACGTACGACATGGTTCGCGACCTAACCTATCTAAACAACGTGATCAACGAAACCCTCCGATATCATTCCACATCCGGCATCGGCCTTCCGCGCCAAATTCCCGAGAACTCACCCGGCGTCACGATCAAAGGCCATTATTTCCCGCCCGGCAGCGTGCTTAGTGTGCCGACATACACCCTGCATCACTCGAAGGAGATCTGGGGCCCTGATGCGGATGATTTTAAACCGGAGCGTTGGGATAGTGTGAATAACCTACAAAAGACTGCGTTTAATCCGTTTAGTCATGGGCCGAGAGCATGTGTGGGCAGGAATGTCGCGGAGATGGAGATGAGGTTGATCGCGGCGACGTGGGCGAGGAGGTACACGCCGGAGTTGAAGCAGGAGGTTATGGAAACACGTGAGGGGTTCTTGAGGAAGCCGTTGGGGTTGGACATTGCGCTTAAGATGAGGTAGATAGTAAGCCAATCACACACGAGATATATAGTTTTTCAAGAGAATCCGGTGCAACAAACAGTTTAGCCCATTGCCAATGACGAATGGTGATAGTTCAGCAGCCAAGGTTAGGTCAAACTCTGTACATGGGAAAAGATCGTGTAAAGAGCGGGAGACCCATATGTTTAATTCTCAGCCTTGCGCTTTAACTAGCTCCAGAAAATCTTGGAAGCGCTAGCCACGTGATGCATAGACCCAATCGCAGCCTTGATTGTCTCTCTCCTCAACAACCACTCACATTCGGTATCATGGGGAAAAAGTTTCTCGTGTTATGATTGAGCTCAAGCTCTAGTAGTAATTATGTTGCAAGTATAAATCTCCACCAAAATGTCTAATGCGGTCCTGGGATATCCTAAAATGATGAAAACGACAGAAAACAAGAGCTCAGAAGCGCGGTCTCGCCCTCACTTTCCGATCGCCTGCAGCTGTTTCCTGTACCATGTCTGAGAAAAATTAGCACCGTGCTCAGTAAACCACAACGAATGACTTACAATCTCAACACCAGATCCAACACTCTTGGGCCCAATCTGTTTCAGGATCCAAGGCGTATGGATCCTCTTCGCATAAAGCTTCGCATCCTCAGTCTTGACCTCCTTGTTCAAAATGATACTCGCGGGCAACGAAGGGTTGATAATCGCAGGCCTGCCAATTCCAATAAGGTCGCAAGCACCCTGACTCAAGGCGTCCTCTATACCCGCTCGGGTGCGGAATCCGCCAGTGACCATCAAAAGCACCTTTGGAAACTTGGCGCGCACCTCATGGGCGAATTCGAGGAAGAATGACTCTCGGGCAGCTGTACTGGCAGCCTTCTTCTCACCAGTTCCAGTGAACATCTATGCATGTCAGAAAGGGTTCCACAAAATCTAACGTCTGACTTACAGTTGGGTTCTCATAGCTTCCACCACTGACTTCCAAAAAGTCTAAGCCGACCTCAGTAATCAGAGAAATCTGCTCCAGACATTCTTGGAGCTCTGTAGGAGACTGATGGTCTGCAGAGTTCATTTTGAGACCGACGCAAAAGTTTGATGGCGTTACTGCTCGGATTGCCTTGACAACGTCGACAATGATCTTTGCTCTGGCTCCTGCTGATCCTCCATATGCATCGGTTCGCTTGTTGGACTTTGCAGACAGGAACTGAGACAAGAGATATCCGTGAGCGGCATGAATCTCAACTCCATCGAAACCGGCGGCCGCTGCAATTCGAGCTGTATTGGCAAATCGCTTCACAACATCCTCAATGTCCTCGAGGGTCATCTCCTTTGGACATCCAAAGACAAAGGTCGTCACAATCTTTGAAATAATATCATTCCCCATGTCAAGCGGAACAGCACTCGGGGCGATATTCTTGGCCAAGAATGATTTGCTGCCAGCTCCAATAGGCGACTGTCGACCAGGATGGTTGATTTGCATGATTGTGGGCGTTCCCTTTCGTCGACAAATACCAACAAATCTCTTATACGCCTCGAGGACTTTTTCTTCTGAGAGATTAGCATTGATGGTGCAATCACTGAATCCACCGAGGTAGCGATCGTCAATCTGAACATTTCCAGTCATGATCATACCCCAGCCTCCATCAGCCCAGGCACCATAGGTACGTTCCATCTGCTCTGTTGTAGGAAGATTCTGACGATCGGCCATTTCCTCGGCGAGGGCGGCCTTGACGAGGCGGTTGGGCAACGTGAGTCCGCATGGCAGCTCAAGAGGTTTTGAAACGAGTAGGTCTGTCATGATGTGGATTTGTTTTTGTGGTTTGTGAGGTGAACTTCGCGTGTTCTCAAGTTGTTAAATATGAAAATGTCGCCATATTGTATTAGTCGTTGAGCCGAGGCCCGTGTCCGCGGACGGAGTGGACTATTGCCCAAAGGAGAAATACCTCCAGTAGACTCGGCGAGTCTTTGCTCCGATTCCATTTCCTTTGGCGAGTTAATTGATCCGCTCGATAGTAGAATCGGAATTATTTAAAACTATGTAGCTGATAATATGTGAACTTCGAGAAGTTTCTGATATTGTTATGGTGTTGATACAGTTAGGTGCTTACGCTTACCCGACAGCCTGCGCAGAGTGATTTTCGAGACCCGCCATCAGCTGCGCATGGCCTATCAGCGCATCCTCTAGAACTCAACTAATTATAATTATGAACTCATCATAGACATTTCATTTTGAAACATCCCGAACGCATGCAAAGCCTTTGACGACTTTACTTGAAGAAATAGTCCAAGGTCAGGTATAGACTTCTTCCTGCTTTTTGCTGGGCCATGAAAGAAATGAGGCGCAAAGTCTTGGTTGACAGCTCGGAAGCTAAGCTTGATCCGATCGCTTGGAAAACGTCTATCATATGAGCCAAGTTGATTGCTATTCTTATCATTTTTACAATTGGCTAGAAAATGCTTAGAAATTCATTTAATTCGGCGGGTCTTTCTCCCGATTCATTTAGCTCAAGAATTAATCCGCCTTCAGGCATCTTCTTGTTTACGAGTCATGAAGATCATTGTCGTCATGTCCATGTTGAGAAAGACGATAACATATTTGATTTGGATATTAATTAGCTGTTTTATGTGTCATAGCATGATGTCCACGCCCTTTGAGTATGTTGGGCCTGTCAACTTAGAAGGGAAATGGCACCTTGGGAACATAAAGCTCTTCGAGATACTTGATCTCCTCATCGCTCAATGTTACCTGAAGGGCTTTCACTGCCTGATCGATCCTTTCCCTGGTCTCTAAGCCGCAGATAGGCATACATCCCTTCGCAATCAGCCAAGCCTGCGCGGCCTGAGCCATAGAAACGCCCTTCTTCCGAGCCAACTCCTCAACACGGCCAACAATGGCTTTGTCAGCGTCTTGGTTTTCTCCACGGAAAAGAAGCTTGAGAAAGGGGTCCTTCTGCTCTCGAGTATCTGTTCTGTCGGCCCAAGGATGCGCAAGAACTCCTGCGGCTAAGGGAGACCACGGGAACAGACCGACAGCCGTGTAGTCGCAATAAGGATTCATTTCTCTTTCTTCTTCGCGGTAGAGGAGGTTATATAAACCTTGCATGGAAATGAATTTATGCCATCCATTCTTCTCTGCTACGTTCTGGAGCATTTGGAACTCCCATGCTGCCATCTTCTCAACGATTAGCTTGTACGATCCTGAGTAATATGACTGGGGCAAACATACCGAGCTGGCACCAATGTAGCGAACCTTTCCGCTCTCGACCACATCATTGAGTGCTTTCATAATCTCCTCTGGCGGAACATCACGATCCATCCTGTGAATCTGCAAAACATCGATGTAGGTTCCCAGTCGTTCGATGCTCTGATCCACCGCATCAAGAATGTGCTTTCTAGAAAGACCGACTCTGTTGACGCGAGGACCATCGTTGCTAGTGAGAGTTGCAGGATCAATAGGACCCTTTTCCTCGTCGACAAACTGAAAGCACTTGGACATGATGACGAGCTTCGAACGAGGAATGCTGTAGTGTTTGATAGCGGCGCCGAGGATCCTCTCTGACTCTCCATTCGAGTATGTATCGGCGACATCCCATGTGTTGATGCCCTTGTCGAAGGCATACTTGAGGATTGGTAGTGCCTCATCCTTATCAAGAAGCCAGGGCTGCCAATTCTTGTCGCCGAAACTCATGCATCCGAGGATGATTTGTGAGACTTTGAGACCGGACTTGCCAACTCTGAAAGCTGAATTAGTCGGCATTTTGGGAAGAGGGAGGGTCGTGAGATGCTCATTACTCACCGGACATATTTCATTTCAGACGTGATGACGATGGAACTAAATTTGATGAATTATTACTGGATAATTCTCAATGAAAGATACTGCTTGTTGGACAAGCGTTGAATGGCAGTAAATGCCACTGATTTATGTACTTTTTCATCTCGCCGACTCTTGAGGTCAGTGCCGCAAGTGTAGATTTCAGCTAGAAGGCGACAATCAGCACAATAAGCCGATTGCATATATTGCCACTAACTGAACTCTCAGATCTAAAATTGTGTGTAGACAACGGAACCTTAAGTGCAAGAATCTTGCTGTAAGTCTACCACGACATGCGTGAGGGTTGGCCTGATCTGCTCGGCGCTAATGCAACTGGCTTATCCCCCACTCACATCCACGGATTTTAGAGGCGACGGTATTTCCCAGAATCAGATCTTTAAACCTTATGCAACTGGCTTATGATCCGAGGACTGGTGGCCCCACCGTGGAGCTCGATCGTTGTACAGCGTCATTGTGGATTGCTTCGTTTATCTCCTGATGGAGTTTACTGTTAAGTCCGTAGCCTCATTGACAAACGCGATATTTCATATCTTCTGATGAGTATTAATAGGCAGCCGAACCTCTATCAAGAAGCATTTACTAAACCATCACTCGAACAATAACTAAGCAGTATCCTGTCAACAAATACTCATCTTTCAACTTTTCAATCTCCTTCTATTTCATTCATAATGGTCAAAACTATTCCCTTCGGCGACATCACAGTCCCATCACCTGGCTTTGGAGCCATGGGCATGAGCTTCGGCCTAGGATCCAACCTGAGCCTCGAGGAAGCCGAACCCGTTCTGCTCAAAGCCATTGAGTTAGGTTGCACTTTCTGGGATACAGCTGTATGTCCAAGTAAACGAACAATCAACTGAATGTATATACTTATTTCTCTTACCAGGTGGTTTATCAAGCTGGTGTCAACGAAAAGCTTCTTGGAGATTTTATCAGAAAACACAACGTCCGAGACAAGGTCTTTAGTAAGTTGATCGCCGCTTTTACTTGCCAGCTGAGTTCTCCCTGAGTATATGCTGACCATGATTTACACGGCAGTCGCTTCAAAGTGTGGTTTCGATGTCTTTGGCAAGGGTGGTGTGACCAATTCTGCTTCTCACATCAAGGAGTATATCGAAGGAACCATTGAAAGACTTGGCTTTGCCCCCGATTTATACTACTTGCATCGAATTGATCCTAGTATGTACTTCTACGGTTAGATTTTTATGATGAAGATGGTTCTGACCTTTTGATACTAGACACTCCGCTCGAGGAATCCATTCCTGCCCTGGACGAGATTCGAAAGCAGGGGAAGACAAAGTATATTGGTTTGTCCGAATGTTCTGCCAACACTCTGCGAAAGGCCAATTCAAGTAAGTTTATCGTTGAACTTTGTGAACTTGGCTTACAAGTATTAGTTGCGAAGATCGATGCTGTCCAAGCTGAATACTCGGCCTTTGAGACACTGCACGAGACTGATGGTCTCATTGATACAGCTAAAGAGCTTGGCATCGCATACGTCGCCTACAGCCCCCTTGGTCACGGCTGGCTTGTCGATGACTTCCCTTATAAGAGTCCAGATGATTTCGCACCCGATGACTTTCGACGAACAGGTATGTTTCACTAATACCCATCCATCTCCAACTGAACATCATAGTGACTGACATGCCACCTAGTCCCCAAGTTTCAAGGCGAAAACTTCTACAAGAACAAGGCTATAGTAGAGGAAATTAAGAAACTCGCTCTTCGCAAGGGCTGCACTTTGACGCAAATCGCGCTTGCTTGGGTTGCAGCCCAGGGAATGATTGCTATTCCTGGTACGACTAAGGCGCACCGTTTGGAGGAAAACTGGGCTTCCAGGGATGTTGATTTGACTGAGGAAGAAAAGGTTGAGATGCGAAGGATTATTGATTCGGCTAAACCTCAGGGAAATAGGTATGCTCCTGCTCAGCAGGCTATGGTTGGTCATTAGATGGTTCATCAGTAGAGTAAAATATCTAGCAAAGGGTAATTCATTATTCCTCAGATAACGGATAATACTCAGTGGACAGCGACGTCATTACCAACAACTCCACTGTAACGTAACGTGCGCTAAAATTTACCGACAACCTTAATGTTTTCCATTAACGTTAGAAGCCATCCCAGTGCTTTTCCCACATCAACCCCGCCCATTCAGCATCCGGCCGAGAGAATATTGAATTGATATCACTAGCTGCCTGGCATCAATTGTAATTAGTCATTACGGGAACTATACTGCATATACCCACTCGATCAAAATGGATTCGAGCTCAGTGGTCAAAGGTCAAGATGTCCTTGCAGGACTTGATCGTTTCAAGCCTTTTCCGGACCTTCGCACCCACGCAGACGATTGGACTGGTGTAACTTCAAGGCAAGAAAGGAAAAGAAGGCAAAATAGACTCAATCAGAGAGCGTGGCGTGAGTACAATGCATACCACGACGGCGTGGCTTTACTGACAAGTAGACCATCTATAGGGCGAAGAAAGGCTGCTCAATGTACATCAGAAGCACAAGAACTTGGTGCTGTCAAGACGACATCTTGTAGCACTCCAGAAGACAATGCGCTGCTGGTGGGATATGTTTCCTCGTCTCTGGTTGCTGGCGCACCGAACATTGGCGACGGTATCTTGCTGATACCCAATTCGTTCGAGGCAGAGAGACTCCGAAACTTGATACGGCAGTCTCTTCAAGACTATTCACTACAAACCCCACGGCCATCCAACTTGCACATGATCATCCGCCTGAATGTCCTGAACGCCATTGCCGACAACGCCACAGTCATAGGGTTTCCTAAAGAAAGCTTGTGTCGAGATGAGTTCATATCGCCCTTCTATCAGAATGGTCCAATCCAAATACCCTCGCCCAGCTGTCCAACGAATCTTCAACCAACCCCTCTACAACGATCAACATCACATCATCCCTGGATAGACTTGTTCCCTTTTCCGAAGTTCCGCGACAATGTTCTTCATGGTATGCAGAAAGGCTTATTTGATGATGATGAACTGTGTGGTGATCTATTGGGAGTTGAAGGCGCAGGTGTTGGAGAGCAGCCGTCGCTTTTGGTGTGGACCGTTGCTTGGAATTCTCGAGGCTGGGAAGTCAATGCAGCGTTTGTTAAGAAATGGGGGAGTCTGATTAAAGATTGTCCTGAGATTATGAATTCGACGAATTATTGGCGGGCGAAAAGGGGACAAGCTGCTTTGACCTTTGATGACATGGAGACGAGCTCTCGTGCGATGGGGAAAGGTACTGATAGACCAAATGCGGCATATTCTTAGGAGATCTGGCAATAGATCAAAGGCAATGTGAACATAGAACTCTTCCCTGATGGTGCGATGATAACGAAACTCTGGCCAATTAATGCCCCTTGCAAGCTTGTCGAGAGTTATCCATCTTGGCGTCTGAGAGCGCCATTGGAGTAGCTGTTGGTTTGGTCATCTGGCCTCTTTCTCCCATATCTCCCTGGCTGGTATCACCCTTGAGCACGATATCATCGACCAAGAAACTGGCCAGCAAACATAGAGCCATAAGAGGTATCGTTATGATGAAGATCACTCTAAATCCTTGCATTCGTCCATCCAAGATGGCGCTTTCGAATTCTCTTGTGCTGGGGTTTCCAGCAGCCCACGTGCCATCTAAGACGCGATCGCGAAGCCATTCTGGCACCGCATTGGATTGTGAAAGGGTTTTGCTTAGAGTTGCATAGTATGCAGCTGTAGAAACAGCGATACCGACAACGCCGCCGAGGGAGCGAAAGACGTTGCGGGTTCCTGTTGCTACCGCACGATCTTCGTCAGCGGAGTTGGCCTGTAGTGCAACAAGCCCTGCCAGTGAGTTAGTGATGTGACACCAATTGATGGGTCCTTGTCAGCGAAGAGCGCTTAGCATACCTGGCTGATGAACCCAACCAATTCCCGCCCCTTCAACAGCTAGAACTACCACGTAGACGGCGACATGAGTGTGCTCATTGAACAGAAGCTTGAGGCCGGTACCAACCGTCCAAATCGTGAAGCCAGTCCTTAAGATTGGTATGTATCTGTAGACTGATGAGAAATTGCATTGGCGTTTCAACCATAGGTACTGCTCACCTCGCATAACGAACCATGGTAGGCCCTGAGGCAGCGCCAGCAAGACCTTGCGCGAGCAGAAATGGTACAATGAGGGTCGCGCTTTTTAGCGGCGTAAAGCCCCGGACAGTCTGGTAGTAAAGGGGAACAAAGTATTGGGTCGACTGCCAAGCGAAATCGTGGAAGAAGCCGGTAAGAATGAGTACAGCTGGGGATCTCTGCCTGAACAGCCTCAAGGGAATGATGGGGATTCTAGCGAAGAAAGCCTCGATGACGATGAAGACAAGCAGCATTACGATGCCAATAGTAAGTATGGAGATGGTCTTAGCATTCTTCCAGGCCCACATGCTTCCACCAGAGTTGATGGCCATCTGTGTCAGCCATTAGAAGGATGCTGCTCTTGGGGTGCTCGAGATACTTACAACTGTCAATACGATACCAGCAATTGAAGCCATAACACCCATCCAGTCAATCTTACTAGCCTTTTCCTTGAAGCTCCCAGAGACAGGCTTCAGAGGCAAAAGTAGTAGGAGGAGCACAAAACATATGGCTCCCATTATTGACGGGACCCAAAAGGCCCATCTCCAGCCGTCAGTGGTCAGCTGTATCAGCCCAGCAGCCACGAATGGACCAGAAGCAGCACCAATTCCAATGGCGAGGCTGATGAATCCTTGATACTTTCCTCGCGATCGCAGGCTGACAAGATCGCTGACAATGATGGCTACAGAAGAGCTTATACCACCACCGCCAATGCCGCTGATGGTGCGGCATACGTACAGCCAGACGGGCGTGCGAGCGAAGCCACAGAGGAGACCGCCTATAACGATACAACCCATTGAGAATAACAAAACAGGCTTTCGTCCCGTGATGTCGGATATTCTGCCATACAGTGGCTGGAATGAGAGTTGACCGAGAAGGTATGATGTCCCAACCCATGTTACCGTAGGACCAGCATCGAGAGCCTCGGAGATGGTGGGTAGAGATGTTGCGACGGAGTTCATGTCAAGGTAGGATATGAGATAGCAGAAACATAGACAGATGTAGGCAAGAATGAGTCGGAAGAATGGTAGGCGCTGCGACTGATCTTGGAGCTCAACATCGCCATGGACCACTTTCAGGTCAGGCCTTGTGTGGCTCGCAGGCTCAGCGGGAGGCGACTTTGTCTGAACAATGTCAATTGGCTCATCCTGATCTTGATTCGACACAGGTTCAATTATGTCTAGACCAGAAGTCGCTTCCATGGTGAAGTTGACACTGGATATGAAGTTGAAGATGAGCTGTTGAGTTGATGGTTCCAAGTCGGAAAGCGTATTCTCGATACTCTTCTGATGCCATGAGCGGAATTACAGTAGAAGAGGTTACTGGAACTACATTGGCCGCGCGAACGTTGAAGTGGATCATATACCGTCACACATCGCGATTGAGGTGAGCTGTCATCGAATCAGTGACTTTGGAGATGTGTTTCCGTGTTGCCAAGAAGATCCTTCGGAAACCCCTCACGACAGATTACCTTGGGAACACTGCGATGTCGGCAAAGACGCTGGCCTGAAGTGAGTCACATTACAAGCGATTTACTGGGTGTTTGCGATTGATAATATCTTTCCATCAGTTCAATGATGTGCTATACATGTCGCTTGAACGACCATTCTCCATGCCCAACAACTTGAACATCTGAGTCGCTACCCCCCAGCACGACCTCCATCTCAGTAAACGGCGGTACAACCACATCAATTTGTATCTCATCTCTCTCAATCACCTTCCATAAGACTGAGACTTGACCATGCGGTGTCAAATGCGATGCTCTGGCAGATGTAATACCACCACCAACACAAGGATCTACGCAACATCTCGCCCACGCAGGCGCCAATTGCTTCAGACCTGCGACGCGCTCCACCATAAATTTAGCCACTGAGCCGTAGGCATAGTGATTGAAACTGGTCATATCTCCTGGATTGATCGAGCCATCAGGGAGCATACTATCCCAACGTTCCCATATCGTTGTCGCGCCCTTAGTCACTGGGTATAGCCACGAAGGACAATTTTTGTTAAGAAGCATGCCGTATGCGACGTCCATATGCTGTGTCTTAGCCAAAGCTTCACACACGAATGGTGTTCCTGCGAAGCCGTTGCCGACGCGGTGATCGTTGGCTCGTACAATCTCAGCCAGACGATCGCCTGCCCATTTCAACTGAGAAGGTTTGGCGAGTAGGTCAAAGCAAATGGCTAAAGCGTAGGCTGTCTGCGAGTCCGATGTCAAACGACCAGTCTCTGAGATATACTCCTTGGTGTATTGTCCTCTGGCAGTAGCTGCCTTGGCTTTGTAGACAGAGGAGTCATGTTTTCCGAGGATCTTTGCAATACGAACCATGATGTCATATGAGTGTATCAGGAATGCGTTGGCTACGAGCATCATGTCAGTCGCTGACTTCTGGGGAGCGTCTGGAGGAGCACTGGGGTCAAGCCAGTCCTGATATCTGTGTTAGAAAGCGCCCTCAACGAATCGGCGAAAGAAGATAACACTTGCAGCGAGCTGGAACATATTCGAGTCCCATAAATGGTCTTTATCAACTGCCTTGTCCATTGGCACAGCATCCAACCACGCCACCATCGAGTCGTACTGCTGAGCAAGAATCTCCGCATCACCGTGCTCCTCCCACAACGCCCAAGGCGCTAGAACTGTAACATCGTGCCAAATTGCAAAGGGGTGTACTTGGGCAAAGAGGCCGTCCACAATAGTATTTGGTGAGACCATCGGTGGGATTCCATTGCGCTTCTTCTGCTCATAGTAGAGACCCTTGAGCCAATCGTTCAAGATACCGTGGCACCCGTAGAGAAATGTCGCTGTTGGGGCGAAGAGAGCGATGTCGCCTGTCCAGCCGAGACGTTCGTCTCTCTGAGGGCAATCTGTGGGGATGGAGAGGAAGTTGCCCTTTGTTGACCAACGGACGTTACTCCATAGCTGGTTAAGCATGTCGTCTGAACAGCGAAAGTCGCCTGTTTCTTCCATATCAGTATGACAAACAACAGCTTCCACCTTCTCCAGAATATCGTCTTGGGACCCAGGCCAATTGTCGATCTGAGCATATCGGAATCCATGGAATGTGAACCTAGGCTCATAGATTTCTTCGCCTTCACCACGAATAGTATAGGTATCCTTAGCTTCACAATGTCGTAATGGCCTAGTTCCTAGTTCGCCGTGTTCGAGGACTTCGGCATGATAGAGTGTTATCTTGTGGCCGCTTGGACCGCGAACACGGATGCGAAGATAGCCGACAAGGTTTTGACCAAAGTCTAGGACTAAATTGCCTGAAGGCGTGCCGATCTTTGACATAGGTCTGATGGTCTCAATTCTTCGAGTTGGTTCTGCTGATCCAGCGATGAGTGCCGTATCTTCAGACAAAGGTGGTAGAACTTCGACTTGGTGCCAATCTCCTGACGCAGAACCTGCTGTTGACCATCCGTCTATTTCAGCAGTGGCATCATACTTCTCGCCATCATAGATCTCGGCCATTCGGATCGGTCCCTGCGTCGTTTTCCATGTCTCATCTGTCGATATCGTCAAGTTGGTTCCATCCTTTGCTGTGATCTCAAGTCGAGCAAACAGCGCTGTCCGTGTTCCATGAATATTCCGCTTTCCACCCTCAAAACCTAGACGCCCTTTGAACCAACCCTCAGCGACACGGGCACCGATACAGTTCTCACCACCTGAAAGAAGTCCCGTCACATCAAAGGTTTGGTATCTGAGACGGTGCTCATATACGGTCCACCCTGGCGCGAGGAAATGGTCGCCGACTCTGATTCCGTTGATCTCGGCTTCGTAGACTCCATGAGATGTTATATACAGCCTTGCGGATTCGATGTCGCCATTGATGCTGAATTTCTTGCGGAATAAGTCCTCAGGCAAGGGTTTGTCCTGCTCATTGGAGCACGGCGCTGATATGAGCTGGGTCCCTGACCAATCTTGTCTGTTCAAGAGGCCAGCTTCGACAAATACAGCATTGCTCCAGGGCGTTGGTTCAGGTTCGTTGGAAAGGTATGCTCTGATTCGAACCTCATAGCGTCGGCGAGAACTTAGCGGCTCGTTACTGGGCCAAGGGACGAGGTACGCTTGTGATGACTGGACTTTGTAGGCTTTTGCCCCATGAGGTTGTCGCGAATTTGGGTCAATTTCGGTGAGTTCGATCTCATATGCATTCTGCTTAAGTTTTGAATCGGCTTCCCCAAAACGCCATGAGATACGAGGCTTTGTCTCGTCGATTCCAAGAGTATTTCCAGGCCTGTAATGTTCGAATCTGACGTCGACGACTTTGATGTTTGCCATTGTGATAGTGGCTGACATGGAAGACCACCTTGACAAGGACTCGGTCAGCCCATCATAGATTCATGAGATGAGAGCTTTTGTAATGATACGATATCATCGTCAGCTCCAGTTTTCGGTCATTTATTGACGTCGGGTCAATGATAACCGATGAGGCTCTTGGCTAACTTGGCTTCCTCCACATCCCGATGAGGAGACGTCCACTAGCTGTGGTTGGCGGCTGAACTTCGCTATATTATGTACGCCTCAGCTGGAATTGTTTCCAATCTTGGAGTTTGAGACCGATCTGGAGCGGTCTAGAGTTTGATGAGTGCATCGACAGCTCCGAGTTATGAAGGACCTAGTGGTCTGATGATTAGTTGTAGTCTTGCTTTGGGAAGTTTCTGGGTAAAGCCCGGCGAATCCTGACTTCATGACTCTTATACCAAAGCCTAGATGGTACATGAGTCTTGCTGGTGCAAAATAATGGAATGATGCATTGACTCAGAATGATGAAATACATCATGGAAAGACATTGCACGATACGAAACGTGCGGCCCACATCATTGCGAGACACCGGACGGTTATTTCATAGATTCTGCCTCTTCCAACGAGCCATTTCTCATCAGATTTGAAAGGCAATCTCCGTCAACTGAGGACATCTTGTTGTATGATCTTATCGCTAATGAGCCAATTGGTCATCAAAAGAGATGGGCCATGTATGCATGCTGTAGTAAACGAGTGGTTCTTTCAACTACCAAGAACTCCAGGAAGCAATTTGCTACCCAAGAATAAATTGCTTTGGAACTTGTTTCACAACGATAGATTTGTATGTATTCAAAGAATCCATGATACAGATTTTATTATCAATGTAGGCCGCCAGGAACCCAGAAACAACAAGAGAATAGAAGCAATCTTATGTGTCTTGACCCCAACAATCGAACAGCACTATTCGACATTTAACAAATCACAGTCCTTGCTAGACGCATCCGACTTAAAGACTCATGCCTCCTCAGTAATGGCAGTAGTAGACCTCTCTTTGAACTTTGGTGCAGGAGTCTTGGTCTGGAAGAGGTAATCAATCTGAGCATAAGTAATGTTCTTAGTCTCGGGGATCTCGATCCAAGTCAGGACGAAGCCAATGACACAGAAGCCGAAGAAGACGAAACCGATCCTGCCTCCCAGGTTACCCTGATCAGCATTGAACATGTAAGGAACACAAAGAGCAAAAGCCCAGGTCATGAAAGCGTTGACGAAGAAACCAATACCAAGAGTCTTGGCTCGAAGGACAGTTGATGGAACTTCGGCTGCCACGATGGGGTATGCTGATCCTGTGCCTAAGTTGCCGGTGCAAGCAGCTAGAAGAAGAGATACGCCGATGAATCTATAGCAGTTGTTAGTCTGACATGGTAATCAAATATTTTGGGGAAATTTACCTCAATGCTGTCTGGTTCTGCGGCCAGAAGCCAGCAACGCCCATTCCAATAAAAATGGCTCCAGCAACAACAAAGCTTGCGAGGATAGCAAACCTTCGGCCAACCTTGGACATGATAACCCAAGAGACAAGGGTACATGCCATACTCAAGCCAACGCCAATTTGGTTGAGAGTAAGAGAGAAAGTCGGGGTCATGCCAGCCATGATGAAGAAGTAGGTGGAGTTTGAGACCAGAGTTATGCCCATGAACTGCTGAAGAGTATTGAGCAGAGCAACAATACGAGTTCGTCGCAAGTTTGTGCCCTTGAAGCACTCTGAGAACGAAGGCTGTTCCGAGTTCATCCTTTGCTCCTGATGGATTGTAGCTTCGATTATAGAAATTCGTTCGTCGATATTTCTGCAACCGAGTGTAGTTAGAGCCTTTCTGGCTTGGTCGGTCTTGTTCTTGCCAGCGAGGTAAACAGGGCTTTCGGGAACGACTAGCGCTGCAATGACGGAGTAGACGGAGAAAGCCCATTGGGAAGCAAAGGGAATCTTGAAGGCCCAGTGTGTCATCGTAGCGACCTCCCTGAACACTACTGTGATGGCAATCATCTGACCAACAGTCTAGTAACAGTTTGTTAGCGTGATTATTGTGTTGGTGGAATAGTATACTCACGATCATGAAGGGATAAAAGCCGAGAAGTATAGTTCGAAGCTTGGGTGGTGAAATCTCGGATACGTATGTTTGACATGTCGACATGCTAATACCCATGGCCAGACCAATGAAGAACTTTCCAACCAAGAGGACACCGCGTCTTTGTTCGACTGTCTCGGGATTGCTGGACACAAAAGTAATTGCCGTTCCTAGAGAAGTCCAAGTTAGACCAGATTAAGATTCAAGCTTTCCTAACTTGACTTACCAACAGCAGAGATGAGACCCCCAACTCCAAACATGATCTTTCGACCGAATCGATCCTGAAGGAAGCCGTTGCTTGCTGCACCAGCCATGATTCCCATTGCGCTAAAGGCTTGCCAGAGACCTTGCCAAAGAGCTGGAAGGATGAAGGTCTCGCCAAAGGGAGAACCAAATGTGATTCTACATGATTAGCCATTTGTATGAATCCATAGGTTTGGAAGTTTTCGACTTACGAGAACATGGGAAGCGCATTGATAGCTCCCTGAACGAGAACATCATATCCAAAAAGGAACGCACCGCAGTTGGCGAACCAAGTGAAAACGATCACACGAACGTTCTCTCTCAGGAGTTGCCAAACAGTTGTGTTGCTCTCCTCAGCAACTTCAACAGCTAAGATAGTCTCCTTGTGGTCAACTCCAATGGAGTCGGCCTTGCTGGTAGTTCGTCCAATGTTCGACATTCTTGAGAAGCTCAATGATGTTGATTGTGAACATCATGATCGAGCCTGGTATCAAGAGTTACTTATAGAGACAGGATCACGGTTCCATCTCCTAATCCAGTGCCGTGGTTCAACCGACGCGTTTCCAATTAAGCTCATGGTGCATCTGGGGCCCCAGACAACTGACATAACTCCCCGCATTAGCAGGGATGTTTTCGGATCTGTGGAGGACAAAATATCTGGAGGCTTGATCTGGAGCCCCCTTGGTCGGGAAAGTGGAGGGAATTCGGTGCATTTCACACCGAGAAACATTGTCTGTTTGACCATGCGGATCATATGATACCACGACTAATATTTTCCATGTGTGAGATTTGTGTCTTTTTGAAATAGACTGTGATAAAATGTTGGTGGCGATGCCTTGCCCGTCAATCCCATGATATTTCAGCCAAATATCTTGAGCCAAAACATTGACAACGGTTCCACCAAGATTTTGAGACTTTAGGCAGGCAAAATGTGCGAAGACTTAACAAAGATAACTGTCGCATTTGAACGATCTGCCAATGTGAGACATGTTATGTTCAGGTTGCGGTCATCTGAGCCTATAGCCCCTAAACAATAAACAAGATCATATTGAGATTTATTAAGCTACTATCCTCACTATGACAGGGCTGCCCAAGACCAGCATGTACGTTATCTAGTAGATTTCTTCTTCGAAGCCCAGTGCTGCAATTTGCTTTTTGTAGTCCTGTTGTTGCCGTATGTCCTGCACCAGTTAGTCATGCTCTATATCTATTAATCAAACTTATTACCTCCTCCACAGTGCTTTTGATAATATATCTTGTAACTCGAACTTCGCTTTCTTGCCCAAGGCGAATGGCTCTCGAAATCGCCTGGCTCTCGACGCTGGGATTCCATTGTAGTTCTGTGATGAAGATTCGATTTGCGCAAGTCAAGTTCAACCTGCAGTGGTATCAGTCTATCGATTCCAGTGAAAGAGGGAGACAACGTACCCAAATGCTCCGGTTCCTGTTGTCATAATAAGAACAGGCGTCTCATCCTCATTCTCAAACGTAAGGAGCGTGGCCTGCCGTTGAGGCAGAGGGCTATTACCGTCGAGTTGAAGGTATGGAATCTTAGCCTGCTCCAGGTACCTCGATATCAAATACAGCGTTCGTGTCCAGCAAGAAAAGATGATACTGTTTATTGTCAGCGGGAAAGTGAGATCCGGGATTTTCATACCTTTTTGTGGTCCATAGATCCTTTTGAACATCCTCAACCAGAGTCCGTATTTTTGTTGAAAGACCTTGTTCATTGAAGTAGCTCTCGTTATCATCCTTTGCTACAGTAACTTTTCGCCGCTTTCTGGGTCTCTCACCACCTGCTAAAGCTTTCTCATCTTCAGATACTGGAGATTCTTTGTACCATCTGACGCAAATGGGACACCGCCTTCGCGTCTCGGGTAAGCACATGTTTGACTCTTCGATGCACTTCGAACACAGAATATGTGAGCATTCGTCGTCAAACATTCTTTTCGTCAAGTTGCATCCCAGTACTGGCATTGGCTGCTCACATCCCACGCATGATATTTCTCCGTATTGACCGGCAGTCCCAACTATTGCCTCTCGTTCTTCCAGGAGGCTTCTCCGATGCCACGAGAAGAGCTTCTGATACGTTCCGTGGTTGCAGACAATTCGAAGCTGAAGCCACATCTGGAACATGCCAAACTGGGAGCTCTTTTTGACTTCACCCATACGATGCTCCATGTTACGTAGAATGACAGCCTTTGTTCTGTCATATTGATCCCGCTCTTGTGGACTGAACTCCAAATGTCGAACAAGCTGTCGTGTTTTTGGTAAATTCAAGACCTCTCTAGTTCGGCGTAGACACAATGCTTCAAGGAGCATGACCAGGCGATCTCTTACTAGCTCAGGGTTGTCGAATGAGTTATCGAATGGGGTTTCTATCCACTTTCTAAACTCAGATGCCTTGTCGAATGGCTCGGCGCGAATGAAGCGGAACAGCGAGCCTATATCGGTGAGTCTATTTTGGATGGGCGTTCCAGAAAGACACCATCGAGAGTTGGCGTGGAGATATTCACATGCTTGGAAGAACTTTGTGGATGGACGACGGATGATATGAGCTTGTGACCCCCAGTAAGTTGTCTGGATAAGCGCTGCAGGTCTACTACTCACCTTCATCAAGGACTATTCGATACCAACCCAACTTATACAACGGCGAAGTCTTCCCTTTCCCTGTTAGATACTCAGCAGTAAGTGTATGATATGTTGTCACCAAGATATCCGAGTCTTCAATGATAGATAGCTCCTCAAGAGTCTTCGGCCTATTCTCGCCATGGTACTTAACAACTTTGAGACCTCTCTGTAGATGCCTGTACAGTGTCAGAAATTACTCATGATGAAGGTCCCGCGACACTTACTTCTTAACCTCATTCATCCACTCATCGATCAATACTGGATTCAATCAATATTTGAGAGGGACTGATGTTGAGGAGAGACTCACAAGCTGCTGAGACGACAACGAGAGTAGAGCGAGAGAACTTGAGAGACCTCCTGCTTTTATGCTCTGCATTTTTCTTCTCCGCCCACTCTTGGCCATTGTCCAGAGTCTTCATGATCAAGGCGAGGATGGAAAGCGACTTTCCCATTCCCATGTCGTCAGCAAGGATACCGCCGCCCCTCTCTTCTGGCCGTATATCTTTGCGTCTCTTGGTGATTCTGTGTCGGTATTGGACTTTTCCATCCTCATGCTCGATCTCTTCCCAAAGTCTGTACTTTTCGTTGATGTGCCCAGACTCTCTCTCGAGCATGAAACCCAGGGCTTCCTTCTGATGTCTATTTCGTTATTAGTGCCCCTATCAACCGGCCAGTGATTTCCGATAGATTACCTTAACAGCTGACGCGTCACCCTGCCACCAACTTCAACCATCTCAAGTTCGCGATTCTTCTCGACTGTCTTGTAAACCTCCTCCACCATCTTCCGGAGTTGATCTTCTTTACTTCGTTTCTTAGGGGCACCATCGCTGAAAGCCAGTTGCGTATTTAGGACTTCCTCGGATCCGGTATCTTGGATGCTGATGTTCAGGAAATGCGGGTTCGCGTAGGCAATACCATGTCTTCCATGAATAGATCTCTGAAGCCACAGCTTTCCATCGGAGAGTCTTTTGCCAATATTCAATGCCTCGGATTGTAGCCCATAGATATTTATATCGACTTTGACCCTAGCGTCCGCGGGTATGTTTGCGCGGTTTATGACCTCCCTCAGATCGCATTTCAAGGCCAATGGTTGAATGTCGACTGATGGTTGCGTCATCAGGAGCAAGAGAGTCTGACCTGTCGCTGAAGGGAGATGACCAAAGTGCTTCTCATCACCTGGGAAACAAAGCATGAGTTGCTTCTGGTACTCCGTTGGTGTAAAGTATTGATACGCTGAGCCCTCTGCTGCCAGTCTTTCATCTATGAATGACATGTCATCAGGTACCAATTTTACTTCGATGTTGTGAAGCTAAGACAAGTAAGTATTGGGATCTTGACTCAAACATCATTCAAGGTGTATGTATATACTTACCATACCGTAGTGGACTGTGACGCCGTCATCTTGCGGTAATGTCACCAGTGTTGCATTTGACTGACTTGACCCAGAAACTTCCGGTGTCCTAGCTGACCCTTCTCGAGAGCTTTCTGTGGGTAATTGAAGGAATTGGAAGCTTTCGAGTGCCGTAGACATATGGGAGGAAGCGTTCTGCTCTTCATCGGGACAAGGCGTCATTTGAATAACATTCATGTCGAAATTCATATCCAAATCCATCATTCCAAGTTGTGGATCAATGTCTAGAGCATTGTTTCGAGTAGAATGGCTTGCAAGGACATCATCTTTGTGAAATAGAGGATCACTGTTTTGTACTTTTAGTCATAGCTCGAATTGACACATAACGCTACCTACATTATAGAGTTTGTGAGACTAGGTTGGAGATAGTTGTCGCCCTCAGTAACATCTCCATTTAGATCGCCCCAAAAGGCTAGTGAGGTCACATCGACTGGTCCATTCATGCCCAGTTCTTGAGTCCTAGGAATGTCGCCCATGTACGGATCTTGTTCCTTCTCAACTCCCAGCCAGTCACCCAGGGAGTGAGAGATGCTGTCGTGCTGGCCTTTATCTACAGGATTGAGGAGATCTCGCAAGTTAGACATATTGTCGGTATGTCGAAGAATCTGAAATGCTATGGGAACTCTCTGATTCTGAAAGGCGCACTGTTAAAATACCTAAGTCTTTAACGACAAAGATCTTGCTGACACACCGACAATATCAAAATCAGGCTGTGCAAGTCCGTATTCTATGCAGGAGATCCCTGGAGTCGGTGACCCAACGTCGAATCAGAGTCTTTACTTTCAGCCAACTGCAGCTCGCTAGACCAACAAGGCAGACCAGTGTCATCACATCTGGTTCGCCCTATGCTTGTGTTACTTAAGGATTGGCTGCTAAGACTTGAAAATGTAATACCGTCATCAAAGGCTTTCAGCAAGGTGATTTTGAGGCACTCCCCAAATTTTGCAGTTGGGTTGCCTCTTTCTTCCTTCACCGCCAGCTAGTCCTGGTGCAGCCAATTCCTCTTCGAGTCATTGTCAGCTGCCTTGCTTTTGTCCTTAACACAGTATAATTTATCGAAACTCGGTCTTAGAGGGCTTTATTAAGTGCCATAAACTTTCTCTTCACGATGAACCGGCTTTATGAGTTAGCTGAAGAATTCAGAAGATCCCTGAAACCCCACCATGAAGAAGAATTCGAAAATACCACTGTTGGAGACATGCGAAAGGAGATCCATGATATACAATTGTTGCGAGACAAGACTAATAACATGATGGACATGAATCGACTGCGGATGTTTCTTGACGGCATGGAAGAGCTCGAAAAGCTCCTCTTGCGCCTTGAGTTTCCTGGCACGAAAGGTGCTATGTCAATCATTTGGGGCTCCGTTAGGTTCCTACTCAAGGTATCCATTGGTCTCTGATTCATGCACGGGACTCAGCTAAGGGTTTACAGAGCACGAACATTACTGATAGGGCTTTTGACGGAGTGCTCGATGTGTACGGACTTCTTGGAGCACAACTCCTGCCCTTGACTCAATTCAGGGAGCTCTTCCAAACGTTTCCGGATGCCTTGGAATGCATAGTCAATATTTATCATGATATCCAGCGATTCCATTCCACAGCATACAAGCTTTTCTCACTCACGACGAAGCGTAAGATATCCCTTGCAGAGATGAATATCAGTCGGCTGACTTATCCAAGTATGGCAGCGTCTTCAGAAACCTATCTGGGATGACGCAAGTCGCTTGTTTTCAAGAACATCCGATTCTCTAGGTTCACACGCGAGGTTCATCAAAGAACACAGCCCTTCTTTACAAAGTGAGTTCTTGAAGCAAGACAAGTTCGACAAAATGATCTAATTCCAAAGACTATGGTGCCCTTCATGCGGCCTTCCAGCAGTACTCCTATGGCCTCAAGTCAGACTGGAATAATTTTGAGATTGAGGAAAAGTCCCGAAAGCGTGGAAGAAGATACGAAGTGACTGAATGGATCACTTCTTCTTCGAAGATGCCAAGGTTGCAAGATGAGTTCCGTGATATGGCGATCTGTCCCAGGAGTGGTCGTTGGCTTTTCCGAAATTACAACGCTATATCGGAGTGGATGGGCGAGGAAGACCCTCCCCACTCAGCCATATGGTTGCATGGGAACTGCGGATATGGTGACTATTACCTAAAATCTTGACAGAGATCTTATATGACGCTAATTAATCCAGGCAAAACGGTGCTTGCATCCCTAATAGTCGATGAACTGAAATCATCCAAACTCCAGAATACGATGTCCTCATTTCCAGAGGGCAGTAAGACGTGTTATTTTTACTGCCAGGAAGACGACATCGAACACAGAAATCATCTTGATATCCTTAAAGGTATACTCCTGCAGATGGTAGAGGTTGAGGATTATATAATCCCCCTTTGCTATCAGGAAAAGGCCACAAGTGGAGGCTCCAACCTCATAGATTCAGAGCTGGCTCAAAAGCTCATCAAGACTTTTATCGAGTTTTCTGTAAGACACTATATCGTGATAGACGGAGTGGACGAATGCGATGGAGCCGAGATCCAACAAACTGCCAAGTTCTTCAAGGATTTGGTGTCGACATATGATACGCAAATCAGAATGGGGCATCTGAGAGTCCTTTTCATGGGTCGAGAAACATCTGATACCAAAAAACATATTCCTGGAGACGATTGCATCAGCATAGCACTTAGGCCAGAGGACAACCATGACGATATCAGAGCTTTTGTGCAGAAAAGACTTCCAGACTTTTCGAAATCAAGTCACGGTATTGGTTTCAGTCTTTCTGAAGCTGATAAGTCGGATGTTGAACGGATAATTTGCCATCAAAGTCAAGGTTTATACTAAATTAACACCGCATTAGTTAAAGTTCAAGGCTGATATAACTTTGTAGACTCATTTCTCTATGCACATCTAGCCATTGAATTCCTTTTACAGCAAGATACCAAAGGTGACTTGCTAACCCAACTCAGACAAGGGATACTACCAACGAAGCTTGGAGACATGTAGGTCCTCTGATACTAACACTTGACTTCAACTTACTTTTTCAGGTACGAAAGACTGCTCGACTCCGTCAAGAATAGTCTCGTGGCACAGCCAGGAGGTACTGCGAGGTGGGAGAGATCAAAGCTATTATTTGGATGGCTCATTTGTGCCAAGAGACCACTCAGATGGCACGAGATGCAAGCAATCTTATGCTTCGATCTGGATAAACCCAAGATTGACTTTGAGAATAACATGTTACGACAAGATATGGAGAAATATCTCGGCGCCATCGTCCATGTCCTTGACGGAGGTCATATCCGACTTATTCATTCTACTGCACGCAGGTCGGTCTTGATCAACATGTGGTAATCGCAAGTGACTGACGTTACCTGGGATTTTCAGATATATCATAGACAACAAGCATATCAGTGAGAAGCAGGTTCAGTGCCAGTTGACTACTATATGCCTTAGATACTTGACCCTCCCATGCTTCACCCGGAACTTCAACTATCTGGCGCCCCAAAGAAGCGAGGATGCGAGACTTGGCTGGTTCTCGTTCCAGGACTACACGTGCTCTCAGTGGCTTTATCATGTTGATACTTTGATCAGAGAGTGCAGCGAAGTCTTCACAACCGAGACTTTTCCAGACGTTGCAGCGGACTTTGCTTCTGCTTTGAAGCATTTTGTCAATACTCATCGTGCAGATTTGACTACCACTAAGCATGCTGAATTGGTTGAAAGCCACATAGAGACCTTCATGGGCTTGGAACTCTACGAAGACCTTCATTTGCTGTGGAACCACATATACACTCACCAGCGAGGTGATTACGGAACACGAAACACCGTTGGCGTTAAGCAAATCGAGAACGGACTCAAGGATAATAGAAAAGAATTGGAAAGGTTCCTTCCGAGCCAAAGATCCGGTGACGAGGATACGATCGAGGACTATTATGGTTCAAATCTCTTCAAGTGTAACCGTACACTCTGTCGTTTCTTCTACGTCGGCTATGACGAGAAGAGTAACCGAGATGATCACAGAAAGCGACATGAGAGGCCTTTCCATTGCCCCGTGTCCTGTAATGCGGCTCCTCTTGGCTTCGTGAGTAACAAGGATAGGGACCGACATATCAATATTTACCATCCGGAACTAAGCGAAGGAGTCGCCATCTTTGAGGCTTTAAGCCGTCGACAGGCCCCAGGGAGGTTCGTTTGCCAGATCTGCAACAAGACCTTCACGAGAAACATCAACCTCAAAAGCCATGAACGGAGTCATTTTGGGGACAGGCCTTTTGCTTGCACGACTTGTGGAAAGGCTTTTGCTAGGGTGAATGACTGCCGAAGGCATGAGAAGATACACGCAAGGAGAGGATATTGACATAGAAGTGGAGGCTAATTGGGCTTGGAAGCACTAGATAGTTAAAAAGTCTTTGAACCGCTGACCTACTTTTCCTTCGGCTCCAGATCAATAATCTGGAACTTGACGCCATTCCAAACTGCCATATCTTCAAACAGCGCTAAACCGACTCTCCTATAACTTCCACCGGGCGTTTTGAGTATGATCAAAGCCAGTCCGCTCTGTTCTTCATGATAGCTGCCGGCTTTACCCAGGAGAAGATACTCGCATTTCCTCCCCGTGAATTCCATATCCGAAGCTGATTCAACAAGATCCAACCTCGTTGACAGCGTGCACCGCTTAGGAAGATCTATATCGCTGAACTGAAGTATCCGGCAGGATAGTCTAACCTTGGCTGCTGTCAGAATCTCGATCTTCGCGTCCTCGATTTCTATCGGGTCTTCGTATCGGATCCCACCATTGACTGAAACCCAGGACCAGCTGGGAGCTCTTTTGAGATGTCTTTTCCCTACTCTATCGTTATCTGGCTTGTACCAAGCCAGAAGTTGAATGAACCATCGCTCCCAGTGACCGTAGATATGCGAGTCCCGCCAAACCTTTTGTAATTCAGCTGTGATACCCGTGACCGCCGGTAGTCTATCTTCGGGATCCTTTAGTTCTCTTCGTGTGTATTGAATGATTATGGTCTTCCACAGATATAGTTTCTCCGAATCATGCGTTCCGTAGGACGGCTCACCCTCGTCGTCGAAAGAAGCCCACGGTAATGACTCAAGATGCTGTTGATATTCTATACCTGCATTATTTCCCGTGACACTCTGCAGTTCGGTCTCCTGGCACTGCCAAAGGAGTTGGTAGTCTGAGAAAATGAGCATCCGGGACGACAGCATATACTCCTGAAGAGTCCAGCCCCTTTTGTCAAGGGGATGATCGAGCTGATACGGGTTTCCTGACAGATAGACAGTTCCAATACGACCGTCCTTCATCGGTATGTCGAACTTATGCTCCGGCAGATACGTAGGACTCTTGTCAGGCAAGCTTCCCAAGAATCCTTCACATGCTCTTGTCGCAGTCCCAGCAGCCAACGTGATCGCTGCGTTCTTGTACGTTGTCGCCATCTTGGAGATTTCTTTTCTCTTGTCTTCGGGACAGTTTTGAACGATGCACAGTCTATCCACCCAGAGATAGACAAACCCCAGTTCTCTGGTTACGCGAATTGCATCTTGGACAGACTGCTCCAACTCTTCAAGTTTGATCTCTTTTAGTAGATCTTGCTCGTTGTTCAGGCGTAGTTCTGATAGCCGACTTTGCTTTTTTGGGTCCGGTTTACCCCAACAGTAGCTCAAGGCAAGATATGACCCCCGAGTCTCTGTCTGGTTTATCTGTAGCTGTGCAGTCTGACTGCTGATTTTTATTACGCGCGTAGGAAGGACGATGTCTCTTGAGTATCGACACTTTTGATGGCCACGGCTTGGTGCATCTGGTCTCATGCAAACCTCTATCACTTTTGTGGCGGATGAAAAGACTTCTGGACTTGCAACATTCCTATGTAATGGTCGTCGGAGTATTAAGCTGTGGAGGGGATCATCTAAGAGAAAGCTTAGAATGCAAACACAATAAGGAAGAAAGCTTCCATACCTTCTTTCACAAATGGATACAGTCTGATACTTCCACTTGAATTGTTAGTAGTGCCCACCAAAATGTTGACGTGGGAGGTTTTGTTCCTTTTGCCAGGCTGCGACGTCCAGAAACGTATACATTCATTTTTCGCCCAAAAAGGCCCAAACTCCTTCAAAACAAGCCCATAAATGAACTCGCACAATCCGCAGCCTACTCTGGCTGAGTCGATAAGCCCGCCACGAGTTTTGTGGGCGAAGCCACCAGAAGAGCTGAGACTGTCGAGCGCGTGTCGAGAGAACAGATGTAAACAAGCATCGCATCGGGATGTGGACTCTTGCACCCGCGCTCTTTTGTCCGAACTCCCCATTTCTAGCTGCAAATTCTCGGTGTCTGGAGGCCGATGTAGAGTTTAAATCCACGTGCAGTTGGCCTCTATAGAACACGCCAGTATGCTGCCTAACGAGGAGGACCCTTAGGCATCATGCCAGGACTGCAGTGGTGTTAATTGATTGCTTCCGTAGGCAAACTCTCGAGATCATCCCGACTGAGCATTGCTTCCTGGATGCCTACGTAGTTGGTTAAAAATGCAGTGAAAGATGAAAGGCCTCAATCTGGGCTGTAGGGGGTGTGGGGGCCAATCTGCAGGGCTGAATAGTGAGAGGAGGTAGATCGCAAGCTGGCACAAGCTGTCCCTGTACCAAATAGTGAATGAAGAAGTACTACGTATAAATATATTACAAGTTGACTCAAGTTGTAATCCAAGGTTAGTTCTAGTTGATCAGTAGAAGGGGAAGGACGAGTACCCCACCATGTCTCCATACTTATTGGCATTACAAAAGCTTGTCTATGCTGAAGTGTCTAATAATAAACATACCTTTAAGCATAGTCCCCGTGTAGGGTAAATTTGCAGTGATTGGTGATGCCAAGAACTCATCAGGCATCATGCGTTGAGCAGGAAGATAAAAATCTGATGTTGGTACATTTGGAAATTCCAGCTGAGATTGCCTTGGTACTTGGTGTGGAACAAATGGGATTTAATGAGTTGCAGCCACATGGCTGCTGACACGGTGCGCGGGATGTCGAGATGTGTTAAAATTGCAGTGAAAGAAGTCGGGTTACTGCAGGGCACCAGCATAAGCCACACGCTGTTGGTTGGGAAAGACGACAAGACGGTCAGGATTAACTAAAATTGCAGTGAAGGCCCGCAGATGCGCAGAAGTTTTGACTTCTGCAGCCAAATGGTGAAATTATCTAAGGTATCTATATGGATGTTATTGCTAAAAAATGCCCACTTCAAGAACTGATACGCCAGCAAATTCCGTCTCTCCGAATTATTTGCCAATCCTCGTTGCTAAGGTTTATTCTTTTAATAAAAAGCAATAGAGTTGAAGCAGTGTTGAGTCAGACTAGACGAGCGAGTTTCAAGGTGCATGATCCATTGGCAAGGGCGCTTTTACAGCAGAGCTTGAGCTGATCCCAACGTGCTTTCTACAACTCAATATTAATAACAAGGAAGGGAATAAAAACTCCAACGACGACACTTGGACATGAGCACATGTCCTCATTTCGCAGAAGAAATACCGCCGATCTATTAATAAAGGCATGGTGACATTTGCAGTAAAGCGCATCCAGTACAAATCGACACATTTCGTGTGATTAGTCACTAACTGGCCCCTGGGAGTATTATAATTGCAGTGAAGGCACTGGTGCCTTGTAAATCTCGAGTGACACCCTGACGAGGCGTACAGTATTCATGTACCTAGTGCGGCCCGCTGAAGGACAATCGGCCTGTTCCCATCAGGCACAAACACCAGCAAAACACTAAAACCTCCAACATTCCAGACAACTCAAATCTCGACACTGCTTTAAGGTCAAGCCATCTCAGGGTCCCAGTATAATCGGATCTGGAAAAGCACCATTCCCCACACGGCGATCAGGAACAAAGCCATTGTCGCCACTACCACCACCGCAAATAGCCTAGAGACACCAGAAATGGCATCACCAACAGCCTCGTTCCCCTGTGGCTTCACCACTAACCCCACATTCGAAAGCCACAGAACATAAATGATAAGAGTTTGCATCATGCCTGGAATGCATTCGACTCGTGGTGCGACGTCCCGACTTTTGTCTGGACGGCTTGCCGAAAGGTTAACGGCGCATCGGCATGTCCAACCGTGAAGTGATCCGAAAAGCCGGAAGATGAATGGGCCAAGACGGTTGAATTGAAGTTTGATTGGGATCTAGACTTCGGGATGTCCTTGGGCTTGAGCCACGAGCGTTGGTGGAGGAGAGGGTATATAGAACGAGCCTCGCCATCGCGCAGCATCCCTAGGGGAGCGATTTTGATCTCGTCATTCATTCATTCACTCATTCATTGCGCTTCACCACTCTTTCAACATGAAGCTGCTACTCACAATCATTCTCTCGGCCCTGGTTGGCCTAGCATATGGTCTCGCATCTACAGATACCATCACCTGGGGAGGCGACAACTCCCGAACAGGCTATCAAACGTGCGCTCCCCATCCCTTACTCTCTCACTGCACTAACTCACATCTTCAGTAACCATAACATGGATCCCGCCATCGTAGGAAGCCCTCAATTCGACATCGTCTTCAAAACAGCTCTCCCCGGAAAATACGTCGGCGCCACAGAACAGATCTTCTCCCAACCTCTCGTCTACACTCCCTCGGGCGGTACAACACAATACGTTTTTCTCGCGACGACTCAGAATAATATTTATAAGCTTGATGCAAAGACTGGTGTTATTCTTGCATCGAGAAATATCGGCATTCCATTCCTTACTGCTGATTTGGACGGTTGTGTCGATGTCAATCCTACCGTGGGAGTCACTGCGACGGGTGTTATTGATCCTGATACGGATACGTGGTATATTACCTCAAAGACTTATGTGAATCAGAATGCTGGTCAGGTCCCGCAGGGAAGACCGGCGGGAAGGTATAAGATACACGCTATCAATGTCAATGATCTTTCGGAGCGACAGAACTTTCCTGTTGATCTGGAGGGAACGATTGCGAGGAATAATCCAGAGAGGATGTTCACGGGCGGTATTCACCATCAACGACCTGGGCTACTTCACACAGGACAATATGTCTACGCTGGCTTCGCATCGCATTGTGTGCAGTATAACTTCACAGGCTGGATCATGGGCTGGGATAAAACCACCGGACAGATCGTTGAGCACTGGGCCTCTGAAGGTCTTGGAGTGAGTAGTAACATCTCCGGTGCTGGAATCTGGCAATCTGGCGGCGGTCTTGCCTCCGACGACGCAGGATCAATGTTCTTCGCTACTGGAAACGGATACGCTTCTCAACTCTCGACTATTCCTGTCAATGGCTTCACGCCCCCGACTGCGATGGAACAAGCGGCCGTTCACATGTCCATCAACGGCGACGGTACTCTTTCGATTGTGGACTTCTTTATGCCGTTTGAGAAGCAGGAGCTCGATGGTGCTGATAAGGATCTGGGAACGAGCCCTCTTGAGATTCTGCCGAGTCAATTCTCGTGCGGCGATGTCAAGAGAATGGGCATTGTTACTGGAAAGTCTGGAAAGACTTATTGGCTTAATATTGATGATCTTGGTGGTTATCGCAATGGTCCCAACTCAAAGGATAGAGTCATCCAGACTTTTCAAAATGAGAATTCTGTGTATGCGGGCGCGGGTGTATATCCTCTTGAAGGAGGCTACATCTACATCAACGGTACGCATGCCACCTCCCACTTCACTATTCGTACTGACAATTCTAGTGATCCAATACCCAACACACGTCTTCAAATTCTCCTGTCTTAACAACACCCCCTACTTCACAAAAGTCGCCGACTCTCCCACCAACAACGCTTACATCCTCGGCGTAAGCCACGGCACAACCACATCCCTAAACAACCAAGAAGGCACAGGTCTTCTCTGGGTATCCGACGTCCAAAACACCAATTTCAAGATCTACGACGCCGTTCCTCAAAACGGCTACCTCAACGTCATTCGAAACTTCACCATTGTGGGTATTACCAAGTTTAGTAGACCTGTGTTCGGTGATGGTATGGCGTATATTGGAACGACGGTGGGATACTTTTATGGTCTTGGGTCGACGAATAAGTTTCCGCTTAATTGTACGAGTTCGATCGATTTTGGGACGGTGGATTATCAGGGGAGTGGTGTGCAGGTTATTAATTGTACGGCAGTTTTTGATCTGAGTGTTACGGGTGTTGCGCTCGCAGATGGCACGAATTATAACATCAGTCAGATGCCGAGTCTGTCGTTGTCTATGTCGGCTGGGGATAAGTTTCAATTCGCTGCGCAGTTCGTCCCCAAGAGCGTTGGACGGCTGGGTACTACCATCAATATTCAGACTTCGGGTGTTTCGGATGCATCGTATAGCAAGTCTGTCAAGGTCAGGCTGACGGGCGTTGGCAAGAGTTCGAATGCTTTGTTGGATATCAGCCCAAAGTCTGTGGTGTTCACTGGCCTCGTCACCGGTACTCAAGCTGAATCGCAGAGCGTCCTCATTGGGAACGATGGGTCCAGCGATCTTCAGGTATCCTCGGTTCTATATTCCAATGCCTCTTCATCTGGTCCCTTTACTACCTGGTCTGGCGCAGGTAGTCTCACCGTCGGCAAGTTCACATTGACTGGTATCCCAAGTACAGTCCCTGGAGGAAACGACACTGCCATCTCTGTCAAGCCTGATACTTCTGTTACTGGTAACTACACGGCTTGGGTCAAGTTCGTCACCACCGGAGGCAACGCGACTGTATCGCTATCCGCAGCAGCAGGTGATCCGCCAACAGCCCTTCTCGAGTTCCAAACACCAGACGGAAGTGGCTGGGTCAAATACGATCCAAATAATCCCTTCACATTCGGAAACGTTACAGAGAATACTTCCCGTTCTTTAAAATTCCGTGTTACAAACACCGCTGCTCCCGGTGGTGTCAAGCTCGGTCTCACAGTCTCAAAACCACCCTTCGGCGTTCCAGGCATCATCAAATCAGCAAACCAGATTGATCTCGCCGAGGGAACATTAATCGCCCCAGGTCAAAGTCAAACCGCGACTCTGACCTGCACCGTCCCCAAAAGTCAATGGAACCTCCCATCATACAACGGCACCGCCCAATGGACTATTAACACCAACGATCCAACATGGTCTTTCGAAAAACGCGCAGTTCAGTTCTTCTGCAACGCCGTCTCTGAACAAGCAGCACCTCTTCTCCCCAACGGTCAAGGACGCTATCAATACGTCGGCTGCTTTAAAGAGAATAACCCCGGTCGTCAACTCTCCAACCAACTGTACGCCAATAGCTCCAACACCAATGAGATGTGCATCAACACCTGTGGTTCAGAAGGTCTAGCATTCTGCGGAACGCAATACCGAAGTGAATGCTGGGCGGGTAACAAGATCCCCACACAGAAAGTCGACGATAAGAACTGCAACTTCGACTGCGCGGGAAGTCTGAACCAGATTTGCGGTGGAAATGGCATTGATGGCAGTGGAGCTTATATCAGTCTTTTCGCTGATACGCTTCAATGGGACGGTTCGTATGCGAGTGTTACTACGAGTAGTAGTGCCAGCGCTGCGACGCCCCAAGGACCGTCTGTGAATCCTGGTGTTGGTGGGTATACGAGTATCGGGTGTTATACTGAGGCTACTAATGGCCGAGCACTTCCTAACGGAAGGAGTAATAATCCTCCTACTGTTGCGAATTGTGTTCAGGCTTGTAGTAATGAGAACTTTGTTTATGCTGGTGTTGAGTATGGTGGAGAGGTGAGTTGCTCAAACTTTGACCCTGATATTTGGAGATTTGCTAACGAGATTAGTGTTACTGTGGTAATGGCTTCACAGATGGATCGGTGTCTGCCCCTATCACTGATTGCGGCATGCTTTGCAACGGTGAGTACTCATACTTGAGTATGTTTGAGGGGATACTGACATGACTAGGCAACTCGAGCGAATACTGTGGTGGTCCAAGTCGTCTTAACGTCTACGAACTCAATGCAGTCTACAGTAGTTCATTGTCAACTTCGATGGCAGCTTTATCGTCGACCAGCAGTGTGGGCTCTTCAGTAGCTACCTCTTCGAGCGCTGCTCTCTCGGTATCTAGCTCTGCCCCAATTGTCTCCATCAGCAGCGTGGGCACATCCAGTTCCTCGAACGCCCAGCTCTCGTCCTCGGCTTCAACCGGCGGAGGCTCTTCTAGTGGCGTATCAACTTCCGGAAGCTCGACTTCAAACGTCGCTTCAACTAGCACAAGTTCAAAAGGCAGTACAACTTCAGCTCCCGCCTCAAGCAGTACATCGGCAAGCTCTTCCACGAGCTCCTTCAGCACTTCACTCAGTGTGTTTCGTAATATCGCTGGTGGCCTCAGCAGCGCCTCGACTTCCACGTCTAGTGCTGCGCAAACGTCCTCTTCTGCAACAAGCAGTGCGACGAGTCTCTCAAGCTCTGGTAGCTCAAGCAGTTCGGCGATCAGCTCTTCCACAAGCAGCGTTAGCTCTGGCTTGCGGTTTACGACCTCGAGTTCAACAACTTCGAGCTTTGTTGGCTCAAGTTCGTCCACGGTATCCTCCAGCACGAGCTCCAGCACCTCAACAACGTGGACAACTTTCTCTACGATCTCTTCCAGTTCACGCGCCTCCACTACGACCACCAGTACAACTTCGTCAATCTCGAGTTCAGTGTCCTCGAGCGTGGTGTCTTCAAGCACGTTGCCTTCAATCGTATCGAGCGCTCCGTCTCTCAATGCGCTATCGTCGGCGACGACGTCTTCTACAGTCAGTCGCCCGTCATCTGCTACGACATCATCGGGTGTCTCGATCGTTTCTTCGTTGAGTTCTCTGGGTGCGGGAGGTCCAGTTGGTCTATCATCCGTATCCAGCGTCACTACTGCTACCACTACATCTCGTTCCACCTCAGTCATATCTTCATATACGACGTCTACAACAAGTTGTTCCTCGATTACAACCTCTCGGTCCACTTCTACAAGCACTACTAGCTCCAGCACTTCAACGATCACCAGCTCTGCAAGCTTAAGGGTCTCCTCTACCACTACCAGCACCACGTCAACGTCCATCAAACCCACCGCCACAGGTCCTTCAATCTCCGACACAGTTGGAACATGGGCCTTCCAAGGTTGTTGGACAGAAGGTTTCCTCATCCGCGCCCTCAACTCCAAGGCCACCGCCAACGATGACATGACACTCGAAAGCTGCGCTAGCTTCTGTAGTGGTTTCACGTATTTCGGTACCGAGAACAGTCGAGAGTGCTACTGTGGCAATCAGCTGAACTTCGGAAGTATCCAAGCCCTCAACCAGAAAGATTGCTCTGCTACCTGTGCGGGAGACAAAACAGATTACTGTGGTGGAACACTTCGCCTACAGCTTTATAAGACTGGTGCCAAGACAACTACTACCCCATCGGTGGACCAAGGCAACAAGAACTTCACAAGCTACTCATGCGTTTCAGAGCCTTTCCTCGGTCGTCTACTTCCACAGCTGGTGATGAACGACGCCAACTCCATGACAATCGATACATGTCTCGAGAAATGCTGGATGTACAAATACGCCGGTGTCGAGAACGGTCGCGAATGTTGGTGCGGCAATACCATCAATTGGCAGGGTCTTCTACCAACTTTTGGTCAGGGTAAGAATGTTTCTATGACGGATTGTAACATCGGCTGTCCTGGAAATAATCTTGCGTATTGTGGCGGTTTGGCGAGGATGAACTTGTATATTAATAAGTCGTCGGCTTTGGCGTTTCTGAAGAAGCATAGGAGACGGCATGCGAAAGGATTTTGAGGTGGATACGGGTGAGTCCTTTGAGTTGGAGTTCAGTTCATATATACAATAGCCTGCATGTATTTACATTCGTTACGAAATTCCTTCCCATCTTGTAGAGGCCATGTGTCTTTTTGAAACCCCATGTGACAAGACTCAATTGCAGGCTCGCCTCATTGCCGATGTCGTATTTGAGCCGTACTCTATGGAAAGAGAAACTCGAGTCCCTCGGCTTCAACAGCTTCCATAACACCCTCCATGTTCTCAGTCTTCCTAACATGCTCATAGTAATGCCCATATTCCGTCTTAAGATCAATCTCTACCTCATGTGCCCAACGAGCAAAAACATAGACATTGAAGTCCACAACAGTTAACGCATTTCCGACAATAAACTTCCTTTCTTTCAACCCATCATCTATCCTCTTGAAAGACTCATGGATAACTTCCCTTCCCTTGGCACGAATCTTATCATGGGCAGTAACATCATCACTGAACCTCCCAGGACGCAACCAAGCTCCATATCCAAGACCGTGCAGTGTGCCAGACAGAAAGACAAGCCATTCCAGGACCTTAGCTTGCTCAACTGGGTCAATGCCTAAAAGGTTCTCTTTGGGGAGAAGTGAGGATATGTAGCTCAGAATAGCTGGCATCTCGGTGATGACTTTGTTGTCTACAGCCAGGGCGGGTACATATCCTCTTGGGTGAATAGACCGATATTGAGCGTTGGTGAAGCTTCCATCAGCTGCTTCGGCTCCATTGGGTCCGAACTTGAGTCGAACTGCGGTAAAGGGGATCTGGTAGTGACGAAGGATCGCATGAGGAATAAGGGAGCAGGATCCATTTGCTCGATAAAGTGTCAGTTTGGGCATGTTGATAGATTCTGTGGTAGAGCCCATATTCATTTTCCTGAGTAGATAGACTATGCTTCGGGGATGATGCGTATCGTGTCGCTTTGTAGGGTTTAATATATCATCGCGGCCCACGTTGCGCTACTTGGCAGTCTTTTTCTCAACGTCATAACAACGTCCTTCGGGTCAATAACAAGACGAGCTGACAAATGCCAATATCTGTAGGATCATTTCCCATGTCAATTTACCTTCCTATTTAAGTGGCGCCTTTTCTTTCTTTCACCGATTCCAAAATCTGGTGCATTACATATCTCACCTCTCTGTATCAAGTAAAAGGCATTGCGCACTCTACGTTTCACAAGTACCATAGACTAGAGTAAGTTCCAAAATCAAGACATCTATTCAATGCGATTTCCAAAATGCAAGGGTATCAATAATCTCTAGCGACCAGCGCTCAGAGAATTCAAAATTGGCGCAACCTCGTCACTCATCTCCCATCTCCGTCTCCCCAACGGCAAAAGCGCATCAAACCTCGCCATCCACCCCTCCGAAACACATCTACATAGCGGAATGTTATTCATTCCCGCAGTACCCTCCGCCTGAATCCAAGTCTCCAGTCTTGCTGTATTTTGTAAATCCAACGGATCATCACCAATGTTTATATGATTTATCGTCGGAACGCATGAACATGCTGCTTCGGAGAACATGAGCCATGCCCATACTACCAATGCGCTCATTGAGATTGCGAGATAGGATGTTGGATCGATGGTTTGGGTTTGGGGCTCGTTTGCTTGGAGATCTGTTTCGCATTGGCGAAGAACTGCCAAAGCGTGGAGTAAAGCTCTTCGACTCTCGGGTGTTTTGGCCCAGATGTTTAACTGGGTGTGAAGTTTTTGCAATCTCGGACGAACACCAGCTTCATGGTCCGGAGACACAGTGGAGGCCATGGCTACTGAGTTAATCATCCGAGGATCAGCATAAAGCTGAAGACCTTGAAGATGATACGTCATCAAACACTCCGAAATCAAGCACTTGATATTCGAAATCGCCAAAGCTTTACCCCTCACCGGATCTTCATCAAAGTCTCCAATGTAAGCAGTAAAAGGAAACTCTCCAACTTCAGCGGTGTGAAAACATTGATGTTTCAATCTTTCAATATCAGCTTTCCACGCCTCAAGTTGCCAAGCAAGAGACGAAGTACAGTTTTGTGTGGATCGACCCGCTTCAGTACTTCGACGAACAATTTGAGTTTGGTTCCAAATTGCAGGCAACAACCCGCAGAGGGCAAGATGAATATCTTCAAAGAGGAGAAGAGGTTTTGCTGGGGTGTTGGGGTTGGCGATGACTTCTGAGAGTTTGAAATTTGAGCGGTCTGTTGGTTCGAGGGTGATGCGTTTGAAAAAGATGTTTAGGCCGTAGGCGTTCCAGAGGGAGTAAGTTGCTGGCATTGTGAGGTCGATTTCTTCTCGGAATAATGTTGGGGCTTGAAATCGGGCTATTGAGATATAGACGTCGATTTTGAAGAGAGAAACGATGAGTCTTGATAAGTCAGTATCGCATCCAGAGAGGAGGGGAAACAAAACTTACCGCTTCCATCTATCTCGAATAGTCATGAGCCAAGGAACAAATGTTCCGGGATAGTGAACTCGTTGTTGTTCCGCTGCGTTGTCACTATTGAAGAATTCTGCTTCTCTCAATGCAACGACGAATGTGCCTCGTAATAATGATGCTTTGGACACCAATTTCTCGTTCTGTCATTGGGGTCAGCGGATGTGCGTAATGGTAGCGAAATTACTTACGCCGTGATAAAAAGCAAAGATGATATTCATAAGAATGGCTTGATATGTTTCAAAAGGCCAGGGCTCATCATATTCATGCCGAGATCTTGGATTTGCCTGCAATCTTCGTTAGTCTGGGGACAGTTGGCAGTAGAGGCTAGGGTGACTTACGATCCAATCAGAGAATGCGCTCATCAACGACTCATGAAGTTGTAAAACTACATCCTCAAACTCATCTGGATTTCTGAGCCAGCAGCTTATCATGGCTATTGAAACAGATACTAGTAGAGATGTATCCATAGTGACATAAGAAGGCCCATGAAGAATAGGCCATGTATCATGGAACCTCCCAAAGTACTCTTTTGAATTTCCTTCGATCCAATTCTTATCGAGTGCTGGGACTGGTGTATCCTCACCAATCGGGAGCTCTCCAGTTCGAACATGATTAGCGATTCGTTTGAAACCCGCTTTGATTTCGTCATTTGGTGAGATTTGCGGTGTTCCTGGTGTGAGACTCTGTATGAGCGACGGTGAAGTAAAACCATTGGCTACCGGCCTAGGATCTGCAGTATCCTCGCTCGGACTCTTACTCTCACTGCTACTCTTTGATGCATGTTTATAAGTGCAGTTAATTCCCCTCTTGACACAGAGAGTACATTTTGTACCACCGTCACACTTTGTCTTATTCGCATGACACGCATCGCAAGCTCTTCCTCTTCTTGGATCAGGAGCTGTAGGCATATCATGCCGTGTCAGGTGACGCCGTAACAAATCACTATAGACAAATTAACACTGTAACTGAGAGAATACGGGGGAAGAATACGAGACATGTACTAACTTGCGTGTGAAAGATCGTTGACAAATCGGGCAAACGAAATTGCGCTCTCCATGGGTCGCTTGATGGCGTCTCAGGTGTTCCTTTCTGATAAAGCTCTTCCCACAATGGCATGTATGTCGACTCGGCGTTGGTTCAGCACTATCAGCGGAGGATCTGATACATCATTTCACGTTGTTAGTCACGTACAACACAAATCCACTCGGTGATCCCACCCGTGGCTGGCTGTTACTCACCTTCTATCACGATCACTGTGGGATATCTCCATGGTGGGTTTTGATTGCTTTGATTTGAGTATCGAAATCAGCGAACCGAGTGGGATTGCAAAACTCGGTGTATTATTTATCGAATAGTTTGACTGGAAAAAAACTGAAGTCGATGCACTGTTACGTATGCCTTGCATTGGGGGCCATCCCTTGAGGTCTGACTTGGTAATCGTGAGTGGGATTGCCGATGGTGAAGTGGGATATCTCAGCTCGGCCTCCGCGGTTGGGATAAAAATTGGGGTAGCGAGACTAGATTTGGCCAGTCAGACTCTCATATGCACAATTAAGGTTTTAATGGGACCCGCGGATAGATCCATTATCCCACTCGGTTCATCTCATCCCACTTCGGTATATCCCACCTCCAATTATCCCATCCAGCTGAAAGCCACAAGCACAGCCATCTGTGGCGGCTGAAATCAAGCCGAAGAGCACTGTAAGTTGGGGGCCAAGATTAAAGTGCCCGAAACAAATTCCCGGGGGAATGTGTTGCTCATGTAATGAAGTGGGATGCAACCTTTTTGTTAGTGTGACAGCCTTATGATCGCCAACCTTTCGACTAAGCGGAGGTTCGATGGCGTCTATAGTACGACTAATGGTATGATTAAGCATTGCAACTGTGTAAATCACGTCAAATATGTCGACAATTGTTGGTGTTTCTGAACATATATAGATAGATCCATCTCTCTTCAATTCATCCTCATCCATCAATCCATCATCCACTCAAACAATAACCACATTGACTACTTTAACAACTTCAATCAACCAATCACATATTACACTCACATACAATGTCTGCCTACACAAACATCGCTGTCGCTGGTGCCGCTGGCGATCTCGGCTCCGCAGTCTTCAAGGCCCTCATCGACTCCAACAAATTCAACCTCACAGTCCTAACCCGCGCCGGCTCAGCCTCAAAATTCCCCTCCGGCATCAAAGTCATCCAAGTCGACTACGAATCCCTCGACTCTCTCACCTCCGCCCTCCAAGGCCAAGATGCCGTTGTCTCAACCCTCGGCAGTCTCGCCATCCCCAGCCAATCACTCCTCATCGACGCCGCAGTAGCCGCTGGCGTAAAGCGCTTCCTCCCTTCTGAGTTCGGCTCAAACCTTGTCATCCCCAGCGTTCGAAAGCTTCCTGTCTTCAAAACAAAGGTTGATATCGAGGATAAGCTTACTGCTCTTGCGAATGAGGGCAAGATTAGCTATACTTTTGTTTATAACTCTGCTTTCCTCGATTGGGGCTTGAGCCATGGCTTGTTCCTTGATTTCAAGAAGGCTGAGGCTACGCTCTGGGATGGAGGCAACACTGAGTTCAGCACAACTACTCTTGCTAGTGTTGGTCAAGCTGTTGTTGGTGTTCTAACACATCCTGCTGAGACAAAAGATCGCGTTGTTTATATTCAGGATACCGTCCTCACTCAGAAGAAGCTCCTTGAGATTGCCAAGGAGCTCAACCCCAACAAGCAGTGGACGGTCAAGGAAGCAAAGATTGACGATGCTACTGCTGCTTCTGATGCCAATATCGCAAAGGGTATCTTTGACTGGCCTACTCTTGCTGCCTATCTGTACAGGGCTATCTTTGACTCCTCTAGTGTTCCCAAGTTCCCCAAGCTTGATAATGAGCTGCTTGGTGTCAAGGGTGTTACCGATGAGCAGATCAAGGAACTTGTCAAGCCTTTTGTTCAGTAGAGTTATATAAAACATTGCTAGATAGTTACAATACCAATCAGTTAACATTCATTATTCTATCCGACCTTCATGGACATCTCTTACAATGTGACCTATTCCTTCCAGATAAGGCTCTCTATAGCATCTTACTGGCACTTATTAGTTTGACATTAAAACAAATTGCATCTACTTCATAAATTACAATTCTAAATTATTATATCCTCAATTGCATCCACTAATGAATGTACTTTGAACCTCCAAGGTCTCTTTAATAGTCCGGACATAAGCTTCAGCAGTATAGAGTAAGATGAATATATAAGAGGTTATACCCGTCCTCGCTTAGTGGATGAAAACAGTATGACTATATAAGTACGGAGGGCGTTCTAGCAGGTGACCCTCTCAAGATATTAAAGACTCACATTGTTTGATAAATATTGAATCTTCTAGTGAGTAAAGGCCCTTATATAATACTTTACATGCATATAACTCAGTCCTCTTGTATCGTGACAGTACCTTCAAATAAGTAGAAGTTGAGGCGTGAGTGTAATTGTCATGTGAGGTTATGTAGATAGATGTACATAGAATCAATAGATATGATAATAAACCTTGGTACTCTTGAAATCTAGCTTTATTCGCTCAAAGTAGTATCATATCATCATGCTTTGTCCTCTAGCCTTATATCTGTTTGGTCATATGAATTTCATATCAACAGCTCTCGTCAACCTCCCTGGCTAGGGTTCCTGTAGTATAGGTAGATTGGGCAATATCTATATGCCCTCCTCTAAATTTGTAACTTGGTATAGTACCTGTATATACTGCCGGTCATTTCTCTCTGTACTCAACTCATCGTATGTGTCTTCATGATGTCTTTGTCGCGATAGTGACGTATCCTGACGAGTTCTTTAACCTCCTCAAAAGTCAGCATCCAAACTTTACGGACCATATAGACAAAGAATAAGTTAAACTTCAATTCGATTTGTATTGGCATTTTGATATTCATTCCTGTTATCTACTGCCATCGCGGGGTACTCAAAATCAGAAGTTGCGAGATAGGCGTATTTTGGATTGCGTGATTCTGATAGGGGTTGCACCATCGACAAGCCGGTTACCAGGAACCTTTTTATAACCGAGCGTAACCCACGAGGCGATCTGTATGGTTATTCCCCGCAGATTCTGACTATCAAACACGGATTCTTGCCGGTATCTCGGCAATGTTGAGTTTCGACCGTGAAACCTGTGATTTGGTGATGGCTAGAAGACAGTTGTCTATACCACGGAGAAAGGGAACGAAAGACTACAACTTCTAGAACTCAGACCTATGTGAGCTAACTATTCGATCAATAGAATAATTATTATCTGCCTCTTATTACTAATGAATGTGTCTGGGCTTGTGCTTGGCCATCTTGTATCGTCTCCCATCTATCAAACACGGAACCGGGATATGCCCGATCAAGCCAAGAATTTAGAACAGTAATCCAATCAATAATCCTTCAAAACCTCCAATCATCATCTCCAATCCCCTTTAATCATCAAATCTCTCATACCATTCACTGTTTGTGCTAATTCCGCACGTAACATCCCTGGAGTTGAGTGATTGACAGTCCAAATAACACCATCGCCCCGTGTGGGGATCTCACCCCGACACCGGTCTCTACCACGATGTTTCTTTGAGAAAAAGCTCGTCACGTCATTGGAAGAATTGCGGGCATGGGATAACAGATCAAAGTGTGATTCGACAAGACGTACATGACGCCATGCACTATGCTCTTCGGGAGTCTGTTAGGTTACTTGCATCCGTTGAAAAGGATCGGATTGCCTGTTTTGTCGAATGGATGGTAGATTATTGAAAAGGACGTTACCCCTCGTAAAGTTTGATTTATAATTTTCTTCGTGAAGAGAAGTGCTGTTGTTTTAATAAAGGCGTGTTGGTTTAGTTGACTTGGGCCGCCTAATCAGTCTGATATCGTATTCAGATATAGATATCAGCATAATGAGCGCATATCTCTCCCTCTCGGCCGAACCGGCTTTCGGAGCGCGGATACCACTCTCATTCGTAACGGATTCATCGCAAGAACATCCCGTGTCTCAGACAGCATCAGACTCTCAGCCTCGATATACACCACCTACCGATATAGCATCACAAGACCGAGCAAGCGACTCTGAGGCTCAACTTCCTATACCATCTTCTCAAACAGTCTTGTTATTACATGGCTTGCGACAACCATACCAAATCACCGACGGTCACCCTGTCCCCAGCACAAAGCACGGCCATGAGCTACTAGTTCGCACTGATACTATTGGATTGAATCCCATCGATTGGAAGTCACCGTAAGGTCAAACATGTTTCTATCGTTGAACCAAATACTCACATATCGAACAGTGATTACGGCTTTGCCATCCCAGAGTTACCATACATCTCCGGCCGCGAAGCATCAGGCACCGTCGTCCTCGCCCCCCAAACCCCCTCAAGAATCAAATCCGGCGACAAAGTAATCGTCATATCCACAGACTACCGCGATCTCCGCAAAGCAACATACCAACAATACGTAGTCGCCTCAGACTTCAACGTCGTGAGAATTCCAAAGGAAATCAGCATCAAGCAAGGCGCTACACTCGGAGTCGCATACGTAGCTGCAGCTCTATCACTAGGAATCTGTCTCGGCGTTGATTTCACGTCTGTTCAGGATGGTCCTAATATTCTCAACCTTGTGAGAGAAGTGCCAGAGGAAACACTTCCGGAGGATATTAGGGGAGAGTGTTTGAATAGCATCTTACCTAATGAGGGTGCTAAGGCTGGGGACTGGATTGCTATCTGGGGTGGGTCTTCGACTTCGGCTGTTCTTGCTGTTCAACTTGCTCGTCTCGTTGGTCTGAAAGTTGCTTTGGTTGTTGATAACGCAAAGCATGGAGTTCGAATTTCCGAAAATCCCGTTCTTCGACCGGATTTGCTAGTTGACAGTCATGATCCTGAGCGAGCTGTTGCTGTTCTTCGCGCCAACACGAAAGGCAAACTTCGCTTCGGTATCGACACGAGAGGCAAAGATACAGCTGAAGTTCTTCTCCGGGCTCTCGGTCCCGAAGAACTTCATCGAAGTGCGGCGAATGTTACTTCACCGCCTAGCACTCCGCCCGCTGAGCCTATAGTGCCTGCTCATCTGGTTGGCATGAGTGGTCTTCCCAAAACGGGCCAGTCAGCAGGCGTCATCTTCCATACTATTCCTTTCAAGCTGTACCATGAGGTACCAGAGGTTGGCGAAGTGTTATCGAGATGGCTGGAGAGATTATTGTCCAGCCGCTCTCTCGTGCCACCCAGAATTATTGATGTTGAGGATGGTCTGCATAACGTGAACAGGGGTTTAGACAGGATGAGGAAAGGGGAGATTAGTGGAGGAAAGCTGGTGGTTGATTTGAAGACGAACCCATAGAAATATTCCACTGGTAGACCAAAATTCAAGAAGAGAAGAGTTATCATTATTTACAGCCAAGACCGTCGTTGCATGCCTGAAACTGGGCGTAATGCTGACTCTGCTATTGGCTGCGTATTCCGTACAAGTCTCTGGACTACTCCACGGCAGTACATGGATCTGGCTCCCAAGCATTAAAGGGTGCAGCTAGACATCCTTGTACTGGGTCTATTTGATTAATTCATAATATTCTCTTCGACACCCTCTAAGACTTCTTTACTCCTTCTGCTTTTCACCTTTACAGCTCTTTATCCAGCGCCAAGCTGAATCTTTATCCTGTTTCAGAACGCCTCATCTCAGTTTCACGATGTCTTCAAACAAATCATCACAAGCCCTTCGAACAGAAGTTTCCAAACTCGCCAGACTATCCAATATCCAAGGCGGTCTTCCACCACTAATGAGAGGTCTACCGGTTCTGGCGATCATGGCCGGAGAGGCTATAGCAAAGACAACCAACACCACGAACATGATTGAAGAGCGAATGCTTGGAGCGGACGAAGTATTCGTACTTCAAAGTCCGCAAGAAACAGTGAGAAATACAACCATGAATGGTATTGGTCGGCCAGGCGTAAGCTTGATGTGCCAAACTTGCCGTCAGAAGGTCAAAATTCACCAGGAAGCAACTTCTGACATTCCACGGATGCATAATTCCTTGAAAGGGGCCCATTCAATATTTAGAGTGGAAAATGAAATTAATGGAGTTGTGAACGGGGTATGAAGGCCATACGGTATTATGTTGTACAAAATCTACGTATTCCACTCTATCACCATAGTCCCAACTCAATCTTCCCTCTTTCTCAGCTAAAACCTTGGAATCCTAAGCTGTTCCATCTTCAACCAGTTTCCGTAACGCTGGCTCAAAGTGCTTATACATAGTATAATGAGTCTCATCCTCAAACTCATGCAGATCACCTCCTCGTATCCGCTCTGCCATATACCGAATCATCTGAATAGGTGCATTCGCATCTTTCTTCCCATGCCATATTTGAATTTTGTCGTACTGAACCTTCTCCAGCTCGAAACCCCAGTTTTTGGACGTAAGAAGATTCATCTCGTGCACAACTGCACCAGCTCCTTGGCGGAATGGCTCGTCGAGAATCATCTCTACCAACTCTTCCAAGCTCATTGACTTTGGTTTTGAGGGACCACTGTCAGCTTCTTCTTTTTTGTGTTGGGCTTCGAGCCATTTGTTGAGTCTTCTGGAAACAGGGCCGGATAGGACAACCCATCTAAGGGATAGGTACAGCATATTTAACGCTGCCCGGAGAGTCGATGGAGAATGATCTGCCCATACCCCGAACACTCTACGGTAATATTCAACATGCTTCGTGCCAGCCGCCCAATGTGGTGCTGTTGCAAAAAGCCCAACACTTGTAATCGCCCGCTTTGGCAGGGCATAAGCACAAGCAAGAGCAAAAGGACCACCACCCGATAGTCCCAAAACAGAGAACTTGGGAATTCCATGTGCTTGAGCAAACTCCATCACATCAGTTGGCCAATCCAAGATCTGATAGCCAGGTTTAAACGTTGATAGTCCAAAACCGGGTCTGTCGATAGCTATGAGACGGACACCACAGCGTTGAGCAATATCATGAATTGGCTGAGCTTCAAGTCTCGAAGAAGGATATCCATGGAAGTAAAATACAGGCTTTCCTTCTTGTTTTCCGAATTCTGCGAAGCCTAGTGTTCGGCCATCTGAAAGGTGAAAGGTTTGGTGGGTTTGGGAGGATGCACTGAGCAAGCGCCGGGTTGAGGATGTTGAACGGTTTCGAACCGCTTGAATTGGCATTTTGAGCATTTCATCAATGAAATAATGAGGGCATGTGTCAGGGAGTTTCATGATAACGAGGCATGAGGTTCATCTTTATATAGCGGGTCAAGGGCTTACATGCGGGATACGCGATACGGGAATACGGAATACGAGGCCAATCAGATGTCACAACCATTCAGCTGGGGCAGACAAATAACCATCAAATTTCAAGGCTCAAGTCGAGTTATGCCAATTAAACGGGCTTAATGTAAGGCGACCAAAATACCCCATCAGCATCCCAAGTCTTCTTAACACCCCTCAAAGCGTCCAACCTCTCCGTATCATACATGTCACTCAAATCCTTCCCAGGCCTCAAATTATTCGGAAAACTCCTCGGCGCCATTCCCTCATCACTTTTTCTAAAACCTGCAACAACATCATCCAGGATTGGCTCAAAGGCATCCCTCGTCTTGTCCTCCTTGGCCACCATCACCATAAACGCATTGATGTTTCTGTCCCTGCCCTCCACGAACTTCTCACTCTTGATCGCTGAAGTCTTGTCAATGTTGTAAGCTGAGATTATAAGACCTGATTGTTGAGCATCAGGATAGGCCTCCGTTGCGGTGCGCCATTTGTCGAAGCCGGCTTTTATGGCTTCGGCGGTGGTTTTGTGAAGACGGCAGGATGCTATAGTTTTATGTCCGCCGTGAGAGTTGTATATGTTCATCTTGGAATTGACGTTCTCGAAAGGCAGTAATTCCGTGTTTGTCATGACGGTCTTGCTGACAATATCTTCCTGGAAGAGCAACGCCGTTGCTTTCTCGGCCTGCTCAGCAGGACCAAAGAATTGGTATCCTAGAATGACAATTGGAGATCCAGCTGCCGGAGTACCGGGAGGACTTCGTGCAAACGCCAAGCTCATGTATCCCTCTGCTGGAGGGTGGCTCAAATCTAGAAAGGTCTTGATAGCGACGTTTAGTGCTGGAGCAGGAAAGATGAGCGACCGTGTCCAGATCTTGTTGTCCTCCATGTTGAGACTTGACAGAGGGAAGGCGGAAACTGTCAGCTCTGTGATGACACCGAGTCCATGACCCGCGCCGCAGAGAACATTGAAGAGAGCTTGCTCCTTGTCCTTTGACAAAGAATTGACTTCGACAATGTCGCCTGAAGCAGTTAGAAGGCGGAAGGAAACCATGGTGTCGACCATCCATCCATGAAGGCCAATCTGAGCGCTGTTTCCACCTCCAAGCATACTTCCCACAAAGCCAACAGCATCAGAGTTGGGAATGGGAGTGTAGTAGCCCTCATCTGCCAAGGCCTTCAATACCTCTCCGACGAGAACTCCGCCGCCAACTTTCACAGTTCCTTGGTCCTTGTTCAGTTCAATCTTCTTGAAGAGCTTCATGTCGAGGTATAAAGCTGCTAAGTCCACGCTCACAAACGTGCCATGGCCTCCGCCAGCAGCAACGATCGTAAGCTCATTCTCTTTCGCAAGATTTATAGCAGCCTGAACGTCTTTCTCAGTCTTTGGAATGACTATAAGAGCTGGGCGGCCGATATGGGTGTCTGACCAGCGAGTGAGTTGTGGTGTGTCATTGTCTGGGACGACATATTCACATTGAAGTGATTCGAGTCCTTTGAGTTGAGCAGACATATCCACAAAGACAATTAGAGACAATAATATTGAGTTATTAGGTATATATTGGGCGGAATACCGTTCTTATAGTCTGTCAAGCAAGTTGACGAGATCTAGTGCTTACCTTTCCATAGTTATCTGACGTGGGTCATTTCCGAGATACCCGACTTCTAAGCCTTAGCTATATCACGATATCACATCAGCAGTGTCATCCCAAGCGCTGAGTCACTCTTAACTCCTAACTCCAAAGATGAATGGCCATGCCAGCACGACTAAATATCCATCCTAATCCACGACTCCGCCACACCCCTACACTCAACACACCACAAATTCCTCACCTTGAGCATATCCACAACTCCCCCCTGATCATCCCTAACGGCAATCGGCACATCCATCATAATCGTACACTCCTCACAAAACAGTGGATAAACACTCTCTGAGACTGCATAGCAGGTAACACACCACCCGGGACCGAGGTGAAGAGTAGTTCGCTTACAGGTTTCGCAATCAGAGAGAAAAGTATCAGTTTCTCGGTCGCGTTTGTCGGTAGCTTGTTCGAAATATATGTCTTTGAGACAGCGGAGACACATTGATTTGGAGCCGGTGAAGGAGGCGTGGCAGCGGGGACAGGTGCGTGAGGGGGGGTTGAAGGCTGGTGCGAGATGGCCCCGGAGGAAGGATTGGCGGATGAACGATTTGTTCTCGTCAGTCATTGCCATGGCGGTGGGTGATTGAGGAGTACTACCTTGTTGACACATTTTGGCTTTGTAAGTGTTGAAATCTTGAAACTGTTGTTAATGTTGAAGCGATGATGTTGGAAAGTAGTTCGAACTGTTGTTATTGCCGTGACTTTCTGGCATTAGAAACGAGTCGGTTTATATAAAATGATGGTATCGAGTGTCGACTTGGTGTTCATCAGTGTGGAAGTGAACAAGACCTTGTTCAGTTGAGACGCAGCATCCTTTGTCAGAACAAAGCACCTGTGTTCCAATACCAGCGAACAAGTTGTCAAGGACAGACCATAGAAACCACACGTTCACCACTGGAGCAAATTTTCACAGACATCAGTCATACCCATCGTGCTCAATTCCCAAAGGCATCTCATGTATTCGTCGTAGTACACAATATCTCCGTCGTGAAATCGTCTCTCGTATTCTCATCACCACATTGCCACCCCCTTCTCAATCACCGCATCCATATGTTCAAAGCGCCGGTCCTTCCCACTGCTCACGACGCAATCTCACAAGCCAAGATTGTTTATGCGGGAACGAAATCTGCTTCTCACGCGAAAACCCAGTAAACTCAAGCCCCTGCAAAAACCTACTCATTGTCAGCGCCGAACAACCATATTCGGAGGAACAAACTCACCTCGCATTGTCCACTCTCGGCTCAAGGCATATACTCATTGTTCGGTACTCCGATGTCAAGCACCAATGTACCAATCCCGTCAACCAGATTGGAACTCGTCCTCTTGCCCACTCTTCTCCGATGAACACGTGAAGACCTCTATCCCAATCTGCCGCATCGTTGCCGAGATGCTGACCTAGAATATCTTCTTTGACCCAGTAAATCTCAAAGTATCCAAACGGTACGCCGTCCCATTGTCCAATAACGGGGAAGGAGTTGGCTTGGTTCAATGATTTGGTGAGGAATTGTTCATCATACTCGCCCCAGAAGGCGCTCACTCGAGGCTTCTTCATCCACATCTCCAACAAAGCCGCATCATTCATAGTCGAAAGATGGGACTGTTCAGGTGGTTTTGGTCCAACGGGTCCAAGATAGGGTACAGGATTAGGTGAAATCGAAGCAACTCGGAATGAAAGATACTGATTGACACTCGGGACAAATCTCGTGTAGAAAACCTCGCCCATCCTTGGTGGCTTTGGCCTCATCGGATGACGGATATTATTCGTAAAAATGTACTGAAGAGGAGGAGGCGGGTAGTAAGTCGGAAGATGAGAGCTCGAAAAGAAAGGTCCAATGGGGAAGCTTGGCGGGTTTGCCATCGATGTTGGAGTTGGCCCACCAGGAAGATCATGATCTAGTCGATTCAGAGATGAATGCGGCGAATGTCTCTGGAAAGTCTTATGGAACGGCGATGGTGGTTCCATCGGTAAAGGCGAATTCGGTCGACTGCCAATAGGTGATCCAGGAACCGAATCGTAATTCGCACCAACTTTGTTGGGCTGTAAAGAAAAGAGGAAAAGCCGTCCAGGGAGTTGCCAAAACATACGTCTCGACACAAACATATTAGACCAATCCTCCCCATTATCATCTAAACTCGTTCCAACCGCACTACTCCCCGACGTTATAAGTCCCATGCGCTCAAGCTTGGGGATCAGATTCCGACCTCGGAGCACTCCATCACGCTTGATGTTAATCCTCCATTCACCACGAGGTTTAGCAGCTTCGGGCGTCTTCTCAGCTGCCTGAGCAGGGACTTGCGGGGCAGGTTCAGGTTGGTGAAAGTACCAATATAGTGTAATCCAAAGCATCATGGCAATCTGTCGTGTAGGGCTCGCAGCGGGTTTGAACTCGGAGCTCGAGGGGTTCGCGATGGACGAGATGAAGAGGTTATCGCCCTGCAGCGTCGGTTTAGCGAAAGAGTGAACATGACGCTTCGCTTTCCCATCCAGCGCAACACCATTCTCCCTATTCTCAACATCTTGCTTCTCGTCATCATCATCAGATCCAGAATCGCTCTCCGTGTTCAACACAACAGTCCACCCCACAGGAAACGCATTATGATGCGTATTTAACTCATGGCTCTTGAAGCCGAGACCTGCAAAGACCGGTGTGACAGTAAAGGTCTGTCCATCTGGCAAGCGAATGACTTGGGGAGCCATAATCGCGCTCGTTTTTGGGGCTTATCCGTAATCGGGGGCTGTGAGTTGCGCTTGCGGGGGATCGGCTGGACTGGGTATGTTCGGGTCGGAGAGGGGGAAGTCGAACTTATTATTAGGTCGGTGCTAAGCTCCTGGAGAAGAGTTCCAGAAGACTGCCGCTTTCGGACCACATGCTGACCTTTGAAGAGGCGATCGTGACAAACGCCGAGGCGATGGTTGGATGCTTTGATGGAGGTGGTGGAGAGATGTTTTATATGCGTGGTTGGAGGTGAGGGACAGTAAAAATGGGCACTGTACCTTGCCTAAAAATAAGGTCAAACACAGTATTAATATGGAAATGTACTATTTGTTGTACGTCATGATAAGTCCATCTATCATATCATACCCCGCCATGAACTGGAATGCTTGACTCCATCTCGGCGGCTTTAATCCTAATACGAAATTGTTACCTCAGGGTTTTCGTTTAAAGATTCCGTCATAATTCCCAAAATACAGATCATTTATGCAAGTCATAAATCTAACATTAAATCAATCGTTGGTTGCTTATCGCTATGCGTGCTCCATAATCCATCCGAAATCGCAGTCAGTTCAATTTATAGCAAAGTCTCCCTCGAAGGTGTCACCACACCATCAACAGTCGCGTGTCCTAAGCCCCCAATGCTAAGCCCATTCGCCATGATCTGATGTTTAGTGTACAAACTTTCCATCTACTCACTTCTAGATCCCGTCGTTTACTGCTTCTTCTTGTTGACCTCCTCGGCAGATCCGGGACCCTCCTCGTCGTCTTTGCCTTCAGTCATCTTGGTACCATCTCGGCCCTTCCTCTCCTCTTCGAGAACCTTTTGCACTTGCTCACCTCCCAAGTCCTTCTTCTCATCCCATTCAACATCGTACTCACTAGCCACGATCTTGATCTCCTTTCGAAGCTCATTGGCCTCGTGAACCAATTGCTCCCATCTGTTCTGATCAAATCCTCGTTCTTGGTAAAGTGCAGCTTGTCGCTTTGACACTGTTACCTTCATGGCAGCCTTGTAGCTTAGATCGCGGCTGATGTAGAGGAACCAGAGGTAAGCGCCCATGACAGTTGTCAGACCAGCGAGATACGTAACGGGCTCGACCAGATCCCAACCCCATTGTGTGTGGAAAGTGACATAGTAAACAACACCCCACCATCCAGCCAAAGCTGCAAAGCCACCTTGTGCCAGTCGATGCGCTCCCTTGTGCGCGAGTGCATCACATTCGTTCTTGACCTTTGACATGGAATCAATGTCGCGTGACATGCGTCTTAAGTTCATACGCATGTAGTAAGTTCGGTCTCTGAAGCTGGGCACTGCAACCCGAAGTTCTTTATCGAATCCCTCAACATCAATCGCAAACTCTCGACCGCGAGCAGCATCTCGAATAAAGTCTCCGATCTCGGTGCTGCCACTCCAGCGCACCCAGTTCGCCTCTTTGCGGGAAGGACCTTCGTGGCCAAGACCAGAGTATGATGCAACATTACTGTTTCCATTCTTCTTATCATCCTTCTTTCCATGATGTTCTTCTTGGTCTGCTTCGGCTCGGAAGACGATGTCGGGTAGCTTCTCGCGGCCTTTATATTGGACTGGTGGAATTTCGGCTTGGATCAATCGCTCGAGGTAAGAAAGAGGTTGATGCGGGTGCACGAGAAGAGCTAACGGCTCAACTGTTTCGCCCTCGTCTTCGACGTCTTGGTGCACTGGTCTGTTGACGTGTTCTTGTTCGGGATGAAAGGGCATTGGGAGAATGAGCTTCAATAGGCGTGTTGGGGTAGTCAATAGACGCCCTGCGCGTGTCAGTAGAGATCTTCTACAGTGATTGCATGCGCGCTTACCCTTCTTCATTTCAGTCTTGTCAGGTATATCAGAATCTTTCTCAGCCTCCGAGTCCACTCTATGCCATGGCCGATCATTCTCCAACGTTTGAGCGCTGGCACCAGATGTGACCTTCTTCATATCCCTCTTGCGCGCCTTTTCACTCAACTGATCCCTGCGAGTGATTTCCTCTTGCGGCTCAGCAGCAGCAGCTTCTTGGTTGAAACATCTTGTCGTTGTGAAAGCGCGTCGAAAAGGCGTTTGTGTCGTTTCGCATCTGTACAATGCTGGTAATTGATGAGAAGCAAATTGGGTATGTGATCGTGATGCTCGTAAAGCAGGAGACACTCCAAGCGCAGCGCGCCTCAAAGCGTGATTCATTCTGACTACACCTTTACCACAGAGTCAGAAATTGGTAGTTGAGGTAGCAGATGAAGGTGGAAGTAAGCTTTCTGGCCAAGGCGGGAGGCACATGCACAGGGGACATAAAAGACGAGATACAACGTGGAAATAAGGTCGTGTCATTCATTTACAGCCAAGATTTGCCTTGCTAGTTTTGGAATTCTTTGCCTGGTGCGGTCACCACTATCTCATCGATCCACGTCCAAGAGCTCGGCTTGTGACGTCAGTATCTAAGCCAAGCTTCGTCTGTCCCTTGAAGCTTCATGCACTCTACTTCTGATTGGTTCAGAACCCACTGCTCACCGTTAATGCAGTATCACTGCCACAATTCTCAGCTCAGCCAAGAACACAAATATCAAAGATATGGCGCTTGTTTGAAGCAGACGATGATTCGTTCCGGAGGTTTACTTCCTGGTTTGTTGAAGCCTCTTATGTATTGCCATGTGCGCCTCTTCGAGGTACATAGAGCTTGATATCAAGAAGACCGTAATATGCTACGCAATGTTGACAAGATGTAAAAAGAAGCATAGAGGGAAATTAGGTCGTTAAACAAGCTTGGTAAGTTCAAATACGGCACCGTTAAATCTTCGGGGAAGCAGAAGTAACACTGGTTGTGATCCTGTAAGCAGAGTGCAGGAGTCTTAACAGCCCAGAGGACTTCGGGTTATAATATGCAGAGTACAACTAACTATTCTAAATCAATAGATAATAAATAGGAGAAATTCAAATCTACAACCTCAAAATCAAATTCCAGGGACATATGAACCCAGTCATATCATTGCAGCATCATGTTGATATTGTTCATAACATGGAATCAACTTGCTTACCCTACAGCATCACGCTACCCTTCCGGTTTTAGTTGAGCCAGAAGCAGCAGTGGCCTGCTAACTTATACCAGCATACTCTCCAGAAACAGAGTACATAGAACAGTCTATGTCATCTCAGTACCATTCTTCAAGGCCTCGCAGTTCAATACAATACAATCTAAAGCCTGATGGAATTTTCTGTTTGTTTCTCCTGCCAATTATCGCATCTTTATTCATGATCATTGGACCCTTCACTTGTATAACCCGCAATTTCATGCAACTCAGTTCAAATGCTATTGCCAAGGCTTTTGTCTTCATGTTAAGCCGCTACTTGTCGGCAATCTCGCCTACCAAATTACCTACCTTACTCAATTGCCATCCAGACAACGTCCCAAAGTCAATCTTGATCTCTCGATGTTTTGTCTATGTAGCGATAACTTCAAAAGTCTATGAATATGTATATCAAATCCCACTACGAAGCTAACATTCACTGGCGACTGGCCCAGTTCTTAAACCCAAACTCAAACCACATTGGCTAATCGCCAAGATGAGTTTCCCTTGGTGTTGAGGGGCTTCAGGGGTCCAGAGGGGTTGGACCCCGCACTAGACTCCTTGAGGCTACAGTCCGTCCAATCCTCTTAGCAACCCGTCTGCGGTTCATTTCCTGATACAACAAGTCGGTGAAGTCAATTTTCCTTTTTGTCAAGCCCGAATCTTGCGTCTCTCTTGTTCAATTGAGCGTCTGATTTGTTTCACCTTGTCTCTGTCTGTTTCAACCTCTCCAAACCTTCCTCCACATCAGCATAACCCCGCTTCATAATGTCAGACACCAAGGTCTATCGCGCCAGCACCACTGCGCCAGTCAACATCGCAGTTGTCAAGTAAACACGCCCATCGCATCTCTAGAATCTTCACTAACACGATGCAGATACTGGGGAAAGCGCGATGCTAAGCTCAACCTCCCTACTAACAGCTCCCTCTCCGTAACCCTCTCGCAAGCCGATCTCCGAACCCTCACAACAGCCTCGTGCTCGAGCACCTTCACCGATGGCGACAGCCTCACTCTCAACGGAGAGTCCTCCGACATCTCTGGCGCCCGAACCCAGGCTTGCTTCCGCGAGCTTCGATCCCGCCGCGCCGCTCTCGAGGCTGCCGACTCTTCGCTCCCTAAGCTGTCTACATACCCCCTGAAGCTCGTCTCTGAGAATAACTTCCCCACTGCTGCTGGACTTGCTTCTTCAGCTGCTGGTTTCGCTGCGCTCGTCCAGGCTATCGCTCTTCTCTACGAGCTTCCTGATTCGCCTTCTGATCTTTCGCTCGTTGCTAGACAAGGTTCTGGATCTGCTTGCCGAAGTCTCTTTGGCGGATATGTTGCTTGGAGAATGGGTGAGAAGGAGGATGGAAGTGATTCTAAGGCCGACCTTGTCGCTCCCGCTTCACACTGGCCCGACATGCGAGCTCTGATCCTCGTTGTCAGCGCTGCTAAGAAGGGTGTTTCTTCTACCTCTGGCATGCAGCAGACCGTTGCTACATCTGGTCTCTTCAAGGAGAGAATAGCAAACGTTGTCCCCGCCAACATGACCGCCATGGAGGAGGCCATCAAGAACAAGGACTTCCCAAAGTTCGCCGAGGTCACCATGCGCGACTCCAACTCTTTCCACGCTACTTGCGCCGATACCTACCCTCCTATCTTTTACATGAACGACGTGTCCCGCGCTGCTATCCGCGCTGTCGAGTACATCAACGAGAAAGCTGGCAGGACCATTGCCGCTTACACTTTCGACGCTGGTCCTAACTGTGTTGTCTACTACGAGGAGAAGGATACTGATACTGTTGTTGGTGCTTTCTACCAGGCTCTTCAGGGTGTTAGCGGTTTCAAGGAGGGTGCTGCTAGCGCCAAGTCTAGCGTTGAGCTCGAGAGTGGTCTTGCTTCTACCTTGAAGGAGGGCGTGAGCAGAGTTATTTCTACTGGTGTTGGAGAGGGCCCTATCAAGACTGATGAGTACCTCGTTGGAGAGGACGGTCAGGCTGTTCGACGATAGATGGGGATATAAAAGATCTAGTGTCAGATTGAAGTAAATAGCATGCTGGAATGATATACAGAGAAGCCAAGTTTGAAGTTGAAACAAAATGCATCTTTACTTGTTACTCTTCTGGTTGTGATGCTGTTTGTCATTATTCCAATGCTGTCGATCATGATCATAACCTGAACCGTCGTTGATCCTCCACATCTCGCCGTGTGGGGCCGTCCAAACTCACCTCCACGGCCCTTCAATCGGCTCCGGGGAACTTGACAAGTCTCCACCAAAAGATCAATACAAAAGGATACATTTCTAAGGTTTAAATCCCAGTCACGTCGCACTTCTAAAAGCGCATTGTACCTGCCGGTCGCACTGACACGTTTTCGCCCTGCGGGGCACTGCCCGTGTCACTGCAAGCTGTGCCGTAACACGCTGCAAACGCCTATAGCTCAGTCTTCCAACTCTTATCCTTACAACCTTTCTCCTCATCAACACCATCGCGATGGATGGTTTAACTAAACTCTTGGGGCGCGGCAAAACTGTTGAGATTGTTGAGCTTGATAGATCGGGAAATGTGTCGCGAACCTGGAACCATACCGTCGACGACCGTGTACGTTGCTTTAGCTTCGCCTTTGGAATACCATGCATGGCTAATCTGAGCTGTAGGTCGTTCCTAAGTCAAAGCCTAACATCCCCTTCATTCCCTCTCTGCGCGAGGCTTTCATGCCAGTCGGATATCCTCACTCTGTGTCCACCGACTACCTGAATTATCAATTCTTCGACTCTCTCCAAGCTTTCTTCTCAACCATCACTTCCCTCCTCGCAAACCGAGCTCTCCTTCAAGGTCTCGGCGTCGGAGATGCCAACTCCTCCGCCACCTTCGCCATGCTGCTCACAGTCCTCAAGGACGCCATGTCTCGCATCGCCACTATTGTTTTCGCCCACCAGTTCGGTCTTCGTATTGAACCTGACGCCAAACGTTTCCGCTTTTTGGCTGATCTTTTCAACGACACTGCGTTCTTTCTGGAGCTGTACAGCCCGTACTTTGGCCCTTATGGAAAGATCCTCGCCCTGACTTCTGGAGAGACGTTGAGGGCGTTGTGCGGCGTGGCTGCTGGTGCGAGCAAAGCTGCTCTTAGTGTACACTTTGCAAAGCACGACAACCTCTCTGAGCTCAATGCCAAAGAGGCCAGCCAAGAGACCGCCGTAGGTCTTGTCGGTCTTCTTGTTGGAACTATCGTGGTCAAGTATGTCGAAGATCACCACAGTGTGCTATTATTGATGACTGTTCTCGTCTTTGCTCATCTGTGGATGAATTACCTTGGAGTTCGAGCTGTGTGCATGGACAACCTGAACCAGCAGCGCGCAACCATCCTGTTCGAAGAGTATCTCAAGACCGGCAAAGTCTTGTCCCCCGACGAAGTCGCCCACCGCGAGAAGATTCTGTTCTGGCGACCCGTCGTCCGAAACCAGCATGGCCAGAAAATTGCACGTATCGAAATGGCCAAAAGCTACTGGGACGCCATGGGCGCCAAAGCCCCCAACAGCAACATCGCCATTGTCGACGGTGTCCGGAACACACTCTTCGTATGGTCACACTCAAAGCGCAGCTACACACCCATCAAGATCATGCTCTGGAAGGATGCCAGTGCCATCCACGCCATTAGTGCTTGGTTCATGGCCATGGAGATGGCCTGGCTCTTGGAGAAGAGCAAGGGGTACACCGACAAGCTAGATAAGATCTTCTGCGGTAAAGAAGCTGTTGATGGCTATGAGCAGAAGTATGATAAGCGTGAGCTCTGGGATGAGATGCTCGCCAAGGGATGGAATATCGAGTCGCAGGCTTTTGAGACAGGTGCCCCTGTTCGTCTGCTCGCTCAGCTGGAGGGAAAGAAAGATCAGTAGATAAGAAGTATTGGCGTCAAGGCGTGATTGTCACTGTATGGAATAATACCCTGGAACATGAAAATTGATTCAATGGGGATTTGTGCTGGTCATCCAAACCTCTAAATGCTTTTTTACCCATGTTGTACATTTTCCAAAACGCCTTCCAGTGAATAACTCATACATTACAGATATTGTACACCGGTCATTATGCTAGGAATGCCCATCTCTTGGCTCGCATCTTAACACCCTCCCATGTATTCAGCTTCGGCCGCACATCAAGATAGAAACTTGGTCCACCCTTTCCATCTGGTCGTCCAGCGTAGAAGTCAATAACGTAGTCAACCCTCGTACCGCACCGGTCGATAACCCAATCGTGTCGGTCGAATGGCGCCGTGTAGCCGAGAATGGTATTGAAGCGAGCCGTGGGAGTCATGCGATCCATTTTGTTGGCGAAAGATTCAAGCTTAGGACCATCACACCTAACACAATTAGTTCTCGCTCGTAAACGCAGACGATGTAATCTTACTTGGTGCCCTTGAGATACGGCGCTTCCCACTCCTTGATCTCCTTCCAAGCTCTTTCATTGACAGCATTGTGAATCGGCACAACGGTCTTCATATCCGCTACCCTCGCATCGTAACCCTTTCGCTTCATCGCATCGAAAAACATCTTCTCCGAAGGGTAAACCCAATTTCCAGAGGGATCTACACCAGTCTCCATCTCGTGGTTCGCAGGCTTTGCAGGTTCTTTTCCATGGTCGACTGGACATACCGCTGGACCGCCAGATGTTCGTGGAATCGTGGATATAACGCGGTCGGTATCAAGACCATCGTTCGAAGGTATTTGCGTAGGCGGCGGTGTAGGTTTGCTCGAGGACCATGGGAGATATGACGAGAATGCTTGAGACCATGATTTCGACTGTGCTTGCGCTGTGTGGTCGACTGGACATCCAACTGCTTTTGCTTTTGCGGCTTCGGCTTCACGGGCTTGAGCGAGCCATGCCTCGCGGGATTTGTGATCGACGGGACAGGCGTCTTTATCTGCCATGATGAGGATCGTACGCGCAGTTATCGGTCGAGAAGGTTGAGGGAGAAATTTAGGGTTGGAGAGATTCAATTGCAAGGGTTGAGAAAATGGCGTAATTGGTTCGTGGATGGATCGTAAATGCGCCGGGATGTATTGGTTTGGAGGTTTGCGAAGGAAAATTAATATGGGTCGGGTCCGGGTTTTTCCCGCTAGGTCCGGGCCGGAGGTTAACCTACATCGCCGACTTCACTTCATTACTGCGCGTATAAGATTGTTCAAGTCTAGAAGAGAATTGCTAAACACATGATAAATTCACCCAAGCAATGCTTCAGATTATGAAATCTTTAAGAGCGGCCCTAAAACTTATCACAAATCTTTTTATAAGTCTTGCCTGAACTTTGGCCATTTACTAGCACTTTATTGATCACTGCTTGCCTCAAAGACGCTAATGAAGTTTTCTCCCTGTGACGAACTCCTCCCGCTTCCTTCAACTGATGTCAAAACGCCCTCGAGCTCCTCGAGAGTCTTTCCATGTCATGACCCGTATAGCAAGCTGGGGCATATCTGTCCTCTGCAACAGAAAAGAAACCCACCTGACCATGTGAATCGCCCTTTGCAAGCCCGTACACATCCCTACGGTGATTGCTTTGGGTAGTTCGTAGTAAATCCTCTGGCGGGCATGGAATGTCTTGGGAGGAAACTGCTCCGCAGTCTTTTCATAAGCCTTATAGTAATTCATCATGCAGTCGGTGAACCGTGGCGGACCAGCCATCGGTTCAATGGTGTCTTGGGGCTTGACGAGGATGTATAGGACACGAAGTCCGGGGAATATGCGTAGAAGTATGTTCAAATCTCTAAAGCTGGTAAAGATACTCAAAGCGTGCTGCGATTTATCGGATGGAGGTTCGTATTCATAAAGAACGCCGATAGACTGGACTTTTGGAAATGTTGTTGGGCCTGCCCACATCGTATTACTCGTGAAGACAGGAGGTCTGCAGGCGATGATGAGGTCGCGAGAGGTATCGATTAACTCACTTTCTCCTCCTGCCCACGTTTTGGGAGGGATTCGAAAGCGCATATGAGTATAGTGATGGATCGTATGCCTTTTCATATACTTAAGAGATAGTGAGTTGCGGGGCATCCAGTTTCGTGCAATTCTCGAGACAGTTGCTCGTGAGTTCCGACAGGTCCACATCAATGCCGTATGTAATGGATAGTCCGGCGGTGCCAGGCTCTCATCGAAGACTGATACGTGCGATGTGACTTTGAGCCACAGTTCCGTACCTCCACCGAGGGTGCTCCAGAAGTCAGTGAAGTGAGCGGTTGGTTCTCGTTCTTCAAAGTGGCTATTCGCGGCGTGTTTCTAAACCTGCAGCTGTAGTTCTTGAGGAAGCCTATTGAATTTCGTGAAAGAGGTCATGATGATGCTGATAGATCTTCGGTATGTTGATTGTGATGATGATGTTGTTTACTGGGAGACTGGCTACCTGCTCAGGCAAAATTACTTGAAAAGATGAAGACAGCCACAGTTGACCTGGAAAGTGATTAAGGTATCGATGGCAAGTGCTAGTCAAGATACTGAGGTTAGGCTCTTTGCTCTGCCAGGGAAAGCAGCATTGTCGTCAAGATAGCCGGAAAAATATGGACTTGCCGACTTCGTATCATGTCGCTAAGCTGCAGAGTAGTAAGTGCTATAATCAGGGCCTTGGGGGATAATAGTGCTGCTAATCTACCTTCTACAGAAAACCAGAGCTAACTAGGCACCTATGAACATCTCTCGCGTGATGCCATTACTATCACACATAGCTCTGAAAATGCCCCCATTTTCCCATAGATCCAGCGGCGGCCCCAGCTCAACAATCTTACCCTTATCCATGACACATACTCGATCATACTGTATCACCGTACGAAGACGATGTGCAATAGCAATCAGTGTCTTTCCTCCCAAGCCTGTCGCTAGTGTCTCTTGCACAAGTGCATCGGTCTCAGGATCAACGCTGCTCGTCCCTTCATCCACCAGCACGATACGCGTGTTGCGAAGAAGTGCTCGAGCAAGTGCAATCAGCTGTCGCTGTCCAAGAGAGAAATTGAGGCCTTCGGTTTCAACAGCCGTGTCGAGTGTCACACGCGTCTCACGGGGTTTGCCAGAGCCACTGCTGTCTGGTTCCTCCCTCTCAAAGACACTGCTTGCCTGGGTATCTTCCTCAGGCATAGGGAATGATTTTTCTGCGTCTGGTAAAAGATGTGCCTCGCGGAGAGCACGCCATAGTTCCATATCTGTGTGCTTGTTGAAAGGGTCCAGGTTTGAGCGAATAGTGCCTTGGAAGAGAGTGGGATCTTGTGGAATGATCGCCAAAGCGCTTCGGAGCCGGTGAAGACCAATCTGGCCAATATCAACACCATCAATGGTAATGCGCCCGCCAGAAATCTCTGTCAATCTGAAGAGGGTTGAAAGAATAGTGCTCTTTCCAGCACCAGTGCGGCCTACGATACCGAGTCTTTCGCCACCAGCAATCCTCAAGCAGAAGTCGTCAACCACCAGCGGAAGACCAGGGCGGTAGCGCATCTGCACGGCCTCGTATTCTATCGCTCCATGCTCCGGCCACGTAGAACGGACACTGCCGCCGTCGAGGGGTGCTTCCTGGTGCAGAGAATTTGTATACTGGAACAGACGCTCTGTATTCGACATGGAATTGTTGACCTCAATCAGATACTTCACCACGACCTGCATCATGCCAACCATGGACATGCTGTAAGTCAGCAGCAGACCCGAGATACTGAGCGCAACAGGTAGTGCGTTGGTAACCACGAGAATCCCAGTGACAAAGTTCAGTAAGATACCGATGTTGTCAAGTCGAACCGACAGCCAGTTGTGGCTCGCGAAAGTCAGGAAGTTGGCGCTGTCCATGTCATCGATGGCTTCATGCACCAGTTTGACGAACTGGAGCTCCCGATCGTAGGCGCGAATACAAGCAGCTCCAATAAGAGCTTCGTTGAGACGAGCAAAGACCACGCCGTCAAGTATTAATTGATGCCGCCTCAGCTCTCGCGCACTGCTCCTGTAGTAGGAGATGCACCACCAGAGTGCAGTCGCGCCAAATACCAAGGCGATGGCAAACTACTATCCGTCAGCTTGATCATTCGACAAAGAAGCAGTGCAAGGTGACTTGCATAGTAAAAGTAGGCAACGATGAGGATGTAGGAGCCCAAAAGTGCCGCTACGTTGATCAGAAGCTGCTGTACGGCAACGACCAAGTTGTTATCTAGCGCATCGATGTCTCTTGTAAAGCGATATATAATGCGACCAAGTGGGGTCGTGTCGAAGAAGGACATGGGCGCCCTCAGAGTCTGCCAAAGCGCATTGTTCGACATGACCTGGCTCGACTTGATACAGACCAAGCAGGTGATGAGCGAAGACGAGAACACTAGGACACATTGAGCGAGACTCAGGCCGGCGTATATACCAATCTGGTTCGTGATAGTCAGTGAAACTCTTCAAGCTTTATATCAAGGCAGGAATTCCTACGTTCTGACCGCGCGTGAGGCCGTATTTGTTGTCCACCCACCACGAGAGCCATAATCCTCCCAAAATGCTTGATGATCGGAAAAGGAGCTGTCCAACCACCATTGCAAGGCCATTCCAAAGGGAACCAGAAGCCCGCAACCACGAGACATATACGGAGAAGGGGACGCTATCAACAATCTTGGTCTCTTCCTGCATCAAGACCTCGGCTTTCGTCGTTGTGTTATCTGGGCCGACAGAATCCCCCTTCTTACCTTCATCGGTGCTGTCAGCCTCCTTTTGCTGATGTCCCCCAACGGCGACCAGGCTGGTGAAGGCAGAGTGAGACTTCATCAGTTCTTCGTAGGTGCCTATGGCCTCAATTCGCCCGTCGATCATCCATATGATCTTATCAAGCCGGGACAGGAGGTGCAGATGATGCGTTGCCAGGAACCGGCATTTGTTCTTGAGCAAACCGCATATGGCCTCGTTGAAGATATGTGTACCTACATGCGCATCAACAGCTGAAAGCGGATCGTCGAGGAGTACGATGCCAGCGTCAGAGTATATGGCGCGGGCGATATTAATGCGTTGCTTTTGCCCCCCTGATAGGGTCACACCTCTCTCACCTATCTCTGTCATATCGCCATGTGGTAGGAGTTCAAAGTCCGGCAACAGAGCGCAGGCGTGCACAACATCGGAATAAAGCTGCTGGTTGAACGGCTTCCCAAAAGTGATGTTGTCTCGGACGCTGGCGTTTTGAATCCAAGCATACTGGGGGCAGTATGCCCTGTCAGCAGCAAACTGCATGACGCCACCAGTCTGCCTCATATCTCCTGCAAGAGCACTGAGAAGGGATGTCTTGCCGGATCCAACACTTCCGATGATTCCAACCAGCTCGCCTCGCTGGCACTCTAAGGAGATATCGTTCAGAGAGAACGGCACGTCGCTATCCCGGACTGGGCGGACCTGTGTATCCGAAGTTTCAACTACTTTCTTTTCGTTTCCCGCTCGTTGTCTCCTCATAGCTCTGGATAGGCGGTTCTTCTTCTCTTTATCCTTTGGCGATTCACCCTCCTCGTTCGCTGGTGGGCTCTCCCACGTGAAAGAGGCATTGCTGAGTTTGACAGCTGGAGCAAGACCAGCGTCTGGGACTGCTTGTGCTTGTACTTCTTCAGCGAGCAGGAAGTACTCGATCCTCTTGATCGACTGGAATGCGTCGGCAGCAAGGCTCAGGGATACGGGCAACCAATTCGTCGGGACTCGCAGAAGGTACAGCATCGCTAAGGACGAAAAGACAACCGCTGGATCAAGACTACCATTCACAACCGCGTACACGATGAATGTGATCATGATGGCAAGCACAGGTAGAAACTGGGCGAGGGTTCCCACGGCACACCTGATCAGGTGCATGATGCGCAAGGCTCGGGTTTCGGACGCTCGGATGTTTCGTAGACGGTCCTGAAAGAAGCCTTCCCAGCCAAAGTACTTTACGAAGCGGATGCTCTGGAGGATCTCTTGCGTAAGTGTGACACGCTGGTCAGTGACTATGTTGATACGATTTCGGCTTGCCACCAGCGGTCTCGTAGCGTACGTCACGGCGGCGAGACCGAAGATGAGAGTGGCTGCTCCTGGCAACGCTGTCCAGCCCAGATTATAAACCAAGAGCGCAACTGTCAGTATGAGCTGGTAAAGCGATAGCCATGAAAGGTGGAAAGCTGCCAGTGCCTGCTCGATGCGGGCGGTGTCATTGGAGACCAGGCTCATCACACGCCCGTTGGACCAGCCTTTCTCATCTGTCCAACAGGGAATGTCACCGTAGGGTCCCGATACCTCGCTCCCTATCTGACCTCCAGCCTTGGCCCTGTTAGAAAGCTTTAGTGACTTGTTAAAGGCCATGGCTATCAAAGCGCTGCGTGTCTGTCCACCGAGCAGCATGCCCCGATAGTAAAACTGACTCGAGGCGAAAGTTTGAAGCATCTGCAAAACCGCGATCCCGAGGACATATCCTATGCCAACCGATACTGACGTGGAACCGCGTGTGTCGTGTCCGTCAGGGTAGGCATGTTGAACCCACTCAATAAGGAATCTCAGCGTGAAGGGCGTCATCACCTGCAGGGTCGACACGAGGAATTGACTGACAGCGCCGAGCCAGAAGTCGAATTTGAAGACCTCGTAGAGTGCCCATAGGAGAGGAAGGCGAGTGCGAGCCAATACTCGTCGTCGAAAGGCCGCGTCAAGACTCGGTTGGAGCGTATCCATGAGCCTTGCGTCTGACACTGTCCAGATATCATTGCGTTCAAGGTGTCGTCGATATCCAATCTATACCATGAATTGTCAGTCAGCACGTAATAACACCATAATCGCACCATAGATAGGCACATTCTCACCGTCATGAGCGGGCTGAGCCAAGCAAACCAAAGTTTGCTCAAGAAACCTGCGTCTTGTTCCGCAGTCACCTCCCTCTTCTCGGGAATGTCTGGGACATTCTGTCGACCGAATGGCCTCAGCCACCGAGATCGCATCTGTCGGACTGATGCGCACGAGGCCTATAGATATTACGACCACAAGTAATGGTCGCAATGGATGAGAGAAGAGGTGACAGCAACAATCTCTGGACGGGCTCCAATTGAGCCCGACTTTCACGCTTTACCTATATGGCACAATGCGATCATCACGTCACGTATGTTTGCGACCAAGTATTTCACATGCCTGTCTGCACAGTATCAAAGGCGGACACGACATCGTTCATAAGTTCCATTGTTGGTCGCAGGCTCGCCCTGATTGGGAGGTAATGCTCCGGAGGAGTTGTTTGTTGGCGACAGGCAGGGATCCGAATCTCTGCTAAGAGCTGCATCTCTTCTGTCATGAGAAATCAAGGCTTGGCGCCGCCGGATATCCGGCTCCCCCATCTGCCATGCAACGTCTCCTCCTGCAGGGTCAACATCCTCGTTAGTGCAAGGTCATCGAGCTAATGCACGGTCACTGATAGCGGACCGAGCCGCCTGGGCATCGAATCCTGCCCTGTAGGGACTGAGGCTTTGCCATTTTGCGCATTCATGCAGGCGTCTCAGCCAAGATGATCTGGTCATCTTTGTATCCCATGCCTGTACTTCGGGCATGTGCTTCAAAATTTCCTCTGTAATTGAGCTCTATTCAGGCACTCAAGTTAGTAGATTGAAGCAATTGCATTACCGTGAACCATCTAGCGATCTGAAACTATCGTATTCAACTGGTGCAATGACTGCAGACGAACCGTTACCGTCAACTATCACGTCAATCAGTACGTCTATAACTCGCAAAATTCTGCAAGCCTCTAATCGCGCCACATTGCTGATTCAACGTCAAGGCGGTCAACATGCAATGCAAGACCAGCTGCCAACGCAGCTCTATACAACGATTGACAGGTTCACGCTGGAGTCAGGAGAGGTTCTGACCAACGCGGCCGTCGCCTTCACCGTAAAAGGCCGACTTAACTCTCAGCGAACCAACGCTGTCGTTATCTGCCACGCCCTTTCCGGTAGTGCAGATGTTGACGACTGGTGGTCACTGCTTTTATCGCGCCCCGAGAACCCAGTCCTCGATCCCAACAGGTTCTGTATCATCTGCTGCAATGCTCTAGGCAGTCCCTATGGCTCATCGAGCCCGTTGTCTGTAAAGCCGGGCAATGCATCTTATTATGGACACACGTTCCCGAGAACAACTATTCGTGACGATGTCCGGCAAGTATACGCTCGAGTTTGACCGTAGCTCAGCGCTAACTTGCTTTCCCAAACAGAATCCAAAAGATAGTGGTCGAATTGCTCGGGGTGCGGTCAATCTATTGCGTTATAGGAGGTAGCATGGGAGGCATGATGGCGCTGGAGTGGGCATTACTGGGTAAGCATTTCGTACGATCCATGGTTCTCGTCGCGACCGCAGCCAGGCAAAGTCCCTGGGCGATAGCGTGGGCTGAGAACCAGCGGGCAACCATAAAGTCCGATTCCAAGTTCCGAGGTGGGTGCTACGGTAATGATCCTCCTCGAGATGGCCTCGCGGCTGCGCGTATGGCAGCCATGGTATCGTACCGGACACACTCATCTTTCGAAAAGCGATTCGGAAGACGCCGGCTAGAGACTTACACAGCGCCCAACAAAATGCTGTCGAAAGTCAACGGCATCCGTCCGCCATTCGCGGTCGACGTGCAGTGCGCGAAGCGAGACGACGGACACTACGACAAGTCGGGCATATTCTTGGCGCAGAGCTATCTGCGTTATCAAGGAGAAAAGTTCAATGCTCGCTTCGATGCCAATTGCTACCTCCACATCCTGGACAAGATCGACTCGCATGACATCGCCCGCGGCCGGTACCAGAGTCTTTCGGACGACGAAGCGATCCTTAAAGTCCTCAGCCAGATTCGACAGCGCACATTGGTTGTCGGAGTCCCTACGGATGGCCTCTACCCGCTGTCTGAGCAAATAGTTCTGTCTCAGGGCCTGAAGAATGCAACTTTCGCAACGGTCCAGAGCGATGATGGGCATGATGCGTTTCTCATCGAAGGCGAGCAGCTCAATGAGCTGTTGCGCTCCTTCTTCAGCTCAGATCCTGAGTTGTAAGCATAGAGTATATATTCCACTTGTAATCAAATAAAATTGTACCACCGTCGAAATGATTGGAGAAAGCATTGTATTGGCGATGGCGTATATCGTGACCATGGCGATAAAAGCAGCCGCCTGTATTGTTTCCGTGTCCAGAATGCGGAATTTGTCCTACCTCTATTCCAATCAAATCGTAATATGATCTTGGCATCTAAACCTTCACACTAAACACAATGATCGAGACTAAGGCGAAAAGCAGAGCAGCAAATCCGAAGGGCAGCCCGAGCCAGACTTGTCCCCAGCTCATGCCCACGCGGAAGGCCAAGGCCATCCCGGGACCCGCCACCAAGCTTCCTATCCCTTCTGCCACAGATATGAGCGCATAAAGCCGCCCGATATCGCTTGTAGCGTTGGGGTGCCGAGATTCGACAAGACTGGTTGTTAGACTGCGCATGGTTGGCGAAAAGCCTGAGCCCAAGGTGGATATGACAAGCCCTGAAAGCATGCTTAGCTTTCTGTATGTGGCATGTCTGGTCGGCTTTATGCTTACCGATGATCATGCCAATCGCCGTCTCTGACAAGAACAAGATGAAACTTCCCAGGACCAGGAGGATGATGCTTGCTTTGCCGATCCATAAGTCGCGAGAGGTTGCACTCCAGCTTACGAGGACGTATGTCGCAATGAAAGGCAGTATGACCGTGAACAGAGCAATATTTACACCGGCTCGTAGCGATATGAGAAACCCTGCCTAGACGTGGGGATATGTTAAATCAGACATCTACGCACGGGTCTAGCGGACATCAACTTACCTGTGCTAAAGTCCACCCATATCGCTTCGAGACATATTGGAAGAGCATATTAGCAGCTTGGCGCCCAACCTTGGAGATGAGAAAGGTAAAAACAAAGGCGGACAGAGCTCTGTCTTTTATGACGAAGTCGAACGAGTCTTTGTTCCGAGCAAACCAGCTTCCCCATTTGCTATCATTCTTTGCTGGCGCCTCTGTTTGTTCGCTACTTGTGGCTGAGAGACCATCGGCTTCCTCACCAGACCTCTTTGGGTCAACCATTGGCAATGTTTCTGGCAAGCCAAGTGCTAGAATGACACTGAGCCCTTGGAAGGCCACAGCCAGCAAGAGAGGTATCCATGTGTTCTTGTGCATCAGCATTGAGGTGATTGGGGGGACAATCAAGTCTGCGACAAGGTCGGTACAGAAGCGATAAAAGAACACCGTACTCCTGACCTCCGCTGGTACGACATCAGCAACAACCGTTGTGAGTAAGGTTGTGCCTGTGGTTGGGCCGCCGCCGATGATGAAGAAGAGCGAAGAAAGCCAGACTGCGTTCAAAGTTAAATGCAGAACTCCAACCTGTGAGAAGATGGTCAATATTATTAGATTGTAAATTGAGCTTTAGCGATACCTACGAAGAATAGCGTCGACGCCCAGGACAAAGTGTACCCAACCAAGGCCAAAACCAGGATCCATTTACGTCCATGCAAGTCGGCCACATAACCATAAGGAATCGGAAGCAAAATCGCGGGAATGGCATCAAAAAAGTACTGCCATCCCACGACCGAGGCGACCTTGTCCTGCACCGAGTCGATCTTACAGAGGCGCTCGGGGACGGATCCGTCACGATCCACTAACGACGGATCGTGCCGCAGATAGTAGCGGGTACAGGCAACGGACTCAAAGAGCCGGACTCTTGGCGCGGCGTAGAGAGATTCACCAACGTCTGAAACGACGGCGAGGACGATGCAGAGAAGCACGACGTAGATCCACGGCCATGAGCAGCGAGTGTGGTGCGCGTTCACGTTGACGATTGACCTGGGCACGCCGTTTGGTGCTTCGGCCTGTGGTGAGAGGAGAGCTGTCCTTTCACTAGCATTCTCGTGCCCATTTTCGCGATGTTGGTGCATTTTTACTTAGTGAAAGTCATGAGAATGTAAAGAAGAGAGGAAGGAAGGAAGACGTGCTGCCGGATGAGGGTGCATGGCGACCAATGCCTAGGGCGGTGACTGAGACGGGAGATAAGACAAGCATGGATGCAATTGAAGTGACATCACAGCCAACAGCGACGGTTTTTGTGGGTGTGTCAAGGGTGAAGTTGATTACAGCCCGGATACGTATGACAGGTCATCTATGCAGGCGCTGTGTTATGGAAGTGGCCTGGCGATCACGTGCCGTCTTGCATAACAGTTTACTTGAATAAGGTACCTAGGTAGTACTTCGTTATTTATTTTAAGGCTTATTATTCCCTCATCGCTGCTTTTTAAGTATGTTTGGTAATATATAAACGTAAGGTATGTATCGGCATTGGGCTGATAACTTCACGTTTTGCAGTGAATGGACTAATACTGGGACCGAAACATTTAAGATAGGACCGAATTCGCTAAGGCTACAACATCGATTCAGATTCAATGGAGAATATGACTAAAAAATCTGAATTATAGAATATTCAAGATAGTCTGAGAGTGCAAAGTATACTAAACTACCCTGGAAATGATAAAACTCGCGTTCGCGTTCTTCCCAGTCTCGCCATTCAGCTGGCATGTGAGGACCGGTCGCAGCCTCTTGACCAGACGTTGAGTTTGGATCTTAGCCGGCTGCATGAAAGATTAGCCATTGATTGTTTACTCCAGTTCAGTATAAATAACTTACAGGATATGCCATGGTCTTGATAGAATGGGTGCTTCGGGTCAGCACAAACGCGCCCGACCGCATACGAGATACCACGCTAAGGAGGATATTCTCCTTCTCCAATGTCGTTGATCCAACTGCGGCGTTGAAGTAAACAACATCATGCTCACGGAGGTCCTGAGGAGCGTCTTTGATATCGCCCGCCTCAAATGTGCAGTGCTGCGTATCCTCGCAAAGTCTGTCGAGGACCTTTATACTCTTCTCCAGACGATCGGGAAGAAGCTCCAGGCTGTGGATTTTGACAGTTTTGGCATGCTTCTTGGCCCAACCGGTCACCCAAACAGCTGTCTCTGGCATGGCACCGGATCCCAGAATGGCGATAGACTCGGGGGCCTTGTCCATGACGGACAAGAGGCCCGACCACTCGGCTTTCAGGACATATTCATAGAACTCATGGATGGGGGTGGTGGTATAGATCTGCCAGGCTACATGGAATACGTCAGTCAGTGAGCGATACAGGACCAGTGCTCAGATTCATACCCTCAGCCGTGTCTTTCGCAGCTGCAACTCTCTCCGCCCACGTCACTTCCAAGGCGCCCTCGCACTCTCCCATGACGTATCTAATATCCGGCATGAGACTCAAGATCTCTGGATGAGAGAGAACAGCTGTTTCCAGTTCAATATCGAGAGTCGTAAAGCCAATGACTTTGTAAAACCCGGCCCAAAATGGGACGACCTGGTCGGTCTTTTCGGGCGTGTCTAAAGGGCACAAGGCTTTTGCTGCCTTGACATTTTCTACCATTGTCTTTACATAGACTTGAGCTTCGGCTTCCAAGTCTCGGCCCGGGACTACTGAGTCAGTGGTCATTGTGTCGAATGGTAAGAATGCAATGAGGCAAAATGATAGAATGTGATGCAAAAGATACAAAGCAGCGTTCGTAATTTTAGGAACCCGACGCCTCGAAAACGAATACTTTCCTTGTGTCTTCAACCTCACAATTCCAGGGGGAACTGCTTTTCAATTATCGGCTACTTTCCTAATTAGAAACCTAGTCAATCTTCAATCGGCAGAGCTGCACAGTCATATCCTCCGAGGACCCTGCAAGGTCTCTTGACCCGCCATAGATAGCTTTCAGGAAGCCTACTATCATTCCCGATCCAGATGTAACCGAATATGCAGAGTCATTCGCCACATCAACGCCTCATCCTGCGTTGATGCTCTAAACGGGGTGATGGATTTATGGCTCCAAAGCTGCCTCAAGATGCCATACAAGGCATTGCCGGATTCTGACCAAGGCATCTCCTGAAACAGTCACCAGCATGAGCCCCTCCAGTACGGTAGACGAGGTCGCCAGAGCGCACACAAATGGGCACAACACCAAGAATGGCGAACACAACTCCAACGGGGCTACCAAGTCGAAAGCAGTTTCAAACAAGACACGGAAATGGCATTTCGATACCCTTCAAGTTCATTCGGGCCTTGAGAACGAGACTGCTCATGGACAATGCTCCCTTCCTATATACAACTCAGCATCATTTCGCTTCAAGTCATCAAAGAGCATCGAGGATGCATACAGCTTTGCCGATGGCCCAAGAAGCCAATTTTACATGTATAGCCGACTCTCCAACGTGAGTATTCCTATCTCCTCCAATGAGCTTGGCAAGGTGAGAAGTAACTAACAGGTCCGTGAAGCCCAGTAATGTCGGTTTCGAAAAGCGCATGGCGGCTCTGGAGCTCGGAAAAGACGCTCTAAGTTTCGCCAGCGGCGCCGCTGCCATTTTGACGGTCGCGCAATCTTTGGTCACTGTTGGCGACAACGCTGTTGTGAGCGGTTCTGTCCATGGGGGAACTTACCATCAATTCGAAGTCATCCTCCCAGCAATGGGCTTGGAGTGTCGCATTATGGACACAAACGACCTGGAGAAAGTAGAAGCGGCCATCGATGAGCGGACCAAGTTCGTCTTCACTGAGACTATCAGCAACCCTAAATTCGCAGTAGCGGACTTGGAAGGTCTTTCAGCTATTACCAGACGTGCAAACATTCCTCTAATCGTCGACGCTACCTTCTCAGCTGCTGGTTTCTTCTGCCAGCCGGCCAGATTTGGTGTCGACATCATCATTCACTCAGCCACCAAATGGATCTGTGGCCATGGAACCACGTTAGGGGGGGTTGTCATTGAGACAGGCGTGTCTGAATGGCAGTCCAACGCAGCATGCTATCCTCACCTTCATGCCAAGCGCGGGCGTGAGGGCACCGATATCAGTCTCTACGACCAGTTTGGTAACGAAGCATACATGAGCTTCCTGCGATGGGAGTTCATGCGCGATACTGGAGCTTGTCTTGGTGCACAGGCAGCCCAGCAGCTCTTCATCGGGGTCGAGACCCTTTCACTTCGCTGTGAGCGCCAGCACCGCAATGCGCTCTTCATATCGACCTGGCTGCGCAATCACCCGCGCATCGCTTGGGTCAAATACCTGGGCTTTGAAGACCACCCGTATCATCAGCTTGCCTTGAAGTACCTGAAGGGATTTGGGACTGTTATGACCTTTGGGTTCAAGGGGTCAGTGGACATGGCATTCGATGTTGTTGATGCGTTTGAGATTATCTCGAATACGCCTAATGTTGGAGATGCAAAGACTACCGTAGGTCACCACTGGTCTACAACGCACAAAGGGTGTTCTGTCGAGCAGAACGAGGCAATGGGTGTGTATGAAGACTTGTTCCGGTTGTCACTTGGCATTGAAAAGGTGGACGATCTCATTGCCGACTTCCAGCAAGCCTTCGACGCGGTGCCACTCAGAACCTAACTGATCCATTTTATAAAGCGTTATTATATGCAATCATTCGTTTCAATTGTGGTCATGAACTTAGGGAGCACGAAAGCAGAAGATATATCAAATAGCCTTATTGCCTTGAACAACAGTGCACTAGAGAATTAAAAGTATACATTAGACATTCTATCCTGCTGCGTGTATGCGTGTTTTGCAACACAACAAGACCTTGGACCTACTATGCTGCGTGCTATACTGGTGAGAGTACGACTGTCGTCTTGAGTTCTGTAGAACATATGCCTTATGGTGCGGTTAACCGACTTCTCACACAACTACATGCTAAGCAGATGACCTCAGGCTTGCGTCATCAGAATGCTCACGGAATGGTATTTCGTAGCTGAACAAACATAAACGCAACGTCAGGTTGGTCAGAGGCTGGCTACCCCCGGAAGCCCTCTCGACTAGTGCTGTTGGTGCTGGTGTTGGTTGTGCACAAGCCAATGTGCAGCATGACCATGCAGCGTCAGAATGCCCTGCATGGACAGAGCACCTTTGGTGCCATTACCCAGTTTTATTGTGCAGTGAAACGCAATGTATGCTTGCGGCGCAGTGTGGCCTTCAAACATAAGGTCCCTGGGAGCAACCATCTGAGTCTTGATATCCAGACACACCTTTCTCACCTACGTACGATTATAGGAATGGCCGAACAAACACGACTCCACATCTGGCTGAACTTGCCAGATAACCAAGGTCAGTTTATGTGATCAGAGCACAGACACCCATGCTAACAGGCTTCTGTCAGTCTCACTCGAGTGTGAATGGCGATTAGTGCGGCAAAAAGGAAATGGAGCACAACAGTTCCACAATCTGTACGTTGCACCCAAACTTAGCAACTCAGAACCACTAGAGACTTCCCTCGGTCCTGGGGTGTGGATCTCGGAAGTTGGTGCTCAGTCAAATGCTTCTCAGCTCAGTAAGAACCAAGATTCGGCCATCGCTGCGCTTCTACAGCAATGCATCAGCCAAGACGAAGGCGTATGCGTCTTCCAGGTTCCTAGAGTGAGCGGCTTTGCAGGACATGCGAACCCTTGGGCGTATCGTGTCGGAGACTGTGCCCTTGTTTCGTCGACCAAGACTTTCCTCTCGCCGCTTCAGGAAATAAAAGCTCCTGTCGAATCCATCAACACCGCCGAGGGCGTAGTCAAGGCCTTGGACGCATCAATCGGTGCCATTACCTCTCCTCTCAAATTATGCAACGAGACCATCGATAAGCTTGAGTTCGAACTTACACGAAGACTCTCCTTCCCCTTTATTTCGCCGGAGCCTATCCGCAAGCGGCGCATATGCTTCCTGATATGGAGTCGCATAGCGGCCAAGAGAGCGGCATGGGCCAATGCAAAGGCGCTGGGTATAGAAGTGGTAGTGATGAGTTCTGGCGCATGGTCCAAGGATGACAAGCCACCACATGAGTACATGATGGACGGTTACATCGGCATGGACATGACGACAGACGAAGATTTCTGGCGAAGAATCGTCGATGCGGTTGAGGCATACCCAGACCCCATCGATGGCCTCTGTGGACCGTGGGATCCGTTCATGGTGCCAACAGCCAAAGCAGCGAGACATCTGGGACTCTATACGCCAGGACCAGAGGCCTTCTCGATTTCGACCAACAAGTATCGAACGCGCCAGATGCTTGATCCCGATGAGAAGGACTTCTTCACTGTGCAGAGTCTTAAAGAGCTGGAATCGAGGCTGCAGTCTAGTAAATCCGTCAACTTCCCGGTCGTATGCAAACCAGTCGCTGGACTGAGCAGCTGGGGAGTCTACCGCGCAAACAACGCCTCGCAGCTGCGCGATGCCGTCGAGAAGTCTCTCCTCGTCAGCCAAGAGCTTACCGATCTGAGGGTTGTGATCGAGCCGTACATCGATGGGCCTGAAGTGGATTGCAACATCGTTCTCTTCAAGGGCCAGGTTCTGTATACTGAAATTGTCGACGACTTTCCTTGCTCTGCAGACCTCGCGGAAGATCCGACAGGAAAGCTTTTTACAGAGTCACAGACAGCTGTGCCCTCGAGACTCCCTGAGAATGAACAGCAGGCTATCACCGACGCGGTCGTCTCGGCAGTTCGCAAAATGGGGTTCGACACTGGCGTTTTTCACTGCGAGGCGAGAATTTGCAACTCGTCAATGAAATACACCTTCACCAAAGGCGCAACGATCCCAGACCTCGAGCCTATAGCAAAACCCAAAAGTTCCGAGGACACTCCGGTATATCTCCACGAGGTCAATGCCAGAATGCCCGGACCAATGAGTGCAGCCTCCAGCGTCATCTCGCGCGGAATCGACTTCTGGATGTTGGCTGTTCTCTGCGCAGTTGGGGATTGGTCTCGATATGAAGCCTTCTCAGCCCCATTCCTCCATCAAGAGGTCACCGACCACACATGGCTCATCAATTGCATTGTGCCAGTCAGCCTGGAGCGTATCAAGCCCCTGTTCCCCGACCATCCAGCAGACCAGCTCGGACATCAGGCGGTGGACAGCAGTCACAGCCCTATCTTGGAACTGGCCAAGACTCATCCCCATTTGACAAAACACGTGGCGCGACACCACGTGTACATCGAGCCTGCGACGAGATTGGGAGGCAAGGAGGGTGACTGGCTGTGGACTATGTGTATGGTGTTTCACACTCCGCATAGTCGAGAGCATGCCTTCCAACTAGCTCAGGAATTCCCGGAGGTTTACGAGGCTTTTGTGAGGGACAGGTACGGCCATGGCCAGAATGAAACAGTTACACTGAGAAGTCATTTTCTATGAGAGGTAGAGAGAGAAAGCCTGGCAGTGACAGAGCCTGGCGGAATAAGCACCTGAGATACCTCTATGGGGGAGTAGCACTTGAAGGCGATAGTGGATATCTATTGGTTTAAAATACTCTGCTCCACTATGGCTGCCTTGACGCTGTCGGACTAACTGTTTCGCCGAAGCCGAGTTTCTCCACTCCAGCCACCTGTTCAGTGGCTCACTCCACAATTCACGTAATCTACCCCCGTCATTCAATCTCCCTCTCTCTCAACCTCGCCATATTCAACTCCGCTCTGGAAACGTTCTCCTTCATTCAACACATCCATAACCTCCCATACCTCCTCGCCTAGAAGCCTTTCCTCGCCTCGACCCGACCGAACCCTTCCTCAACAATGCTCACCGAAAGAAGCCCGTGAATCGCGCTACAGCCGTTGTAAAATTCCGGATTATACCCACCCAGCGAGCGCGTTCTGCCTCGTTTTGTGGAATAACCGGGGCTTGTAGAAGGGACCTGCTCAGATCTCGCAGTTCATCTGGAGTCTGAGGCGACCTAGCAGTTCATCTGGAGGTCACAGGTAGCCTGGCAGCGAAGCCGGCTTCTCTTCGGCCTGCGTTGTCGAGTTTGGGGGATTCGTAGGTAAGTCCCAACGTTTGTTATACTGACCCTTTTTTGTATTTTGCAGTCAGTGGTATGTAATTTACTGCACGCACTATGGCGACTCCATCATGTATCGACATTGAACAAACAACCGCCGTCGTTGAGTGGGAGTGGGACGGGGCGACGCGTTCCTTAGCCACCCCAGATCCAGACAATGTTGCGATACGATTTACGTTACATATCGATTCGACCCATGACCAGCATCGCGCTCACTTCGAGATAATCATCCCTCTCAGATTTAAAGACAAGTCAAGTGGTGCGGCGGTTTTCCTCCGAATCAGCCCTTTAATCATCACTTGTTTCCGCTTTTCTACAAACATCGACCCTTCGGACTCCATAAAGCAGCGATTTGACTCTGCCACATGTCTCGAGTTTGAACTGAGCAATCCTATTACCGTACTCGTTCCTAGCTACGTCAAAGAGCCAATATCAGCCTCTCGGCCACGCTCTGGCAAGGTTCTTGACTCTCTCTATGAGCTATCCAGTGTCACTGCTCTTCGAATCTATATACAGGATTCTCTGTTGTCCCTCGACGAACTCAATTCCATCAGCGACAGAGTAGCAAAACGTCAGTTCGAGCCCTTCTCTGGCCCTGATTATGATATTTCGCGCATGTTCAGTGGCAGCGGAGCAAAGGTTACAAACCTCGCTCCACCCAAACCACCATCATACGAGAAAGCGACGAGCTTACAACCGCCGAGCGCTCCCTCTTATCAACGAAAACGACCTCGACAAGACAGTCTACAAGGGCCTGATAGCATCAGCCAGGTCTGGGACAAGCTACAGAAGCTAGAATCAATCTTTCACGATAAGGTCGGAGAGCTAACAGCCGAGAATGCTAAGCTCCGAGACCAGAAGCCAAAGCTTGGAGAATCACAAGCTGAGAATACCCAGCTTACAGACCAGTCACAGGTGGTTCTAGAGCTGAGAGCTGAGAACGCTCGGCTTCGAGAAGAGGTAGAGCGTTTGAAGAACAGGCAGGAGGATCTGGAGGCAGAGGTCGCATTACTACAAACCGCGCAAGCTAGTGAGAAGGATACAGAGGAGGTTGCGATAATAGAAATACGGGACGATATTGAGTCACTGGAACGTAGACTGTCTTGGATCGAGAATGGAAAAGATGAATACTTGATGAAGCAAATAAAGCAAGAAATTTTTGATGAGTTAGCCACGCGTATTTTGGGTGGCTAGACGCTTGTATCAAGGTACATTACATTATTGATCCAGAAGACCAAGGCGCTTTACTAACGGAACAGAAAGTGGATACACTTCAGGAGTGAACAATGAGCGAGATGACAGTAGATGACGCCACGATCACTGCTTTTCCAACATCACACAAGCTTGACAGGACGAACAACCTTGACCGTCCCTGCGAACATTTGTCTATACCATACGGCTCCAGCGTGACCTACCATCGCAAGCTGATCTGGGCTCGACGATATTTGCTTAGGACTTGCTATATATAGCTTCGTGTCCACTCCCGAATCTGCCTCAACACCTGCACAAGATGACGCCGATGGACGTCGACAGCTGCTGGTGGAGGGGACACTCAGATAGGAGCGTGGCATATGCCTGACCATACTCCGTCGGAAGCGTAAACGACATGACCAGCAAGGACAAGATGGTCCTCAACAGCGAAGGGAGATTAGACGTCTAGGAGTAAAAGTCGCATCCAATACCATCAAGTTCAACAAAGTTATTACTCTCGTTTATTTCCCTATGCCCTCATCCAGTTATACTGCCACCCCGGATACTAAAAAATATTATGTTTCAAATAGTGACTGTTCTAGTCAAGCCCTTGATTAATGAAGCTCAGCTCCACCAGAAAGGAGAACGTTGACGAGCTCTTCGTCTTGAGCCCTCACTGCTACTTCAAGAGCCGTCATATTGGCCGAGTCCCGGGCATTGATATTCGCTCCGTGATTCACCAGTACCTCGAGAGCGCTTGCACGTCGAAAGCGTACGGCAATATGTAGGGGAGTTGTGCCGGAGCAGTCACGCGAGTTCACATCTGCGCCGGCTTTGATCAGCGAGAGAAGAATACCGGTCGTTCCATTGCGAGCGGCGATGTGGAGTAATCTCGACGGTTTACTGTTGAAGCCATCGTTGTTGTCGGAAGTGAGTGAGCTAGAAGATGCAGGTATTGCCGGCGGTACTGGGTTGATGGAGAGCCGACGAGGGCCCAGCGTGTCCACTAGCGAACCACTAAAACCAGGCCAGTCCTCATCGAGAGAGGAGGGCCAGGGCAGGGCAGTAGGATCATCCAGGGGGCCGTCTAGTGCCCAGACGCCAAGGTCTTCCGACGCTTCGGCCCGTACACAGGCGGAGTCAGAGCCGGACCCAGAAGCAGACCCAGAAGCAGAACCGGGGTGTTGTGGCGGCGCCAAGTCCACGTCCACGTCCTGCGCAGCTGCTGTTGGCTGTACTGCGACGTCCGCAGTAGTGTCGTTGTGCTGTTCACGTTGTCGTTGACGCGCTCCTAAGGCTTGTGAGCGCCGAGAGAAGGTAGTTGCAGTTGCAGTTGCAGTAGGGTTATAACGTACTCGATGCTCTCTTGGCAATTCTGTTCCGCTCGCGCAGACGTTGCGTTTCCTGCTGCTTGGGCGATGCGAAGAGGACGCAGCCTTCAAGCTCTTCCATTTCAATCGAGAGCCAAGAAACAGTCACCCTGCTAGCAACATAAAGCCTGTCTCTGATGCAGGTAGACAATGTCTTCCAAGACCTCTAGACTAGAATCCGCCCAGCCTCAAGAGTGGCGGTCCATACTAATAAACGACCGCTATGGCGTATAATACGGCTTCACGGCACAATCCTTGGCCATCAGGAACGGGCAAAACACGACTCTGAACGAGCCGACGGAGGAAGTTTGTGCATTTTGGACCCCAAATACTCCAGGCGACAACATAAGAGAGCAGGGTTCTTGGCGGAAACTTGGTTATGGGTAGGTTTCTTGCATGCGTATAATATACCGAATCAGGCAACTGCAGTGGCTCATTAGATCATACAGGTATCATAATCGCGTTTCGGTGCTGTGCCGTACACATATACAGATTCCTTAGTGATCAGCATGTCCCAAAACAACAAGGGGCCGGGACGCCTTATATAGAAACTCCACTGATAAGAGATGATTAATGGGAATTAACGGGCATAACTTGACATCTGTGATCCTACGCTAACTGCATTGCATCTAGCTGATCTTAATAGGTACCTAGTCAATATATTCTCCGTAGCAGGTCCCGGCTTGGCTCCCCAGTACCGTAGCGTAAGATCGAGGACCCGACCTGGTTGCCAAGAGTAAGCTTAAACGTCAATTCATGGTCAATAATGGTACTGGATATAAATACAGGTCAAGTCATGGACGGTTCTGTCCTGAAAGAAAAGGATGTCAACGACCAATGGGATGTCTGCCTCTGCCAGGACCTTTTGTCCACGCTGTTGCAGTTGGTGATGCAAGGTCAGAACAGCGGGCGCAGCGGCGAATTGTGACTGTGCGCCTCGCTTGTAATGGCCATGGGCTGTTTGTTAAGATATACGAGCCTCAGCGGATCATTTTCCGCCACGGGTACCTGAAGATGTTGAACTTGCTAACTGAACTGAGCAGTGATGACCATCTAGACAATCTGTGATTCGTGCTCACAGCCCTGCGAATCAGCCCCTGCTAGTACCTTTGCGTGATTGATGATCCTTGAAAGGTTCGTTGGTAGCTTTAGGGATTAACACAGGCGACAGATCACTACATGGCTAGCACGGCTGCACGGCAAAGAGACGGCAACAAAGTTGAGACTTTAATATTGAGTGACAAAATTACTTGGACGATTCTGGAATAATCTGGTGTGACCTTTGACTACGACCTAACTGTTTGGTACCCCTTGATGCAGAGCATCAAGTCTTTTGACACCCCGAGGCATGGTCATTGTGGCCTGGCCGTAGCCAGAATGGCCCGGACCTGATCTTCACTCCCCTGTATATGAAGAGCTGGTGTTATGGATGCCAACACCTCGTCTTCGAGCTGTCAGATATCACGAACAGTCACTACAGACATCCACTTTCTACATCCACCATCATGTCTCATTATGCGTCCAATGACAAGAAAACCTCCCAAACAGATCAGACGCAAACAATCGCGACTATCAAGTATCAAATTGATGATGGAGTGCGACATACCTCTGAACAAGCTTGGAACAGGGGCTACACGAATGCCCCCAACGTAAAGCAGATTCCAGTACCCTACCCTCTCCACGATCTGCGCGCATTAGCTTTCCTCAACGGTGAAGCAGGCTGGTCTTGGTCACATTCTGCAGGTGTCCTGCGGAAATTCGGCTTCACTGCTATAAAGTTTGACCCTAAATGGGCCAAAGTCGACGACGAGGTGCAGGCCGGAGATTACGATGACTTGCAGACTCTAGAGGAGACTTATTTCCCCGAAGTAAAGGAGTCTATCCTCAAGTTGACAGGGGCGAAGCGTGTTTTCATCACGAACAGCATCGTTCGAAGAGGTGATGCGCCAGTCAAGACACCTACCAATGGAACTGGGAGCCTAGCAGCCGTCAATTGCAATGACCAGAAGAATGTGCCTGATAATTACAAAGCATCAGATGAAACCAGATCAACGCATCTCGCATCCTCTGACAACTCGAGGCCTGCGAGAGGAGCACATGTAGACTATACGCCTGTTGGCGCACGGCGCTCCATCCGTCGCTGGCGGCCTGATATTTACAAAGCCGCCCTCGAAGCTGGAATCATCGATGCCGAAGACAATATCTGTGCCGCAGCTAAAGTCGACGCCCAAGACAAGGCGAGCAATGCCATCATCGATGCAAAGTATAATGCGGACGGCAAGCTGGGACCGCGTTACGCAGCCTACAGCGTCTGGCGGCCCATGCGAACAGTCACGCGAGATCCGCTAGCAATGGCTCCGCGATGGTCTTTCCCCAAGGGCGGCGCCTTGGGATTTCTCGGGTATGAGTCTAGAATGTTAGCTGCTCCATCCATGGGCGGTGACTTTCTGCGGGAGTTGGAGTCTGTGGTTATCAGTGAAGAGGATGCCAAAGCGTATGAGAGCTCCAAGGGTGATGAGGCGGCGAGTGGACTGGAGAGTCCGCAATGGTACTATCTCCCAGAACAGAAGCCGGACGAGGTCATTGTGCTCAAGTTCTTTGATAGTGCTGCTCTCGGGGGAGGTTTGGTGTCTGGCGATGTTGGGGGCGCACCTCATGCGAGTCCTGATCTTGGTGATACTGCTTACGGGCCAGCTCGTTGGAGCATTGAAGTTAGATGTATCGCCATATGGTGAAGAGTTGCAGTAGTGTTTATAGCTTGTCAATACCGTTTCATGTCGTTAAGAAGTCACAAGTGTTTTAGGTTGCTCCAAGAATTGCTCAATGAACCTTGGTTGTTTTCATTAGACAACGACAGAAGTACACGTATATCATGGACAATACTTAGCCCAATGGATTCTGCAAGCAGAGTGACTCCAAGGATAGTATCTAGAGTATCCCTTTATCCATCACCGTCTCCCCTTCAGACTACTCATACTGCAGCTCGGCGAAATGATACGAAGTCGAATCCACCAAACTCACAACTTCTATCCTACGTACTATTGATAGTTACCTTGCCCTTGACAGTTGCCCTCCGCATGTAATACTTGCATAAGAACAGGCTCGAAGGGATAAAGAGCTGCGTATGACCCTGCAGAGTCAGAAGGAATGGTACCAAAGTGGACGTGCTGGTGCAGGCCGGTTCCTCGTGTGGGTGGGCTACCTAACCATGCTCCCGGCACATTTAGCTGCCCTTTTCTCTTCACTCAAAATTTGGCTTGTTATCCCATCTCAGGGGAACTCCACTGATATTCTTCATTCTCAAAACCCACACACGCCAGCTCTAGGTTTCCATCGCCCAACATGAAAGAACATCACACAAATGGCCACACCAACGGCTCCTCGGAGAAGAAGCCATCGCGACCTTCAACTAACGGGATTGTCAAGAATAAGCCAAGATGGCGATTCGACACGATCCAGATTCACGCAGGGCTGGAAGCAGACCCCAAGTACGGCCACTGCACCCTCCCCATTTATAACACCGCCTCGTTCAAATTCGGCTCTTCAGCAGCTCTGAATGTAGCCTTGAGTGACATCTCGAGCTCCCAAAACCACTTGTACACTCGAGTGTCTAATGTGAGTCTATCGAATACTATGTAAAGCCTATATCTAATACTGGTTCGCAGCCGACTCATGATGGGTTTGAGAAACGCATTGCCGCTCTTGAGGATGGCAGAGATGCACTCACATTTTCATCAGGCAGCGCTGCAGTCTTGGGCGTTATAGCTTCTCTAGCAGGAATGGGTGATAATGTCGTCGTGTCCACAAGCATTCATAGTGGAACGTATCGTCAGTTCCGCAAGGCTCAGGCCCAGCTGTAAGTCTTCTCTAGTTATAATCAGGGTAGTCTTGTCGTCTAATTCTTGCTCACAGAGGCATCGAGTCACGCTTCTGTGATATAAACGATCTTGAGCATGTCAAATCTCTCATTGACGACAGAACCAAGTTCATCTTCGCCGAGTCTCTCGGAAACCCCATGTTCTCCGTCCCCGATTTCGAAGCCCTCGCCGCCATCGCGCACTCAGAGCATACCAAAATCCCTCTTGTGGTCGACGCAACACTCACTGCGGCCGGTTACTTCTGTCAGCCTGCTAAATGGGGCGCCGATATCCTCATTCACTCCGCTACCAAATGGATAGGAGGCCACGGCACTACCCTCGGCGGTCTCGTTATTGAGACGGGACGCTCGGATTGGCAGACTAACAAGACTCGCTTTCCAGGACTTTACGGACAGCTTCCGGGGTTGCAGGGCGAGCAGGATGATTGGTATGCAGCTGCTGGTGACAGGGCGTATATGCAGTACCTCAAGACTGAGTATATGCGCGATACAGGGGCATGCCTTGGTCCATTTGCAGCTCAGCAGCTATTCATTGGTAAGAACCGAAGTCCCATCTTCAGATCAAAATGATCTCTAATTTCACTGGCTGTATCTAGGGGTAGAAACACTTTCAGTTCGCTGCGAGCGTCAGTCCAAAAACGCCGAGACCTTGGCCCTCTGGCTTCAGGCCCATCCCCGAGTCGCCTGGGTGCGCTATCTAGGCTCCCAAGATCATCCTCACCACCAACTTGCCCTCAAGTATTTCCAACGGGGCTTTGGCACCGTCATCACCTTCGGGCTCAAAGGTGGCGCGGAGGAGGCTATCTCGCTCATCGACTCCTTTGATATGATTATCAACACAACGAATGTGGGTGACTCTAAGACACTGGTTGGGCACCACTGGTCAACTACGCACAAGCACTTCACCAAGGAAGAGAACTTGTCTATGGGGGTGGACGAGGACCTTGTGCGGTTATCGCTTGGGATAGAGGATGCAAGGGATATAATTGCGGACTTTGAACAGGCTTTCGAAAAGACCGAGGCCAGACTATAGACCTGGAGTCTTAGGACTTGGTTGACCGTGAAAGGTACCAGGAAGATAGGCATTTACAGAAAACATATTTCATCCTTACATAGGTTATATAGTGTCCTTATATAAATAGTGATATAATCGTCAAGTCCTAGTCCTTAGTCGACCGAATGCCCCTTCCAGCCAGGATATCATTTCTCTCTGACTCCAGCCTATCCCTAGAGGTCTTGAACAAAGACGGTAGTCCCGTCTTTTCATACTCCAGCCCCTGAGTCATGGCTGCAATGCCCTCAGCGGCCAAGAAGATAACAGGCATTCCATGTCCATGAAATCCAGCAATTACAAAAACCCCATCCCTACCAGGAACCTCTCCCACGTGAGGAAGCGAATCAGTACTATAACCCATAATCCCGGTCCAAACACGATCAACACGGGCCCCCGAGTCCTCCCACCCGACAAACGTCCGCTGCATGTACTCATCCTCGAAGTACCGCCGCGCCGGCTCGATGAGCTGCGTGTCGTCGACGTTGTTGTACCAGCTCCCCGGATCTTTCTCATCATACTTGTGGTGAGCGCCGCCGACCACGATGCTGTTATCCGCAAGTTGTACCATATAGTTATAGCCCGTCTTGTTGGAGACTGGGTCCTGCTCCATTATGGCATAACTTGCAGCGAGGAGCTTTGGCAGTGGCTTGCCCTCGGGGCCTGTTATATGGCATGCGAGTCCCTTACAGGGCACGATGGAACTCGCGTACTCGGGGATCAGTGCTGACGTATAGGCATTCGTGGCGATGACGACTTTCTGAGCTGTCATAGTCTCCCCCGAGCGCATCGTGAGGGTATGACCGTCTGATTCAGCATGCTCAACTGACACCACCGTCGCTTGGGTCTTCAGAGAGAGTCCCATGTCGATGCAGCGCGCCAAAAGAGCTGTGAGAAGTTTGAAGGGTGATACCCGAGCTGCGGGTGTAGAGAAATAGCCTTTTGCATCTCGCAATCCTGTACGTTGGGGTGCGTCATCACCCTCGTAGAACTCTACCATATCTAGCAGCGTATCACTGAAAGACGATGCTTGCCTCAAGCCCTCGTATGCCTCACGCACCATGGAGACTTGCTCCGGGGTCGTGAGAACAGCGAGACTCTGCGTCTCCGCAAAATTGCAGTCGATAGCTTCCGACCTGATGAGAGACTTGATCACGTCAAGGTGGCGGGCTTCAAATTGCGCGACCTCGGCTGCCGCAGAGGCATTGTATCTCTTGGAGTTGCTCGCAGCTCCCATCAGATAGTCAGGGAGCAGGTGGCCTCCGTTCCTACCTGTAGCTCCAGAACATGGATCCTTTGCCTCCAAGAGGAACACTTTGGGCGGCGGAGAGGTCGTCTTCAGGATGTGGTATGCTGTAGCAATGCCTGCATAGCCGCCACCGACGATCGCCACATCACATGAGCTGGGGAGAGGCTCGGTATGTGAAGGTACTTCTTGCTTCTGGGCTTCGTGCTGCCAGTAGGACTGCGGTGATCCTTCCACGGGAAGGCTTGAGATGCTCATTGTGATCTGTGCCGCAGTACCGTAGACGAAAGGATCAGAACCAGATAATTCGAGAAGACCGCCACTAGCAGCGCGCAGTATGTGCTTACCTATCCCGATGCGATTTTATGACAAACTCGCGAAATGTAGTGTCAGAACCCGCTCTTGACGGGCTTGACTTGCATGGGATGTTGGAGGAACAAATGTCAATGACCCCGCAGAAAGTCGACTTACACCGATTACGATGCCGATGATCTTATCCTTGCATGAATGACACTGCATGCATATACTTGAAGATACGTCCAAAGGTCACGTCCAATTATTAAGCCAAAGGCGACGTATTCATTCTCCGTCTCGAAGATAGAAATGAGTTCGAAGCCATTTATGACATGCCACTTTCGGTGTCGTAATATATCAGAGCCTCAACGGTAACTGGGTAAGGTAGTTTCGCCTATACCGGTCTTCACCACCTTTGTTCCGTGAACTCATGTACCTCTTCAAGTTGGCCCAATATGTCCACCACAACCACAATCACCAAAACAACCGAAGTCCCCTCGCCCGAGTCCGCTGACTTCACGACCATCTCATATACAAAGATCAAGCAAAGAGACGCAAATGAGCTGTCCGCTCTCCGAAAAGCATGTGAAAAGGACGGGTTCTTGTACCTGGATCTCCAGAGTGCGAACGGAGAGCCCATGCCTGTCACCCAGGAGGTACCATCGGTATACAAGGCTGTCAACCGATTCTTCCAGCTGGAAGAAGAGGAGAAGATGAAGCATGATGTTGATGCAATCGGCTCCTGGAAGCTCAATGGGCGCGTGGATACTTGACTCCGTGGTATTGTTGTGTTCGTTCTGACTTGTTGAGTGCAGTTATACCCCTTTCGGGAGGAACGCAGGCCTTGCTGGCGATGGGAAGAAGTATGGCGTGGAGGGATACACAGTAGGCTTTCTAACAACTTCATTCATCGGTAACCTGTGAATAACATATAGCTACCAGTTTCCCCGAGATGGTATCTGCAACCCCGTCAAAGATGAACATCCTCTTTCTCTGCCAGCCATTTTGCAAGATGAAACCCCTCTCCTGGCCAGCGTCATGGACCAGCTCCACGAGATCGGTCTAGGCCTCCTAGGCGCCCTGGACCAGATCAGTCACAACACAGGGCTCGACAGCAGCGCATCACTTGCGCCAAAACACCGCCTCGCAGACCCTTCAACCTCGTGCATGACCGTCCAGCGATACCCCTCCCTCTCAACCGAAGGCTCCAACGCAGGCCTCAGCGCCCATACCGACGTCGGCAGTCTCACTCTTCTTTTCTGCGACGCCCGCGGCCTGCAGACATTCAACCAGGACACGCAGGAGTGGCGCTCCGTCGAGCCGCGACACGGCTGCGCGGTCGTCAACGTTGGTGACTCCCTCCGTTTCTTGTCGGGGAGGAGATTCCGGTCTGTAGTGCACCGTGTCGCGCCGTACCCGGGGGAGACGATTGAGAATAGGTTCTCGTGCGCGTACTTTGTGAGGCCAAGAATGGATGTTGAGTTCGAGGACGAGAAGGGTGACCGGTGGAAGAGCATTGACTGGCATATGAGGAAGTACAAGAGTTACCGCGAGGCAGGCAAGACGGCTTAAACTCGATGCATACGATGTAAAATGAGTTTGGGCCTAGTCATGAGCAGTTTACTCATACTGACTTGGGCGTCTCCTCATCTCCACGAAAGCCGCATGTATTCGTAGCTATCGCCAGATCTTACCAGTAAGAAGCAAAGCTCTATGAGATACGGAGATCGCAATACATGACCTTGAGCAGCGTCTGTATGCACTGATTACTGGTGGTGCTCGTTCAGCGTCATAATCGCAAGCTGTTTGCCCGAATGATTCCCGGATGTGTATGATAGAATGCAGTACTTACTTCACTTCTTTAAGCTAATCAGACCTCTTGCGCCTCCTTGGGCAGCGCCTGCATGAGGATTCCAGCCTTGTACCTGAATCATTACTACCCAACATTATGTCAGCTTACAGTTCCTTCTGCGGAGATTGTTCGGGTTCCTGGTGTGCACCTGGATAAGCACAGTCTGCCAAGGCGATGTCGTGTGAACACCCTTCACAATAGATCTCGATCTCCAGGCATAACTCATTCTTTTCAAGGTGTACGACGTCTTCGTCTTCATCAAAATGGGTCGGAGGCGGCTTGTGCTCGCTCAGTTCCCACAATTCAATCGTCGCGATGAAATCATCGAGTAAAGGATATGATTTCATATGAATGACATCACTGTTACCTCTTCACCACTACAAATAAGAGATCCCAAGTAACAAAGATTTTATCTAAATTACAATCTTCACTACAATCTTCACTACAATCTCATCATAACAACTTACACAAACTTTTCTACTACTTCGTCACAAACATTCCACTTCAAAATGGCCAACTACGAGCAGATTGCTAAGGAGGCCGAGATGGACCTCAACACCTACCAGGCCAAGACCGGCAACGCCCGTCCTCAGGACGTTGAGAACACTGGTGTTAACCCCCATGCTGAGAACAAGTTTGAGAGCGCTCAGGTTGAGTTTGGTGATGAGCTGAGCACAAACGCTGGCTACAACAAGCGCATTCCTCCCAGCGAGGGTGGCATCGTCGACGACAAGGGCCGGTAAGCATCATCCTCCCAACATAACAACAACAATCTCTAACTTCTTCAGACAAACCCGTGGCCAGCACTACGAGGGCGAGGGCGGTCCTCTCGACAAGCTCTCCAAGGCCAACGACGAGCGCGGTGGTTACAACGACAACGATGTTGTCGGCGCCAACGTCAAGCAGACCTCCGGCCTCGGAGCCGCTGACGATCTCGCCTCAAAGGGTCAGGAAGCCCAGCGCGCCAATGTAGGCCGCAACCCTCCCGGTCCTGGCGGTTCTCAGTTCAAGGGCGAGGATTACTACCAGCCTGAGAGTGTACCTGACAGCATCTCTGCTGAGGGTAACATTGCTCCCGAGAGCGTGATTGAGGCTAGCCGGGAAGCTGAGCGACCTTGAGCAAAACAAATAATGGAATGGAATGGAATGAATGGTACGGATGGGTTAATAGCGGGCGCTTGTATGATATGTTCGTAATTTGAACCGCCATGATTTACGACCACAATATTTGTTCTGTCGCATCGTGATCTGTATAAGTTGAGGTGAAGCTTCGGTGAATATGGCCCCCACTGTGGCTCCCGCTAGAGCCGCCATCATTTAAAGCATGATCAACGTCATGAGGCCTTGGCCTTGTCTCGTGACCAGCCGCCAAATGTGAAACTTCGACGACTTCTTATCAGCAACATTACAATTACAACACCAATTTCTACTCGCAAGACGTGATGTCGTGTGTGTTCTCAAGGCTGATACAAGAGTGCTGATTTTTGCCGCCATGTCCGGTCTCTCACCGTCTGCCTCTGGATTACTCCCTATGCCAGGCACGCCTTCGTCGTCTTGGGCTGTGTACAAAGCGAGAGCTGCAGCTATGATGGGACATCATGATACGAAGGTGATTGTAGCCTTTTGGCTTTTTGGTACGACTGAACCCCGAATTTCTTCACTTGTAACTAACAGTCGCGTCAGGCCTCATCAATAATGTCCTCTACGTGATCATCCTCTCCGCCGCCCAAGACCTCGTCGGCTCCATCCCCAAAGGCGTCGTCCTCCTCGCTGATGTCGTTCCCTCATTCCTCACCAAGTTGATCGCACCGTACTTCATCCATCGAATACCGTATCGCATGCGAGTCCTCATATTCATAGTGCTGTCCGTGATTGGCATGCTCATGGTTGCTCTGACACCGCGCACGCAGTCCGTCGCGATCAAGCTCGTCGGTGTAGTCCTGGCGAGTATAAGCGCCGGTGGCGGTGAGTTGAGCTTCCTTGGCCTGACGCACTTCTACGGACCGATGAGCCTTGCGGGCTGGGGATCTGGAACGGGCGCTGCGGGTTTGGTCGGTGCAGGTCTCTACGTGATGTTTACGGACTGGTGGGGACTGAGCGTGCGTAGCAGTTTGCTAATCTCGGCGTGTTTCCCTGCGATTATGTTTATCAGCTTCTTCGTGATATTGCCGCTTGGACCTCTTAGGGAGGGTACGACTCGGAAAGACTACAATGCGATCCCGGATCTCGAGGATGAGGACGTGAACCACATGGATCAGGGAACTGCTTCGTCCGCGCTCTTGGCTCCTGGGCCGTCTGTCGCGTCGACTGCATACTCTGCGCATAACAGACAAGACACACTCACGATGCGAGACAGGTTGAACAAAGTGAAGGTGTTGTTTGTCCCATACATGCTCCCGCTGCTACTGGTGTACGTAGCCGAGTACACGATCAACCAAGGAGTAGCTCCCACGTTGCTGTTCCCTCTGGACGAGTCGCCATTCGATGAGTTTCGAGATTTCTACCCCATGTACGGATTTCTCTATCAACTCGGCGTCTTTATATCCCGATCGTCCACGCCGTTTCTACGTATCCACCATTTATATCTCCCCTCGATGCTGCAAGTCGCAAACCTTGTACTTCTCACATTCCACGCCGTATACTTCTTCCTCCCATCCGTCTACATCGTCTTCATCATAATATTCTGGGAAGGCTTGCTAGGTGGAGGTGTCTACGTCAACTGCTTCGCCGAGATCATGGAGAACGTGCCACCTGAGGATAGAGAGTTTAGTCTTGGGGCAACGACTGTCAGTGATAGTGGTGGAATCTCTATCGCCGGACTTATTAGTATCGTGATGGAGACGAAGCTTTGTAATTATCAAGTGGCGCATGGAAGGGATTGGTGTCGTCGTATTTCTGCACAAGGACATTGATTATTGGATTCGTCAGGCATTTTTGAGCGTTGGGTAGAGCGAGTCGTAGACATCGGTCGGTATTTGGTATAGAGGTTCTGTTACATTCATTACGTGTCTCGCGACGTCTATCGCCTCGTTGACGTGAGCTCGACGCGTAACCTGGAGAAACATGCGTAATAAGCGAATACAATTTTTCATCCATGTCATGGTCACTGATCTCATTGTCGATAAGCGATATCCCACCTGACCCCGAGCGAGGACAGTTCAAAGACTCTGTTCTCGAACGATTCAGGGGCTTGAAGATAAGTTTTATACTAAAATGCTCCCCAGTAATACTGTCACTGTCAGCTTACAGCTTACAGAAAGTGGACAAGCAACAGGGAACCATGACCAATAAATCGGAAACAGTCCCGGGACATCCCTTGTAAGGCGACATAAAATTGCGAGAGATGGGCAAATTAAAAATATGGATCTTTGGTAGCGACGGGGCGGGGCATTTCTCTTGTTTAGCGGTCACGGGCGGGTTGAGAGATAGACTTTTTGAAGAAGGTTATATTCTAAAAGTTACGTTTCGTAAAAAGGTTATAAATTCGGCAATGAAATGCGTATGCATGAGTTACATGAGATCTGATTGGAATCATCCATTGGACGGCTGGGAGTTTCCATTTTTAGATCGTGCCCCGGCAGATGTGATGTGATGGGCTGACGGGAAGACCGGCGCAAGTGACACCGGAAAATAGGACATTATCAATATCACGCGATGTCTGCTACGTTGCTGGTTGCTCTTTAGACGAAGTTGAGATACAAAGATACGACGTCGCCAAGAGGAGGATAAGCACAACAACGGATAACGGCCTAGCGCTGACCGGCTTGGCAGGTTTCATCCTTGTGAATCGCAATGAGGGCGTTGATCAAAATAATACAGTACAGTACAGTACAGTACATGCTACGTGGTAGTAGCTGAAGTGTTGTCAAGAGTTGAGTCAAAAAGACACTCAGAAGAGGGAGGATGAGACGAAACTTGGTCTTTCAAATGCTGTTAATTCCCGTCGGGAATCGTTAATTGGGCTGAGGAGGAATCCGGCGGAGGAGGGCCGAGTTGGTGGAGTCTGGAGACAAAATGCAATGTTATCAGTGACAGGTCGTTTGTCTAGGTTCAGGTTCGTTCTGCCAGCCGTGCGTTTGTATCAACCATCAAGTCGATATCCATACAATACCTCGTTTATCTAGAAAACTCAACAAGTATAGAACGTATTCACGATGTTTCAAGACATGCATATTCAAGGGACTGTCTTGTCTCTGATATAATCCTCTGTCTCAGCCCTTCAGCAGGGAGATCAAGCCTAAATACCTACCAACACCACCAAACGTCGATAATCTTTGCAAGGGAGTATAACCTCATTCCTCTCAACGGTAAGGGTTCTCCGCTGAACAAACCATAACCTCAGGCATTGTCATCTTCAAGGAATTCAATGCGAGGGGCGATTTATTTTATTTCTTCTATGTATGCAAAATTACAAGCCAAGCCAAATTTCCGCCTAGCGAGACGTTGCAGATAAGCTATTGTTTGATTGGTTAGATCACAACATGGATAACCATGCAAGCGGCTTTCCGAAGGGGGAATGCCATTCAATGAGTTGATCGAGATGCATTCTGCAGGGGGGGAAGAATATGGGAGTTGAGATCAATGTTTGTTGGTTCTTTCGCTATGTTGTGACCTTTTTGACAGTGGTGGGAAGTGTTGGAGGATCAGCAGTGAGATGCAAGCCTTATAAACTCAATTCTCCAACAAAGATCAATTGGCTTGTTACATTGGATTGGATAACGTGATGACGCACTCGAGCAGAGAATAAAGGGGGACCCTTTAACAGATCTAAGCCTACCTCACTAACTTAGGAACAGAGCCTATTGGTTGATTATCACGTTAAAGGGGCTGGCATGAATTGAGGAAGATGACTTTTCCAACCTTGACAGTAACAGACAAGAAAAAAA